AAGTATGTGAATTATGTGACCATTTGATAGTACTCATTTCATTAAGTGTTATCATTGTTAATGTAATGGATGACATCATGAGGTTATCTGTCCATGATGCAAGTTGATGGAATGTTTTATAAAGTATAGCTAGAGTTGTGTATGTCTTGAGACAGGTTCCCCATTTATTTGACCAATCATACCTTAGTCGCACAAATGGGAATTGTATGGCTATTAAGCTTACCAGTAATATTCTTAACAACTTACCATTGAAATTTGAGCCTTCAAATCTTAATGTGTCTAGAATTATCCATGCTTGGAAGTTTAAACAGGACTTGTATTTTCTTGAGACAAGACATATATAATAATAGAAAGTGAAATTCCTCGGAATTTTTGTACATTTCTATAACTTTTGAAGGCTATTTACATATGTTCAAGGTCCAAATCAAATGGTGAATCTGTCCCTTTAAAAATTTGATTTCCGAAGCTTTTTTTCATATCAAGTCTATTTATTCAAAATATGGTCTGATGACATTCAATTGGTCAGTTGAGTTAATTTCACAGTCTTGAACATGGAAAGGCCATTTAATTTGATTCATGTCCACCCATAAGATTTTAGACAGTGTTAATTTGTTCACACAGTATTTTTAATTTGTGAAGACCAAAAACTCCGTCAACATTATATAAGAATACTATCACATTAATCATTTTCTGACCTGTGTACAATGTATCTATCTGATTTGATAGCCCAATGATATTTGACTTGTCATTTCAAAGGTCATACTTGATTGATGTATTGGTTTACCTCCAAAAATTTGAATGCAACTTCATTGCATGTTTTGTTGTGTCTAGCGTTATATAATGTCAAAAGTTCAGTTTTGAATTTCATGGAGAAATATTTGATGAGAAATGAATACAAATAATATGAAATTGAATACAGGTCTTTAAATAAATTGTGATAAGGAGAAAGGTGTGTTAGCTTACATTTATTTGGAAAATGTGGTAGTTTTTGTAGATGCCTTGCAATTTACATGCACTAGTTTTTGTGAATCACTTGCATTGAAATGTGCTAGTTTTTGTGGATCACTTGCAATTAAATGTGCTAGTTTTTGTGGATCACTTGCATTGAAATTTGCTAGTTTTTGTGGATCACTTGCATTTAAATGTGCTAGTTTTTGTGGATCACTTGCATTGAAATATTTAGTTTTTGTGTATCGCTTGCATTTAAATATGCTAGTTTTTGTGGATCACTTGCAACAGTAACTTGACTGTAAATACAGTATGTCTAGTGAATATGTGAATTGTGTTATTCAGGAAATTTTACATGAAAGTATTTTATATGCATTATAATCTTTCTAAAATTTATTTTAAGAATATTGGTTTGAATTTGGTCATAAAATATTCATACATTGCTGGAGGAAAGGTGAATCATTTGTGATAATATTCCCATGGGCTGACTTCAATCTGAGAAAAAAATTGGGAAAATCTAGAAATTATGGTGATCATTTCAAATATACAATTTGGCCTCCTCGAAAACAACAATGAAAATATATGTTAACATGGAAATTATGTCTTTATCTATATAGTAAACATATTGTGAGTGCTATTAGATTACAATATTAGGACAATATGAATTTGAATTGAAGGTAATAAATAGTAAGACAGTATGGTTGTAGTTTGTTGACTGGTAAGAAATATGTGTATGGTGTAGGTAATATAGGATTATAAATACAATACACTACAAAGAATAATAAATCTCTGAGTGTTTAAAGTAGATATTATTAACAGTGACCTGACAATCTATACAAGGTTATAACTAGTTAATTGAAATCTTCAATTGGTCTGTTATTCCCTTTTTTCGTAAAATTTGCATTGAGATTGAGTTCACTTTTGGTTTCTTTTCTGTTAAAAGTTTAGTCAAAAGTGGATTCTAATTAAAAGTTATTTGTTGAGGTTTTCTAGCTTTTTACTTGCATCAGGGATATTTATAGCTTATATGTGCAACATTGTGCTTTCATGTTTGTTTCCTTGGTTCCTGTAATTTCTGGAACCTTTTACCAGATTTTGACTATTTGTATTGATGGTGTGCTACATGTATGCAATTTATGTGCAAGTGATTTTTGACATATTTGTAAAGGGTAACAAAGTGTCAAGCCTGATTTTATCTGTAACTGTATCAATGAACAATATATTGTTACTAAATCTTCTAAAGTAGTTGTGTAAACACAATTCTAAATTGCCTTCTACTCTGTTTGTTCATATGTTACTCAAGATTGAATCAAAATAGATGAAAAAAAATACCTTGTGTGGTAAAAAGTTCAAGATGGCTTTGGAGAGTTTGTGAAGAAAAGTCTTAAGGATGGTTAGCTTGTGTCAATAAATATAGAGTGTTCTTATATTGTAATATAGTTGTCATTTTGATGTATTTGTGGGCGTTAGATAGATACTGTCTCACAACATAAAAGATGTATAATTGCACTGAGAAAAAGAAAAAAACTTAGTCTGGTATTAGCTTTTAAAAGATTTACTGATTTAATTTGGATATACAAAGAGGAACCATTGTCAGACTCATCTAATCATCATATATCAAAATAAAAAGACTCAAATTCTACAAAGCAGACGGCTAAGACATGGACCACCTGTTACTATTAAAAAACATATAACCTATCAGATGAAGTCTAGGAACGAAATCAATGGAATGCAGTAAGGTGAAATATCAGTCAATAATATGTTGACGTTTGAGGACAACCTCTGAGGTCAAAAGCGTAAAGTGGATTAAGGTGAAAGGGTGTGGTAATGAGGGAGATTAAAGATTAGTATAATATAAAGGGATTATAATGAGTATATAATGGACTGGTATGATTATAATCAGGTTTATGTAATATGATTAATCAGATTGTCACTGTATGATAAACAAGTTTTTATAATCAGGAAATCGCTGGTGTAACCATTTATTTATAACAATCAAAATATTGTGGATTTACTTCACTTTCGATAAGGAAAACTCGTGGTTAACACTTCATCAGGTTCAGTGTTTATATTTAACAATTTTATTCTACAAGTGATACCAGGAAATATTTGTAAGGATTTTGGACTAAGTGTTATGCTTTATGAATGTTTTTTGTGTGGATATTTTTTGGACAACTTCCAGGGTGTTGAAGAGTCACGAAGTTTTGGTTTTTTTGGAAATAATTGGCTTTATAATCAAATGATGGATGTGCACTGTGCAGGATTTGAAATTGCTAGAAACGAACATTAAAAGTTTTGATGGTGGTGATGTATAGAAATTGGTTTTACTTGTCATCCTATTGGAGGGAGTTGGCATCTATATCAAGTCCCAGGGATATTTATTAAGAATACTAGACTGATGTCAATATTGATTGACATATCGAATGTTGTTTATTTATTCATTCATCTGTTTGATTCACTCATCCTTTTATTCATTCATGACATTAAATTTCAAACCTTGTTATCCATATTCAGCATATTTGATAAACTGTTTTCTAAATATTTTAGAAGCAGACTATATAGTAAACAAGTTATTATTTTTTTTGATGTTAAAGTTTTATATTTGATGTTGTTAAAAGTGTTTATGATGTAGGGTTGGTCAAGTTGGAGAGATTACCTGCCTGACTTGTTCTACTAGCCCATATTTCTCGTATTTCAATTATTTCACCCTTCAGGCTTGATATCATTAATTAATAATCTTGTATTTCTAAAGTCTTTTCCATGTTCTCAATTTCTTGTCTGCTTCACTATACAAAGGTTTGAGTTAGTCAAGTGTCTGCTGCTTGTTTCGATGGCTGCCATTTTGAAATAATGGGATTTTAAGGGTTTGATAAATGGATTAATTTCATGTTTAAATCAGTGACATTTGGAATGTTTCCTTTTTAAATATTTCCCAAATGGAGTTGTGTCATTTGTGATTTTAGTCAAATTTAAATTTGTAGGATTAAGTTTAAAATGATAAAAATAGTAGAAGTAGTAGAATGGTAGAATGAAAATTTAGCTTTGAATTTTTTGTATACCTTTCTTACAAGTGTGATTGATGTAAATGTGTTTAGATGTTATGTGAAGTGTATTTATAGTTCATTCAGCTAGTCACTGTGCACCCACATTAATTGTATTGATGACATCACCATTGTAGTTTGAGAAGACAGCATGTATTCTACAATGTCATAGTGAGCTTTTAAAATTTTAATGATTTTTTTTTCTTGACTGATTCGAATCAGTTTGTTTTTGTATTACTCTGTGTTTGTGAAAGGATCAAGTTGGCCAGGTTGACAGAAATTGCAGTTTTTTGGCGAATCTTTGAAAGGGTTTAGAAGTTAACTCTCAAGTCAGTTTGGTATTTTGTGATTCAGTGCTTGATTTAGAAAATGTAGAAATTTCGTCATTGGAAATTCAAAAGGTCACTAAGGTTATAATGTTAAGAAATGTCAGGGTACTATTTTCTTTTTTTCTGATTTTTAGGAATGTTTTTTCGTGTGCCTTGACTGCTGTCTGACACCATTCCACCCCAGACTTAAACAGGAATTATTGCCACATGTAATAAGGACAAATGTGAGAGAGAACAGTTTATTAAACAATGGATATGTTCTAGTTACTACATTCTTGTACACATAACTATATGCAGAATTGTGTATCGTTAAATAATGCATGGAGTATCTAAAATTGGAATAATTAAGTGAAACTGTTATAAAGTGTAATCTTCAGGGAAAATTAATTGTGTTTTTTCTACCTCCGTTTGTTGTAGAGTTACTGTTTGATACCTTGATATCTGTGAGTGTACAAGTTACACGGAGAAGTGTTCATTTTACCTTAATAAAAAGGAATGTAAAGATGTTTAGTAAATACTAGAATGTGTCCAGGTATGGCAAATTATTGGCTCTTATCCAGAATCACCAAAGATGTCACACCAGTAACTGTTAACTTATCGTCGTTATTGGGAGTATTTTAAAAAAAATGAGGATTAAGTAGAGCACCTAGACAATATTTGTTTCATCATTTAAAAATTGAAAATGTTAAAATATTTAACGTGTGGTGGGTGTGGATGTGGAAGAAAAAAGAAAAAACCCAAGAATTTAAATGGGGATAATGCACCTTATGCTCCTGCGGAAAAACCACTTGTAGGTATTTTGTAGTATATATCCTCTTAGAAAAAATTCATTATAGTGTCATACAACAGAGAATTTATTACGATTTTGATTATTAATCTGTACAAGCAAGACAAAATCAAGAGTAGTATAGTTGTGGACCCCTTCAAAGAGAATTACCATTAGATGCTCTGAAAAGAGTAAAAATGGTCTGCTTCGCTCGCGACACCTGCTAAAGTTGTGCATTAATATATTTTCACTCTGAAAATCCTATCTCACAATAAACATAACAACTCAAACAGTATCTGCATAAACTTGCACATTATACATGTATTTGTTACCTGTTCAAATTTATATAAAAATAATTCATAAGCTTTTATAACATAACTTTTAGACTGTTCTATAAACACTGCAAACCAGAGTTATCTTCTTTTTTAGAAAGTCCATTCTTATGGCTTTATAATGGGAAATCTTCATCATTAGAATCTTTGAATATAAGTGACTTTTAATTATACTGTGAAATAATTACTGCTAATAATGACTGATTTTAATCAAAGTGAGAAATATTATTAGTTATTGTGATAGACTATCATATTTCATTGATATACTATATAGTATTATATAAATCATGTTAAATAGATATAACTTTTTGACTGTAAGTAGTTTTAAATAGGTTCATCCAACCATGGCCAAAAATATTACCCAAAAGATTCTGCTTAAAGGCAAAAAAAAAAACGCTTGAATGGGTACAAACCTTTCTGTATTGTTGTGACTTGTAAAGAAGATGTTTATAGTATTTGCTATTATTTATCATTTACATTGGTAAATGAAAAATGCTCTCTTCACTAGCTGATATAACTCTATGTTTTATATGTATCCCTTTTCAGAATTGAAATCCCATAAGTAAGTCTCCTGCAATTTTACAAAAAAATGTCCATGATGTTAAAAATGATAAAATTTCAGTGTTAATTTTAAACACTTCATGACATCATTGATCATAAATGTGTCAAAAACGCTTTGGAAGTTCTGAATAGTGCCAAAATTGAGCTCTTTGAGCTGGTGTTAGGGTAATATGAGAATAGAATTTCTAAGCTGGTAACAAGACAATATCCTTTTGATGTAATAAGTATTCAATACCAATTGCAAAAAACTTCTTATATCCCTACAATGATATACATAATAACTTCTTATATCCCTACAATGATATCCATAATAACTTCTTATATCCCTACAATGATATCCATAATAACTTCTTATATCTCTACAATAATAACTTCTTTGATCTCTACAATGATATGCAGAATATCTTCTTATTGTCTACAATAATGACTGCTTTTGTCTCTACAATGATATGCATAATAACTTCTTATTTCTCTAAAATGATATGAATGATAACTTCTTATATCTCATAATAACTCTAAAATGATATGTATATAATAACTTCTTATGTCTCTAAAATGATATGCATAATAACTTCGTTTAACTCTAAAATGATATGCATAATAACTTCGTTTAACTCTAAAATGATATGCATAACTTCTTATATCTCTACAATGATATGCATAATAACTTCTTATATCTCTAAAATGATGTGTATAATAACATCTTATATCTCAAATGATATGCTTAATAACTTCTTTTATATCTTAAATGATATGCATAATAACTTCTTTTATCTCTAAAATGTTATGCATAATAACTTCTTATGTCTGTACAATCTTATCAGATTTGATACTAATGGGTGTGTCTGAAATGTAACAGAAGATACTATTACAAGGGTTCAAGCTAGTCAAAGTACCTTACAACTGTGGACATCAAAGAACTGGGTGTCAAATAGTTGACTCAACTCTAGGTTAACACAACATTAGCTCCCAGCTATTTTCAAACTTACCATTCAACTATTTGTCCAAATATAGTAACTCTCACTATCATCTGTAAAAAGATGTATATTCAGATCTGATGATTTCGAAGTGGTATTTTTGTTGGTTACATATAAGTCATCCCTTGGTTCCTTTTGATGGCACTAATGAAAACAATTCCTAATTGACCACCCATATTTTAAAGGGACATGTTCGCCATTTTCAAGGTATTATTAAAGAAAATGAATGTTTTAAAAACTTAAATAGATTGAAAATGATAACATTTTACACAAGATTGCATTCTCTCTTATTTCATTATACAAAGTCAAATTGTTTTATCTTTATACATCAAAGAGCAAAAGAGAATGCATTGTATCAGTTTCAGTTACTACCAGGTAGTCTTTAGTTCTTGTAAATAGTACGTGGATTAAAGGATTTAAAGGGATTATAGACATCATGATAATCTTATTGTTTGAGTCTTTATCTCTCCCATTACATTTAGTCATGTACTGTAAATTACTATTTGAATTTTTGCTAACAGAAGATTATTTTTCCTTTTAAAGAAGATATTGATATCTATGTAGTTAATATTGTTTATATGTCCAATATTTAAATATTAAAGCTATTGCTTTAGTTTCCTGATCACCATTTAAATGCTGGATTCTGTATCCAAAGTATTTTGTAGAAATATAAGATAAAGTTTTTTTTCAAAATATGTAACATGTGGGTATCAAAAGTAGTCGATCACAAATCATAAATTAAAGTTTTCCATGTAGCTATATGGACATAGCATACAGGCAGAGTAGGTTTACTCTTCTAGAAACCTAATACCACTTTTCATTAGGAAATGAAATACTAACTATACTTCTAATTAACTAAGTATACTTCCTCATGTGAAAAGTTTATTTTCTGCTACCATTATTTTATCAATATATTGTTACAGATTATGAGTTTCGTTTTGCGATTCGGATCATTAGTACTTGGTTTATTTATACACAATTAGTTAAGGCCTTTGACATTCTACTGTTAATTTTATCATTTCCTATATTGATGATGTAATACTACCACTATAAAGATTGTACTTGCAATAGATTACATGATGAACATCTAAAACATTGTACATGAATATATTAGTTGTATAAAAATCAGATCTTAATGAACATTTAATATAACAAACTAAATACATATTAAATTACAATAATACAGACTCTATTCATCAATTGTAGAGCAATATAGAAATATTAAATTAAAACATTATCTATAATAACAGATTAAATAATTTTTGAACAATGAAGAAGTTGTACAAAATTTTTAAAAAATCTATGACAAAGAACAAGAAATTTCCATTAATTTTCCCAAATTTTAATGTTTTTCAGATTTCGTCAACAGTGGTCCCTGGTCAACCACAAGATATCTCTGCCAGAGATGCTCTGTTATATTGGAGTCGAAGAACCACAGAGGGTTATCCTGGAATTAAAATTACTGATTTCTCTAAGAGTTGGAGAGATGGCAAAGCATTCCTCGCGATTATTCATCGCAACAGGTAAGCATATATTAACATTTTATCAATGTTCCGAAGAAATTCAAGATAATCGAGCTAACAGAGCTTAATTTCATCCATCAATAACACTTTTTAGAAGGAACATGCAACATTCAGTGACAGTATAAACAGTGTGATATCATATCGTTTAATTCTGCATGGAATTGTGGTCACTTCTACAGATTGTATATGTTCTTGAACAGAGTAATTTATTTTCACTCTTTAAAATGAAACAATTACAGCAGTTTACACAGAGACTTATATCACAAAGTTTGATGCACTTTAAGTCCCTTATTGCAAGCAGTCTATTTGCTTATGTTTTTTGTTCTCTACTGAAATTAGACAGTACACAAAACAAAAAAAGTTCATTTAACATGCTCTATTAAAAATAATGTCTCTCCCTTTCTAGACCAGATTTGGTTGATTTCCGTAAAGTTCGGCACCAGACAGCCAGGCAGAATTTAGAAGTAGCTTTTGATACAGCAGAACGTGATCTGGGGGTTACTAAGCTACTTGATCCTGAAGGTATGTTTTAAACACATTCAAACTCAACTTAAATGATTTCATTAGAATATAACACAGAGCTATATCTTAAAATAGGTTGACTATTGACATAAGGAAATATTTCTATTTACAATATGATGAGTAATTCTCAGCTTTTTGCATCATCAAAATGTCAAGCTATAACCAACTTCAGTCTTGTATCTTGTCTGCAATAGACAAGTCCTTGTATCGTTGGAATGCAGTGATTTTATTGGATTTCTCTACCAGTGATTACAGCCAATCAAAGCCCCTCAACAAAAAGGCTGTAAACATTATGGCTTTGTATTCACAAACTTTCTGTCAAAGTCTCCGATTGGTTATATTTTCTAGCATACAATCAAATAAAATCGCTTCATTTACAAACTTCCATGATTCAAGAAAAGGAAATTTTGTAGTCAAAGTATAAGTATGAAGTTCACAATAGGTTGACATTGTGAAGATGACATTTTTGTTATTTGAATCATGAAAGCATTCATCATTGTTGAAATTCTCTAATGTACAACTAACACAAATATCATTTTAATGTAACATGATCCTTGAATTGAGAAATAACACAGTTACTTATGAAATTCTAGCACTTTTACACTTTTGGATTTATTTACACTGTCATTATAAGATGATTTTAACTGACAGAATTTATGAAATAAACTCAATATTTAGTTTTATCTCAGGTATTATAATCGAATTGACACAAATATTTACACAGACTTGCCATATTTTGATGTTTAATTTTCTTACTAGTCTCCAAATATAGCAATAGAAATCTATTTTGTTTCCATCAAGGAAATGTTTTTATCAGTCTTGACAAGTTATGATTTGAATGAAAATCGTAGAACCAAAACAAAATCTAGAGGTATTAAAGGAATTTTAAAGAAGAGGGGACTCTGATAGCATCGGTTTGCACCTGCATTCCAAATTTTAAATCAGATGTCTGTAGTTCTCGCAATTCAAACTATATTGATGACATCAATAGCAGATTTGCGATAGTGGTGTCATAAAAAACCTACTTTTAGTGGAATTGCAAGAGTAAATTGATAATATCAGTGTTCCTGATACACATAAAAAGTTATGAAAACCTCTTTACAATCCTGTTAATAAGGATATTAGTATGTTTAACAACAATAAAGGCTTGTAAAATAAGATGTTTGAAAGGATATATTAAGTAAAAACATTGTTATTTTGATATTATAGATGTGGATGTTCGCGAACCTGATGAGAAATCTGTGATAACTTATGTTTCCTCATTATATGATGTGTTCCCTAATGTTCCTTCAACACAACAATCTCTTCAAGACAATGTAAGTTCATAGTAATTTATTCTCTATAGGAAGTTAATCAAATCTTACTCTTCCTGTCATTTATTTTAATTAGGAAAGGATTAACTTTAGCAAAAGTGTAACCGTGCCCAATGATTCAATGGAGGCCGCCATTTTCAATTAAAATCCTCTACTCAAGTCTATTTAGCAATGACAACTATAGTCTATTTAGCAATAACAACTAAGAGCCCCTATGACTTAATGTTAGTGTATGGCACCAATCCCGCCCAATCAATGCCAAATGACAATACCTCTAACTATTCCTTGCAAGGTTAAATGGTATTGCGGACCAGTTTACCAGAGCATAAGTGTTAGTATAAGATGATTGAGAACAAAAGAGTTGTGTATACTACAGACTTGAGGAAATTGACCTGCCGATGAGTAAAATATAATTTATTTTGTAGGAAAGACAATTGAAAATTGAAGAATATAGAGATTTAGCCACAGCATTATTAAGATGGTTACGTGATGTACATGTGATGATGGATGACAGAAAATTCTCTTCATCACTCCTAGAAATGAAGGTATATATCATATCATATATCTACTTGTTAATCTCTAACAAATAAGTTTTTAGATAATTGACTACGTAATACCTATTTAGATATTTTTCCTCTTGACACATATACACAATATCTGTATGATTTGATGAAAGGTTACAACAATTGAAGTTATGACTCAACATCCAATAGAAGGTTCTATAGCACAGTCAGTTAGAGCTTTGGTTCTTTATATGACATCATTTGCTTGGTTACATCAAACAAATGGTTGCTGTGTGAAAGTCCATTGACCTTGAATGCGACATCTTTATTCATCTTTATTGATAATGGGTACGGATGATCCAGGAAAGATCAAAGCCAAGAGGTTTGACTAAGTACCAGCTGGTAGAAAAGATCCTAAGCTATGAACCCAAGTTATCCTTGTAAAATATAGTTGTTTCTCTATTCTAAGCAGTCTATTCTACCAACTGGTAGAAAAGATCCTAAACTGTGAACCCAAGTTGTTATCCTTGTAAAATATAATGGTCTCTATTCTAAGCAGTCTTTCCCAAAATCTAGTCTGTATTTTAGTTCAGGTTTTTTTTCTGTATCTCAATGCAAGTAATTCTGTAAAATGTGTTGTTTTTGTATTATAATAGGCTTTACTACAAGACTTTAATAAGTTCCGGTCTGAAGAGGTTCCACCAAGATTAGATGTCAAACAAAGATTATTTAAGATATTTGATCAAATCAAGGTAAGAAATTGGAAATTAGATTAAAATTGTCAGTTTTTTTAGTGCTTCACATTTTTACAAGAGACATTTGCAGCAGTCTATGCAATATGTTAAAAATATCTTTGCAAATTCTTAAAAAGAGGTGAGGTAGCTTATTGTCACCACCTTTACTCAGTCTTTACAACTTACTAAATAGCTGTGTTTTGGAAATTTAGAATCTAAGTACAGACAAATCCAACATTGGTGTAGAAGAAGAACTGTATCCAGAAAATATCAACAGATTTTGGACAAGATTTACAGCAGCACTACAAGAAAGAGATATGGCCATGCAGGCAGAAATACTCAGGTTAGTTAGCTCATTAAACATTTAACACATTATTTTATTCAAAGTATTATTATCATAAGTCCTGTGCCTGTGCTTTCGTAACTTTGTCATTTGTACAAACTTACAACCTTTACCCCTATAATAAGACAAAAATGGTGACTGTCACATGAGTAAATATTCCACAGACAGAAAGTATTGTTGCAACTTTGAAGAACCTTGTAAATTTATCAATTCAGGTTAGAACGACTCCAAAGACTAGCAGAGAAAATGAATCGTGAATGTAAAACAAATGAGGAAGCATTAAGTACACTAGAGAGACGTCTGCAAGAGGAAGAGAAGAGAATTGAATCAATCCATCCATTTGAAGCCAAACGTAGTTGTGATTCTTTAGATAGAGACTTACATAATATTGAAGATACAATTCGCAATCTGTTCCGTGATGTACAAAGTTTACAAGATGGCCGCCATCCACAGGCTGATCATCTTTATAGAAGGTAAGTTGCTACTAATCTGTTTCAAATAGACTGTAGACATTTCTTATGTATCCTTGTAACTACTGGTGGGGCGATGTATTTCAAGTTTGTGTTAAATGGTGATTAGAACATAGTCTCATAAAAGCACTGGTCAAGGTCACAAAGTATAGATTGCTAAAACAAGGTTCAAAAGTTAAGAAAAATAGAAAGTTCATCGGCACTTTTTTTTTATTTTTGTTGGAAACTATAAGACAGTGGATGTTATATATCAACTACTAATATCACAGTTAAAAAGTTATAAATTAATATATATTAAAACTTTGAAGATAAAATGATAATTTTTATCCCATTATCCAATTTCGTGATACGTATTGTATCGTGACCCTTGTATCACGATAGACATTGTACCACGGTATGATTGGTAATACCCAGCACTAATTGTAACCTCTTTTCTGTCAGTTTCATTAATTCAAGCTTAGCTGGCTTCATCCTGTGACATAATGCACAGTTTACTAAGACTAAAAATTTTACAACAAGTTTATAAAAAAATGTCCAAATTACCATTGTGCCAAATTTGATTTCGGGGAAGGTGTAAAAATATTTGTATGTGTATATAGATATAGATATTGAGTTTTCTCAATTTATTTCAGAGTATCTGACTTACAGTCTAAATTATCTCAACTGAGAACACATTTATATAGTAATGTAATTCAGCCATTATTATCTAAATCATACGTAGAAGAGGGACGTACTACTACTAAACGTACCGAGATTGTTACTGAAGTAAGATTAGTTGATACAAATCCTGCCTTTAAACATATTCAAGACTGTTCAGATTGGATTGAAGCTAAACAGGTAAGTGATTAAAATAGATCACCTTAATGTCACAAAAAATATTTCATCAATGTTAAAATTTTTTTTACATTTAGAGGATGTTTATACATTAAGAATAATGAAAATTTTATAAGGAATGTTCATTTTTATTGACTATCAGAGTTTAAAATATTGTGGAATTAACATATGATATGACAACTATGCAAATAGCAATCCAGTTGTCTATAGATTTTGCCCTCCTAGTTGATAAAGCTGAATTTTTTATCCAGAGCACTTTGCTGTCGAATTTTTTGCTCTTAATGTAAAAAAAATGCCTTTTATTCCTAATAGTGTTATGGATCTAAAATATTTTGACAACTATTTTGTAAACTTTTTTTTGCTTTCTTGAAACAGTCAGAAGAATTATTTTGATCACTATTTTCAAATATTTTAATGAGTTGTTTAAGATGTCACTATAATAACTGACTATGTTGATATTTACAGCAAATACTAGAGAATAGTGAATATGATAGTGATTTATCTAGACTACAGAAATTAATACATGAACATGACTTAGATCATAAAGAAGTTTTAGCATTCCGTTCAGAAATAGATCAATGTATTAATAATAGAGTAAGTGGTTTTATTAATATTCTTTAGCCATAATTTTTGGGCCTTGGCCTCAAACACCCAAATGAGGCCATAAAAGATGAGAAATTTATTCTACTTAGATATATCTCTGGCTTCCCTCATTAGAAATGTGCCAGGGTGTCACAAGCTCAATCCCTGAGTTCCATATAATTTGTAATGAAAATGTGATTTAATGAACCTCTTCAACAGATGTAATGGCACTTGTCTGGAAGTGTATAAAAAATATTACTTGTCAAAATTCAGTAGGGTTTAGGGCTGAAATAGGTCATTTGTCTGATGATCGCACAGCTTGAAACTCTGTGTAACAACATGTTTCAGGTTCTGTCTTTATATGGTTATATTTTTATTATTCAATGTATTTAGTTTTTAAAATTAGAAATTGCACTTAATTTTTCAAAATTAAACAAATTTTGAAACTATTGTGACTGGAGATTCTTCATTTACAATATTTACAAGTAATTTCATGTTAATTTCTCCATTCTATTTCTTTTTCAGCTAAGTCTTTCATCTGAAGAACAAAAACTGTACACACAGAAATTATCAAAATTAGAAGTTTCCTACTCTTTACTAACTGTAAGTATATATAGTTGTTTATGGGTTTGGTTTATTGACATATTGTCATACTGAACATTTTCTACAATCCCATCTCAATCAACCTCCAATTAAAACACATTCTTATTTCTCTCCTACAAAAACAAAGTTATTCAACAAAACCTGAACATCACTGTTTATTTTGATTACTTTGTCATTCAAACTCCCACATGATTATAGGCAATTTATGTGATAGCTTATAACTTTAACCTAGTGGTTCATGACAATCACATGATATTACATGACAATCACATGATAGTCCATGACTATCACATAATAGTTCATGACAATCACATGACATTTCATGACAATCACATGATAATTCATGGTTATCACAATTATGATATGTCATGGCCATCACATGATATTTCATGATAGTTCTTGACAATCACGTGACATTTCATGACTATCACATGATTGTTCATGATTATTACAATCATGATTAGTCATGGACATCACATGATATTTCATGATAGTTCATGACAATCACGTGACATTTCATGGTTATCACATGATAGTTCATTATTATTACATGATATTTAATGGTTGTCTCATGATAGTTCATAACAAGAACATGATAATTCATGACAATCACATGATATTTCTTGACAATCACATAATATTTCATGGTTCACATCGAACGATAATTCATGGTTGCTATACATGACACATAATAGTCAATGGTTAGCACATGGTATTTCATGGTTATCAATTGATGGCTCATGACAATTACAACTGTTAGTGTTAGTAAAATAACTGTTTGCCTTTTACATCAAACCTCTGAAATATCCTAAACTAAATGTCTATCTATTTGTTTGCAATAAAATGAAAATCTTGTTGATTGTAGAATACATCAAGTAGAAGACAGAAGTGTTTAGAATCTCTATTAGAGTTTATAGAAGCAGCAGCAGGAGAAGTGTTATGGTTAAGTCAGTTAGAGGAAAGAGAGGTGGCTAGAGACTGGACATCTCGAGATCTCAATATTCAACAAGAAGAAGAATATTTAAAGGTAATCTTTTAGCTTGGCTACATAACATTTCCATACATAGTTACAATTTTACATGAGAAACACCAAGAATGAAATTTATCTTCAAATTTTACACGGTATGCAATTCAAGTTAATTTCCTAATGATGTTTATATTATTGAAGACAAACTAAATTGCAAGATTATGATAGCATCTGATTATATACCTGGTTTGCTTAACTAGCAGTGGCTCAACTAGATGATTTTGGTGCCCAAGGACTTATGTCTTGCTAAACATATGCTCTCCTGCATTATATTCTGAGGTTGGAGACCCCACTTAGGAGTGAGGGGCCTGTGGACTTAGTTCAATCAGTCCCCATGGTAGTTGGTGTCTTTATCAATGAGTTGTTTTACTCTTGAAGGTTTTAAGATTTGTGATCAGGTTTGGGCTGTGGAAAGACTTTATGTTTACTTTTGATACCATTATCGAATCACAGGGTCTCTGTATATTTATGTTAATGCCTCTTATTGTATTACAGAGTCTAATAAGACAGTTAGAAACTAGAGAAGGACAGTTTAATGCTGTACAAGAACGAGGTGGAGCTCTAGTGTTAGATAGACATCCAGCTAGTAATATTATTGAAGCATTTATGTCCACCATGCAGTCTCAATGGTCTTGGATGATACAACTAACAACCTGTTTAGAACTTCATTTAAAACATTGTCAAGATTATTATCAGGTATTGAAGACATTTAAACACCATTATATTAGTCAATTTCCCTAATGATATATCAGAAATAATATGTGGTAAAAACAAAAAATGACTTGATATTAATGAGACCAGTTGATAATAAGAAATTGAAATCTAATAGTTTATTGTAATATAAAAAATTAAAGGGATTGAAAAGAGGTTTTCTAAAATTTTATATGTATCGTGACACTAACAGCACTGATGTGCGCCATTCCAATTTTCAGTCATACATTTGTGATTCTTGCAATCTCATTATATTCCTATTCTCTGAAATATATCGAAAAAATTCAAAAAACTTTTTGATTTGCTTAGACAATAGGCATAATGTGACATCAATTTTACACAGGTTCTTATATATCAATAGCAGCTTTTTGTGATAGTGATAAAATCGTGTCATACAGATGTAAGAGGCAAATTTTTAACTCCATTTCATATGTATTTTTTATTAGTATTCAAGTGCTCAGTAATATCAGATTTGAATATATGTGTGTTGTGTATATGTGAAAGTAATTTTACTAGTCTAATGTCAGTAGGGATTCAGGCTGAAATAGGTCAGATGTCTGACAAAGGCAAAGCGTGAAACCTTCAGTAACAACATGTTTCAGACTCTGTTTTGATATTTCGAGAAATATAATTAGAAATAATTTTTTTTGCAGTTTTTTGAGGATGTACGACAATGTGAACAATGGACTGTACAACATACAGATTTATTAACTAAACGTTATAATAGACCCAATATACCTGTGGAAGAGGCTGAATTACTTCTCCGAGAATTACAGGTACAAAGTTATACTCTAAACTACTTTAATGGCCATCATGTCTCTTTTTTTTCTGGTCAACTGGAATAGAAATTGACCAATTATATCCTGATGTTTTCAGATCAGATCTCTAAAATTGAGATCTTGGCCAGCCTTGATTAGGTAGCTTTTGTGAACATTTCCATTTGTAAGACAGTTGATGCTCACTTGAATTCATGAATGAGGTACTTTTTCTTGGCATGAAGAACCAATTGTGGTTATTTAATTATCAAGTATTATTCTGTTTTGTCCAAAGTATAAAGTATGCAGGAAGATGGCTCTTGATTGGTGAGTCCTGAACAGGATCCAATTCTGGCCTCAATTGGTACAGATCTAGATTATTCCAATCAAAAGTTTCCCTTCTATTCCTTTCTCCGCCATTTTTAATTCTGCCTTTCACCTACTAATTTTGGCACATGTTCTAAATCTTGGTCTTACTTGTTTTATTGAATGTCATGTTTATTCCATGAATCCTGAACGTCCAGAACTTATCAACTGAGCAGCTCCAATAGCATCAAGCTCTATTGATGGTTTCTGCCTCAAAATAACTTATTTTCTGTTTTGTCTAAGATATAAAAATTGTAGTAAATCAACTTCTTTAAACATTGATAAAAATCATTTGACCAGAAATTTTTGGGACTTCTTTTGCAGGAATTGCAAGAACAACTTAAAGAATATGATAGAAGAGTTTCGTCCTTGATTCTCAAGAGTCATGAAGTTATTCCCCTTCCACAACGAGGTCGTCCAGTACATCGACCAATCAAAGCTAGGGCTTTATGTTCATATCATCAAGGAGATGTAAGTCCAGTAATTTGTTTTTAATTTTGAAGCAGAGCTATGGAAAGAAATTGATAGGAGAATACTCATTTGTGGTATGCTTGTTTAGAGAGAAAATAATAGGGCAAGGCAAGGATCTCTATGATTTAAATAACTCTACTAGAATTTCCCTTTCCTCTATTAAAAATGAATTGTTGTCCTCTCTTAATTTTTCTTGTTAAAGTATATTTGTTAAAATATGTAATATTTTGATATTGATAAATGATCCTGATTTTGTAGATAACTCTGAATAAGAATGATGAATGTTTCCTCATGGATAATACTCAAAAACAAAAATGGAAGGTAAGTTCATGACTTCAATATTAGTATGGCTAAATTATTGATTAAGTGGTTGAGAAATTACTCTCATACCCCTTAAAGTTTACTTTTATTCAGTTAGGCTGGGGTCCTTGGCAGCTGGGCCCCAGCAAGTAAGAATTAAACCCCAGAAAAGCCTTCTTCAGTTCAATGCATTTACACCATCTGGTACAAAATCAAAAAGATATAGATTTTGGAACCTCAAATTTGTCAAAAACAAGTTCTCTGGGCCATTAATTCTTCAATTAGTACAAAGCCCCAGCACCAATTCATTCCTGGCAACAGGGCTGCTATCATTATCACCAATCTACATTCATAGAGCAATTGAATGAAATGAAAAAATGGGTTCTGCCCTAGCAAAATTGTTGTTCTCACTAGTACCATAATATATTTGTTTAGATGTGTAGAGGTTATGATAATTATTTGGTCTATTTCAGATAAAAACATTAAGTGGTAGTGAAACTATTATACCATCTGTATGTATGTTGATACCACCACCAAATCAAGATGCTATAGATTATGCTAATAGGTAGGTATATCTAGAATATTCTGTCTTGTTTGAAAAATGAAATGAAATGAATGGAGTTTTATGCCCTACTATTCTGCACCTGATTGGTCTAATGAAGATGGGCAATGCCATGCAGTGTGCAAAGAGGGTAATTTTGCCAGGAGAACTGAATTAACTTGCTCTTTTGTCTGTAAAATCTAGAATCTATATGTAGCATGTCCCATCTGAACGACTGAACGCTTTATTCATGTCAGCCCCTCTTACTTGCAATGCGTACAAGAGAAAAAAACAGGATGAAAAATCCCAAGGTATTATGTCGACCTTTGATGGGATTGTACCCTGGACCTTCAAATTAGTGCTTGTTTAGAGGGGATTCAGCGCAACGACACAAGCATCTTAAAATTAGAGCTATCATGGTTAACAAAACTTCTGCCATATACTCCGGTCTCGGATAGTTATACAGACAAATTCATGATTAAATGGTTTAGTCCCATCATACAATCTGAAATCTCCTTGTTGAATTTGACTAATTACATCTGGAAACAAATTTGTTTTGTCCATTATACCTAAATATTTAAGATGATGATATCTTAGTTAATATGCAATTTCTTGTTCCTTTTAGATTAAAGATTCAGTTAGACCATTTATCTAGTTTATGGAAACAGCAGCAACGTAAACTACGTAAAGACATGGTTTTCGCTACCATCAATATTGTCAAAGGCTGGGATCTTAAAAAGGTAATTCAGTTGGATTTTTTACTATTATTTTGTTGCAGTGTAATAAGAACATTTGAGATTTTGCTGGTTGGAAAGCTGTAAGACTTCTAATAGTTAAGTTGATATTTTTGTTTGTGCATAGCTCATAGCTCTAATGCAGTGGTTTCCAACCTATTTCAGCCTTCACACCCTGGAGCAATCACCTGGACCTTTCACATACCCCAAATATTTGTTTCATCCACATTTTCAGCATGTGATGATGTGAGGTGCTCTCTCAACTCAAAATAAATTCTTTCCCTACACCATTTGGCCACACCCCTGACACCCTAGTTCATCACCCCCAGGGGATGAAAACACCCCAGGCTGGGAACCTGGCCTTGTATTCTGGAAACGATCTTATCTCTAGGATGTCCTAGAATCAATGTCAGAAGATAAGAACCTAGGACATCCTGATCGTTTTGAGAATACATGGCCAATGATCTTAAATCAGAAAGGATTTATGATTATGTCTAACCCATTTCATCATCTCAAAGGTCATCTCTTCACTCTTCATATGTGTCTTTTTTTCTAGTTCTGTGCTATGGATCCTGGACAAAGAGAAGCAATATGGAGAGCATTAAACGATGATGCTCATAAACTATTAGCTGATTTAACATCAGATGATATGGACAAACCTAGATTAAAGAAAGAATTAGAATTATGTAATAAGATATTTTTAGATTTATCAGCCCAAGCAGCAGCACTAGGTAAGGTTTTTGAAATTATTTAAAAATTAAAACCCTATGAATATAACTTATAATATGTGACTGAGTTGACAAGAACAGTTACTGAGTGGTATCAAGTATGGAGGTCACAGAGCTGATGTGGCTCTGTAGGTTGGACGCTTGCTTACTAACCTGAGGTATCCGAGTTCAATCCTGGCATAGGTCAATACCTTAAGATTTGTTTACCAAGTTTCCACTGCATTTCAGAGGGGCCAAAATGGAAAAAGCACCAAGTCGTTTGGATTGGACAATAAAGCAGAACAGTATGTGCTACAGGCTGTGCACACAAGGTTGACAATCCAGGCAAAAATTTACCTCAGTGCACACTGCATGGTGTTGCCTGTCTTCATTGGCCATTTATGTACAGATGAGTAGGAAGTTAAACTCTAATCATTTCAATTTTGTTTCGTTTGTTTTACAAATTTGTTAGTTTGCTCCTATACTTATCTTTGAATACCACATTAGTTCAAAATTTTAAGTTTAATATAATTTTTATTTCAGAAGCCCAACAAAGCAGATCTTCAGCTGAAAATTTGATTCAACAGTTAGATAGCATCAATAGAAATTTAGGATTGTGTGATCAACAGCTATCATCTTTATTACATAAACCTGTACCACAGAGTAGAGTAGCTATACAGGATGCCTTCCAATCATATAGGGTATGTATAGCTTAATGAACTGACTCTTCTTTTCTTATTGTACAAAGCACATACATTGCCAAAACTTTTATGTGAGTCATAAACATAATCAGGCCAGTGTTAAAGTATGAATAGCTAATTTCGTATGAATTGTCAATTATTATTACATGTAGGCAATATCCAAAGACTTCAACTTAATATTTTTTCATTCCATCATATTTCTGTTTCAAGTCACTGTTATTTAGTTTGCAGTAAAACATATAACCTTGTGTTACCAATTTTCAGTGTAAATATTTTCAAGTAATTTGACCAAATTCATTAGCTTCATGACCCATTACATATTGACAAACCAAATAGCCAAATTGACAGCCATGTCATTTTCCAATTAACTTTTCCCATTTATGGTTGATCGGTCGAAGGCTTGAGTAAGAGATATTATTTTAGGGCCGTATTCTAGAAAACTTGTGATGATTTTTGTGTTGCAATCATCGGATTGGTCAATAACTAAAATTGATTTTAAATCTTGTTTTTTATTATCCAATCAGATTATTGTTTTTCTAAAAATCTGGATATGATCTTATTTAAGTTTTCGAGAAAGAGGCACCAGATATATATAACTATACATAACTTTTTATGATATTTATAATCCAAGTAACTCTATGATATGTTAATATTGTAAATTTTAGGATTTTGAGAAAAGATTAGACAATCAAGAACGTGAAATAGAATCTGTCCAGAAAGCTTATGTTACAGTTACACCTAAATCACAGCTGGTCGAATCCAAACTTAATCTGGTTGTACAGAAATGTGGAGAATTGAAAGCCATTTCACATGTTTATGTACAGAGGTAAGAACAATTTATACTTCTGTTAGTTTCGAAGAATATAATCTTTTAAAATTTGCAGTTGATTTTTTACATTGAAGAATTTTATTGATTGGGTGAACAATTAGTATTTTGATGGTAATTTTAGAAATTCTTTGTTAACTTTAATGGTAATAATTAAGTTACTACTGATGTTTTATTGTAGATTAAAGACAGCTGAGTCTGTTGTATCTGGTTTAGATGATGTTAAACAGATTGTATCAGACTATGAGATCACTTTAACATCACATGATAATATGACATCAGACCTCAATATTCTTAGTGATCAACAAGAAGAACTTCGGGTAAGACTTTTATTTGTAAACATGAAAACTCTGGCTTAAGAAAGATTTTCTGTACCCATTTATTACTGAGTCAATTTGAATATGGTCATTGGACTGTCGCATACTAATCGAAAATTGACGTTACTAAGCAAGTGACTTCATGACTGTAAAGAACCAATGCTCTGACCAACTGTGCTATATAACTTATATATAGTATATACACATAGATGCAAACTTTATATAAATTACTGTCCATTTCAATTTATCAGGCAAGTCATGAAATTTGTACGAATTTTGATTTCCTAAACAACAAAGTTGAAGTCAATTCTTCATCTATTCAAGAATTTTTTATCAGAAAATTGAGCTGTGACATAACAAAAAAAACACATTGAAATTTAATAATAATATTATGACAATTTAGCTTCTCTGGATCCTTTTACCAATTGCCAAAGATAAAAACTTTTAGCATTGGATTACCTATTTCTTCCAATCCCATTTACAGCTGGAATCAACTGGAATGTCAAAAGAAAGATAACAATTGTATATTCTTTTGTTTACAGGAGATCCAATCATCAATACAGCAGCAGCAACCTAAAATAGATCAACTGAGGAAAGATTGTGGATCATTAAGAACATTAGTAGAGAATAGTAGACAGACGACAATGAGACATCATGATGTAGAGTCTGTAGAGAAAGATGTTAAAGAATTGGGTAGTAGATGGGACAATGTCTGTATACAGGTTGTAGAGAGGTGAGTCTTTGTGGAGAGAAAAGCATGAAAATACGCTTTTAAGCTTGCTTGGTTTTATCAAAACTGTATGCTGTGACACATCAACAATCTGTTTTCACTATTTTGATGCTGAAGAGGTCATTTGTTTTGGACATATGAACATTCATGTAACCAAAAATTTACAAGCTCAAGGTCATTTTAGCCTTGTGGGTAAGAAATAAACAAAATCTGTTTAAGTTTGTCTGAATATGACTAATTCATGGATTTTTTTGACCTTCTGAATGCAATTATTGAAGAAAAAAAGAATAAAATGAATTATGTTTTAAGGTTGAGAAGTGTAGATGCATCACAAGATTTATTATCTGTGTATCATAATGGTGTACAGAGTGAACAGAAGTGGGTTGATCAGATGGAATCTAAGATCAATTCCCACCCACCTTTAACTGGAGATGTTGTTGATGCCAAACAACAGCTAGAACCAACTATGGTAGGGCTTTATTTAATTACTTTTGAATGGAAAGGATTATAAAAAAGGTTTTCTAAAAAAATTCTAAAACTGAAAATTGAAGATCAAATTGATTTGCACCATTCTAATTTTCAATCAGGCGTCTGTTATTCTTGAAATTCCACTAAAAGAATGTGTTTTATGATGTCAATATCAAAGGTAATTATATATCAATATCAGATTTTACTATATTGATGTGATAAAATGCTTACTTTTAGTGGAATTAGAACCACAGACATCTAATTGAATATAAGAATGGTGCAAAAATTAGAATGGTGCAAAGTAATGCTATCTGTGTCCCACTCACCGCAAAAACACAAAAAGATCAGTTCAAACGTGTTTAAAATTCCCTTTAAAGGACAATATGGGGGTTGAGTAATCTGGTTCACTCCATGATGATGATGTATGTGTCAAGATTTTGTTGAAATGTTGGCCTTTGTACAGCATGACATTGAGCAGTACAGCCAGCCTTACGAAACAATTGGGGGCAGACTGACTCAATGGGGGGACAACTGCTGAGGCTGAATTAAAATTTTGGCTGCTCTGTGGTGGTGTTGTAGTCGCAAGCCTCTCATAGAAGATCATAGAGGGTTCTCTCAAGAAAATTTTAGAAAAAATGAATTGAGTTTGTACATTCTGACACATATTTTGGAGAAAAAAATTTCGACATTTAGATTTGTGGAAAATAAAGTGGGGGTGCAAACCACTTTTTTGGGAGGTAAATTCCTGTACCTTCACTGACATTGAGATATCTAAAGATATGATTTTGTACAGTGTTTCCTTTTTTACCAACCACCTTCTATTTTAATATTTATTACATCTAACCTTTTTATTTTTAGACTGTTTATAATTCACTGGGTGAAAGAAGACATCAAATAGAGAATGTAAATAGGCTAGGTGGACAATATATACGTGAAGCTAAGGTATGTTGTTTAAATCAATCAATAAATGTATATGGTATGAACATACCATACACATTTTTCTTATGTCATTAATGCCTTAATCACAATTTTGTTTACAGATTTTTTTCACTAGCATGAGTTTTGCTGTGATGCATGCTTATTATTTTAATTATTTTTCACGCTTTATATTTTGTTGATTGATGCGCACAGTGCAGAATCCCAGATTGCTACAAATACCCACTTCACCACCTACCCTGCTGGCATGTGCAGATTTTTGTTTTGTCAGCATTTTGTGTTTCATATTTCATTTGTGTTGTCTTTTTTTACCCAATGGGTTGCAATAAAATTTGTGTTTCATATTTTGTGTTATTTCATGATTTATCGTAGAATTTTGTCATCCTTTTTCCTAACCAACTAACTACTTTATTATTCCCTGTTTTTTTATTTCTTCAATTCTTCTGGATAGAAATTAATGTGATTTTTCTGTGAATTAACCTATAAAATAATGTAGAAAATGTAGATCATGAGGCAATTTAGAGATATTAATGCTGTATTTTAGCAGTTGTATTTTAAATTAGAGATATTTAGAAATTAACATTTTTTTGGACTGAATAAGTTCATTATTACGCCCTTAACAATTTTACTACTTTTTATTTTTCACTGCTAACCCTGCCCTTTTTTTTTATATATATATACTCCACAATTTTTTTCTGTTTGATTGCTATAAATTTTTTTATTGTTTCACTTTCATTTTAATTTCCTTTATTTTTTTGCCAGCTAATGAAAAATTTAGTTTGCAGAAATTTTTGAGTTGAGGCTTTTGTTGAACACAAACACCTATTTGTGTATACATTTTGGGGCCACTATTTTGCCAATATTTTGTTGCACAGTTCTGCACAGCTTGTACCTACCCCTTTGTTTGCTTTGATCCGTCTGCTTGTACCAAGGGCCCTGTACCCTCAGTAGTAAGTAAATTTTTACTTGTGACAAGGTACCATTTTACTTCCAAATTAATTAATGTGATCTCTTATATTTTTGTATCACTAGAAGAAGGATAATATCTCAGTGAAACCACTGTAGTTATAACACAGCTTATGTGTTTTTGGTTTAGTTTATAATTTATTTACAATAGAATTTTATACTTTCCTCAAACATCTAAAAGGGCTTAACCTTTTCAACTTTAACGGCCACTCTACCTACCATATAATTTTGTGATACATAGGAGAACAGACTGCAAAATACCCACAATTTCAATGTCATGTGCTTTAAGTTACATGTGTAAAACTTGAAATTTAGGGTCAATGATGTTTTGTTTGAATTACACTCTGTGTTCAAAGGGTTAATTTCAGCATCACATATGATTTATCTTGAAGATAAGAATATCCTAGTTTTGGTTTTTATATAAATTCAAGTACCGGTACTTCACAAACTGAAAACTTCTGCTCTCCATTTTCTTGATTAAGTTCTATCAGCTGTAACAGCAAATAACTATAAATAGCTCAATTCATAGGATACAATTTTTGGTCTCATAGTCAAATGGTACCTCAGTCATTTCTTAATAACTGAAATAATAAATACAAATAATTTGGAGATACCTTGATTTAAAAACTAAGGTTTAAAAGAAATAAAACTCTGAACTTGTATCATTTTGTCCAAAATTACAAAGTTTGTGTTCAAAGCATCTTTATGTTAGTGTTTTAATGCATGCCTGCTTTATTTGTTGCTATGCCTACAGCTTTTAATTGTTTTTAACAGCATTAATATTGCATGGTTTGTTGCTAAATAGTTGCAAGTTGCTAGTCTCTTCCTAATACTAATAAGACTAATTCTGTCTGTAGTGTTTCACTTCATCATACCATCGGATTCTGCCATCATTGCATTATATGTTATAACATTTTGATAGAATGAAGATTTTTGACAAAATTGTCATGTTGTTTCTTGTAGCATTATATTATCTGAAATGTTTTTTACTGAATTTTGGAAATTTTCCTGAATTTCATTGCAACAAATATGATTTATTTTGAAGGCACTGATGCCAAAATCCTGCAACTTTTATGACAAATTTCTAAACAGTAGCTTTTAGGCTTCTGTTTCTGTAACTCCAACTCTTATTTTTCTAATATCAGATATTCAAAATTCCATATAATATATTCTCATAGTATCAATAATGGATTCCAAAAGATGATTCAGAATCATGATATAGATGAAAAAATTTATTAATCAGTGTGAAAAATCATCCAAAGAATCATGATAATCCATAATAATTTACATCTATCAAATTTATTTTATGTCTCAGAAAAGTTTAAAATCCTATTTTGTCAACTGTTTTGTATAATTATCTGTATTATTGCTCATACACTGTATGATTTGTTGCATGTTTCATGTAGGCCTATTGATATATATTATAATGCTTTGATCAGAATATTCTTTATATTAAAGGGATTGTAAAGAGATTTTCTAAATTTTGTATGTGTATTGGGGACACTGATAGCATCAATTTGCACCATTCTAATTTTCAATCGGACGTCTGTGGTTCCTGCATTCCACTAAAACTAAATGTTTGATGACCTCTCTAATCGTGAAGGGCCTTATGTAATACAAGAATATTATGCAATTAGTGAAGTTATCAAACACTTTGTAGGAAGCACAGACAACTGAATGAAAATTTGAATGATGCAAATTGATGCTATCAGTGTCCCTAATTTACATACAAAATTCAGAAACCCTCTTTAGAATCCCTTTAAGAATAGATGGTTTGATAAGACAAACATTGCCTTTTATGTTTAACACTATTACATACTGTACATGATCATCACATTACATTTCATTGAATATAAGCATAATTTTGATTGGATTAATTTGAACTTATTTAGAATTATTATATATACTTATAATAATCATTAAACTGAAAATGATTTTGCTGACAAAAAAAGAGCACTTGGTTTAAATCTATTTTGGTTATTGGGTTTGAAAAAAAAATGTATATATCTCAATAAAAAAAGAGATAAAGAATAAAAAGAGTATAATTTTGGGCAAAATATCTTGAATAAATCAAGATCGTAAAAAGGTTTAATAATCAAATTGATTTATTAACATCATTTGTCCATTGCCCCATTATATTCTCACAAAATTGAAGAAATTTCAAGTTGCATGTATAACATTGGCTTCTCCCATCATACTTTTATTCAAAATTACAATATCAAAGATATGGTGCAGAAATTCAGAACCCAGACAAATAACAATATATACATCAGAAAAATATAACCTGCTTCATGTATTTGCTACTTGCTATATTAGAACACCATTTAAAGATCCAAATGTAATTCTAAAGATATACTTTATTTGTAATACTTGTCTTTCTCTGAGAAGCATATGATAATTTCAGAAATGAAATGAATGAATGGTTCTACTCTTCTTCATTTTATTTTTGGAGACTTCAAAATGGTGTTCAGCTTGCTTATATATAACATAATTCACATGTCAAAAGATTGAACACTGATTTACATATAATAAAATATATATGTGTTAAAACAATAAATCAAGTTCTATAGCAATCAATTTATATTGATACTCTACATAATGTTAGCTATATATTCAACCTAAATAAAGTTTTATATCAGTTCCGGCATCTAAATATTATCAGAATAAGCATATCATAGCATGCATGTATCCCATACGTAAAAAATATACTCCCTTCATCTTTAGGAACATTACTCCCTCATCTTTAGAAAAATCTCATCTTTAGAAAAAATTACTCCCTCATTTTAAGAAAAAAATTACTGCCTCATCTTTGGGAAAAATTACTCCCTCATCTGTAGAAAAAATTACTCCCTTATCTTTAGAAAAAATTACTCCCTCATCTTTAGAATAAATTACTTCCTCATCTTTAGAAATAAATTACTACCTCATCTTTAGAAAAAAATTACTCCCTCATCTTTAGAAAAAATTACTCCCTCATCTTTAGAATAAATTACTACCTCATCTTTAGAAAAAATTACTCCCTCATCTTTAGAAAAAATTACTACCTCATCTTTAGAAAAAATTACTACCTCATCTTTAGGAAAAAATTACTCCCTTATCTTTAGAACAAAATTGATATTAAATTTTTATAAGATTAGTGTTAATTGAAAATGAAATCAAAGTAAATTTTTCTTTTGGACACTGTATATAATAGGTTGAGTACATTGCTTGATTGCCTAATTAATGATATTAATCACAAATCATCAATATATAATATACAATTGTTGATACTGTGATTTGATATTTAGGAGTTATAATAAAACTGTGCTAAAATATATCCTGCTGCACAATCACTAATAATATTGCTTCATTAATGCTTTATACATAAATTGCTTGAACACTTTAGAAAGTATAATTTCAAATTTAGATAGGTTCCTACAAATTTTAAATTTTATCTTTTTCAGATCTATGATAAAAGATTACGCCACTACAGGGAGAGTTTAGAAGAAATTGATGCTGCACTTGTTACATCAATGTCTAAACGTGGCAGACGTGTTGATGGAGCAGAAGTGGTGAAAATTGAATTGGATGATTTAAATGCCCGTTATATGAATTTGGTTAAATGGACTAACTTGAGATTAAAGCAGATAACTGCCATTTTATCTGATGCCAATGTTCAGGTACTTTGTCTTTTCATTGATGAAAGTTTTTAGAAATTTCTCTGTTATGATAACTAATTTGCTTTCAGTAATGAATTTTGAGGTCTATTGAAAAAAATAACCATGATTTCTGAAGCGCACAATCTCATGAATACACTGGTGCAAGGTATGCTCATTATTTTGGAACATAACAAGGTTCATATGCCTGATTATGTTATTTTGTTATTTTTATTCCTTATCTACAATAACAAGCAGTCAAATATCTACCAAGAATAGTATTGCAGCATCAGGTTTCTCTATGTATAGCTATATATTGGTTCAAGTTGATATCATCATATTAAACATTAATATATCACGATATGGGTATATATCGCAATATTTTTTAAGTTTGTTTTTTTACTGGTTTTGATAACAAGATATGCCATTATTTTTCTATCTAAAAATTTAAATGTAAGAAAAAACTATAAATATCTCTTAAAAACACCCCAGTCTTGAATATCATGAAAAAAAAATTGACGATGTATCATGATAACTACCATATATCACGACATGGAGATATTTCAGTATTTTTTAATCAGGCAATATTAGTAACGATATAAATTGCTATATGGATGTTTTTTAAAACTGTTGTCTTTATTTTTCAGTTCCAAATGGTAATTGATGATGAAATTCCTCTACTTCGTACATTCCGTGCCGAGCTAGCAAAACGTTCTTCCATGTTGGTTGATGATGACATGCAGGAGTTCTTCCAGCAGCTTACAGATGTAGAACAAAGTCAAACAACTTATCGGTCATTTGTAAACCATTCCACTCTACAGTCTGGTTCAACAGCTACAGCCGAACTTATAGCTTCTCCACGCCAAACTCATGTGATAGGATCTAGTTTAGATTCCCCTGTAACCTCACCTCAACTGTCTTTCCCTACAATTCATTCCGATAGTAATATAAATACTAGACTTTCTCAAAAGATAGCCACTATCAGCAGTATATCTATGTCTACCTATGGACAAGACTCAATGAGAATAGATGAGGGACCAATTAATGGACGCTATCAAACTGTATTTAGCGTGAAAAATACTGATGTATCATCTAGAGGACTGCCACTTCATGTTGACTCTGTGTTTAATCCACAAACTTCTCAAAAATTAACTTTAATGGAAGCTATAAATGCAGGCTTAGTTGACCTGAAAACTAAAACATTTTGTAATCCACAGACACGAGAGAAAATGACACTGACACAAGCAGCAGTGAAAGGTTTTATTGATGAAGATTTACATAAGAAATTAAATACATTATGTGGTATAAGTGATCCTAGGAGTGGAGAAGAACTCACGTTAATTGAGGCTATATCTAAAGGAATATATTTACCAGCTACTAACAAACTTGTTGACTCTGCCACTGGTGAAGTGGTTAGTGTAGTTGAAGCTGTTACACGTGGTATCGTGTCTCAAAGCTGTGCTGATGCTTTGTCAGGAGAACCAGTAAGATTGACATCCATAACACATACTCAAGCTGTGTTTGCTAATTCAGAACCATTAAGAACTGAAATGCCTTTAAGTTTAGCCCAGATTGTTAATAAAGGACTATATGATGGAAGTACTGGTAAAGTGATTGATCCAGTGTCTAATACAGAAATGACTGTTCTTCAAGCTGTTGAAAAAGGATTTATAAATCCCAGTTTTAGAGAAATTGATGATCCAAATACTGGGAACTTTATCTCTTTAACAGAAGCTGTGTCTAAAGGCATAATTGATCCAGTAGCTGGTGTCTTCAAACACAAAACCACTAATCAGAAATTAAGCCTAGATCAAGCACATATTCGAGGTTTACTCAAGATGCCTACTCCATTAGCAGAATTAGTAACCAATGGTGATATGCTTGAGAATGGAAACATTTTTGATAAGAATACTGGATTAGTATTATCTTTAAAAGAATCTGTTGAAGCTGGAGTATTGGATGGAGAGAGGAAATGTATTGTCGACCAAAACTCAAAGGAAGTGCTGTCAGTGTCTGAAGCTATTCAACAAAGAACTATAGACTCTCGGGGACTGTATATACCACCTGATTCAAATGACCCAATGCCTATTCTGGATGCTGTAGACAAAGGTTATATAAAATTGGTTAGTGAAGATGTTTCCTTTTCTGTACCTGGCATCAAAGACACACTTACAGGTGAAACAGTGTCTGTTCCTGAGGCTCTTAAACGAGGAATTTTGACAGAAAAGGGCACCATCCTTGATCGTAGGAGCAACCTTGAAATGGTACTGCAAGAAGCTGCAAGAAGAAATCTTATCAGCAAACCTCTAATGGATAATTTATTGAGACCTTCATCATTAAAAGATCAGTCAGGAAGAAATATTTCTGTACTACAGGGTTTAGAAAAAGGTATCCTTGACCCTGAACAGGGCATGATCAGAGACCCTAAAACAAACAAATCAGTCACATTCCAAGAAGCAACATCTCTAGGACTTATTAACACAGAAAATTCCATGGAAATCTTGGGACTTATTAGTCCGTTGGTGACGTCAACTACCATACTTACTCACATTCAGCAATCACCAACAGAAGTTGTGACTGCCATGACCATTTCAGAAGCTACATCAAGAGGCCTTTTGAACTCTACAACCGGAGAATTTACTGATCCTTTGACTTCTAGAGTTATGTCAATCGAAGAAGCAATAAATAAAGGATACTTGATTTTGAGTGCTCAATGGCCAGAAACACAACATTCTCTAAATAAGTCATATGATGAAATTGATAAGTTATCAAGACTAACCAAAGAAGAATCAACTAAATTCCATGGTGGTGAACCTGTTGTTGAATCTAGCTTTATGACGAGGAAAGACAATAACCAATTCTCATTCACAGCAACCATGATTTCCAAGCCAGTGGTTAACACAAAGATGATCTCTGAGACTAAGGAGATGACTGTTAAAGCTGTTGTTGATCCAAGAACTGGAAGAGAAATGAGTGTGACTGAAGCTCAAGAACGTGGATTGATTGATATCGAGAGAGGCTTCTATAGAGATATCACTGGTAAAACCATGCCTATTGTCACTGCTGTAGATAGAGGCTTTATTATTGCAGAGAAGGGAGTTTATGGGGACAATTTGCTAAATGGTGAACCTATCAAAGAAACCAAATCATATTCCATAACTGGTGTCATCCATCCAAAAACCGGTAAAAGACTTCCAGTAAGTCAAGCTGTTAAAGAAGGAATCCTTGATCAAGACAATGGACTGTACAATGGAGTTGATAAACTTGGCAGATCAATGCAGTTACCAATAAGTGAAGCCATTAAAAAAGGCTATGTTATTGCAGAAGATATCAGTTCCACTGTATCCATGCCAGGTTCTTTACTAAGGGAAACTAAAACTTATAATTTAAAGAGTGTCAAGCACCCAAGGACTGGAAGAAGCATGTTGATTCCTGATGCAATTGCTGAAGGAATTATTAAAGAAAATGAAGGAATCTATATTAACACTCTCACTGGTGAGAAACTACCCATACATGAGGCAATTGAAAAGGGTTACATTGAAGCTGAACTTGTGTCAGTCTTGTCTAATACAGAAGGGGATGTAAACAAGATCACCACCACCAAGTTGACAACGTTAGCAGTTACAGCTGTAGTGGACCCAAGAAGTGGTAAACTTATAACAGTTGCTAAAGCTATTGAAGATGGTATTTTAGACAATGGTAGAGGAATTTACAAAGATATAGTCAGTGGTGAAACCATGCCAATTAATGATGCTATTGAGAAGAAGCTTGTACTTACTGAATCTGCAGAGTCAAAAGACAGTGATAATGAATCAGAGGCATCTTCTATACACAGTATCCACATCACTGAAGAACAAGAAGAATACCAGTCAACTTTTGTAGAAGACATTTCTTCAGAGACTATGTCAATCGCCATTAACAGTGTGGTTGACCCTGTTACTCATGAACTGGTATCGTATGATACTGCCATAGAAAGAGGTATTATAGACATTAATAAGGGAGTATATTTGAATGCCAAGATTGGTGAACAAATGACCATCAACAATGCTTTAGAAAAAGGTTTGATCAAAGGAGAGGTGACATCTAAGATGAAAGAAGAAGAAACCTTTCATAGTGCTGTGGTCACAGACACACCAACTCTTAGCGTGAAGAATATAACTTCTGTTATTGACCCTAGAACTGGAGATGCTCTATCCATCAAGAAAGCCATAAAAGAAGGTTTGATCAATGTTGATAATGAAACTTTTTGGAATACACGCACTGGAGAAGAATTGGATTTTGATGAGGCCCTACGTCTTGGATTTATCCAAACTTCAAAACACTCTGATGCTGCTGAATTAGAAAAATCAGTGGACTATTCAGAAGAAGAACTTGATCCCACAGTATTACTATCCAAGAGCTTTGACTCTGAAAAGCCCTGGTCAAATGTAGACATCAAAGTAGAAAAATCAGTATTGGAAGAAGCAGGAGATTCTACTTTAGCTACAGAAGTTCTTCACTATTCAACAGATGTAGAGACAAGTACACAAGTAAGAAAATCACCCAGAGAGACCTTCCCTCCAACATATTCAAAGCAGGATTTCACAACACCATTAAATCTTATTGATGCTGTCAAGACTGGAATATTTTCAGAGTACTCTGGGAAATACGCCAACCCAAACACTGGAAAACCATTCACACTTTATGAAGGACTGACAAACAACTTAATTGACAAGTATTTGGTAACTGTAAAGGACACAAAGACTGGAGAGAGGTTACCATTAGAGAGAGCTGTACAAATTGGTCTCATTGATGGATCAACAAGTGAAGTTATGGACAAAGCCGCCCGGAAACGTATTTCACTGCCAGAAGCTATATCAAGAAATATTGTTCAAAATGTGGTTGATACGGAGTCTGGTATGGTTACTGACATTAAATCTGGTCACCAGATTCCATTAAATCAAGCTATTGCTGAAGGCGACATACCATCAGAATCGATATCAATTTTAGACAAAAGTACTGGGGAACTTGTACCAATGGATGTTGCATACAGAAAAGGACTTGTTGATAGGAAGGGAAATGTTCAAGACCCCACCAGAGGAACACAAATGAGTGCCCAAGATGCTATTAAATTTGGACTTATGGCTGTAGTTGGAGCTCCCTTGATAGCTGGTAAAATGGTTGTTGATGCTGTAAGAGGTGATCCAGATCATGCAGTTGTTACAAGAAGATCTAAGTCACCTGCCAGATCAAAGTCACCAGCAAGGCCAAAATCACCCTCTTCTCACAGAATATTTAATGGCAACAATGAAGAAGTGGTGAAACCTTCCACTACTATCATATATGCTAAAGCTGGTGACAATATACAGCCTTCTAAACCCTCTGATTGGAATACCAACTCTGAGGAAAGTTTTCAATTTGAAAGCGACGACCGTATACCACCGGTAAGTCCTTATGTAGACCAGTCTCTAGGATCTGCCACCTTTTCCTCTACATCTAAAACTTGGTCTCAAAGTTCCGAGATGTCTCCCATGGTGAAGGGTTTTCAGCATGTTCCTACTTTGATAATACCAACCAATATAGGTGTCTCATCCCCTCTCTCCAGTTCTTTTCCCACATTTTCCTCTAGTGATATAGATGTAGATTGGAAGTCAAAAATTGTTACAATCAAGTCCACTGGTGAAAAACTGAGTGTTACAGATGCTGTCCAAAAAGGTTACTTGAACTCAGATGTCCTGGAAAACATAGCCCAAAACTCTGGTTTGCAACAAAATCAAGACATTAAAATAGATTGGGAAGCTGGAACAATAGCAGACATTCACTCTGGACAAAAATTTACCATAGAAGAATCGTGTGATAGGGGCCTGATAGACAAACCAACAGCCTCTGCTTTACTGGCTATTACTGGTGATTTCCCTGGTACTACTACATCTTCAAGACAAACTACTAAGACTGTTACCACTGATTTCAAACCTTTGACTGGTAGATCTGTCACTGTTAACCAAACATTATTATCAACAAACAATCAAAATGACTTGTCTCGAGGAACCACAATAATTAAACATGTAACAGGCTGTCCAAAAATATCATTAAATCAAGTAGTAGCAGAAAACCCTGCAGTAGCTGCTACTGGAAAAATTATAGATCCTAACACAGGCAGAAGAATGTCCATTAAAGAAGCCATAGAAAGTGATGTAATTGATGGTCTTAGATCAGTTGTTGTTGATCCAAACAGTGGTGAACGAATTACTCTCCAAGATGCCATAGAAAGGAATATTGTGGATACCAAAACTGGTCATTTTAGTCATGGTGGAACTGACGAAAAAATAACTCTACAGGAAGCATTTATAGAGGGTTTAATACCAGAAATTGACATCAACTCAAGCACATTATCATCAAGTGGTGTTGGTACTGGTGGCTCCTTAAAGAAAGTTGTGACCAAAATGGAAAAAATTCGTCCAGAGATTACACTTGAACAAGCTTACCAGCAAGGTCTTATAGATGTTAGCAGTGGTACATTTACAGAACCTACAACTGGACATGTATTGCCAATAGCTGCTGCCATACAAAGTGGGTGTATTATTTCTGGTCATGAAGAATCAAAATCAACTGTGCACCATACCATACAACAATCTAAGCAATCAGGTGTTGTTCACAGGAACAAAAACAATAGCTCAGCTGATCCTATGAATAGACTCTCATTTGCTGAAGCCTTAAACCAAGGATATATTGACTTGCATGATAAGAAATATACCGATCCAAACACTGGGAATAGAATTGCTATCTTGGATGCTGTTCAGCAACAACTTCTTGATACATCACAACCTTTAGAACAATCACAAGGAGCCATGCAAAGAAGTTTACAAACTGCTATAGATGAAGGCATACTGGATGACAAGAGCAAGAGAATTATCGACCCTCAAACAGGCAAAAATGTTACTTTCAAAGAAGCTATAAACACCGGCATAATTGATAGTAAATACTCCTTTTATGACATTAAATCTGGTGAAGTTTTTAATCTGCGAGAAGGAATGGACAAAGGCAAAATTGATTCAACAACTGGTGAATTTATTGGTGGTTCAACTCGCCAGTCATTAAAAGATGCTGCTAAATTTGGTGCCTTAGCAGTGATTGGAGCCCCAGTCCTAGCTGGTATGGCTGTTAAAGATGGAGTGATGTCAGCGATCCAAAAAGCAAGAGAAAGGAAACAAGACAAAGAAATTGTCTCCTTTCAAGCTACTACAGTTAAGCAGATATCACCCCAGACTTTGGAGATCACAGATATGACACAATCTACTCCTGCTGCTGATTCTAATTTAGATGCTGTCAACATGATGGAAGCTGTTTCTGCAGGTTTTCTAAATACGAAAACAGGATTTTATAAAGTGCCTAGTACCAGTCAGGAAATACCTTTGATGGTTGCAGTTGAAAAGGGTTATATTAAAAACAACTCTGTTTTGATAAAGGATCCAGATTCACAGAGGACCCATGACCTCAAAGAGGCTTATCAGCAAAACATAATTGATGCAATGGGTCATCTGAAAGGTGAAAGAGGTCAAGCCAAGTCTGTGGATCAATTAATCAAAGATGGAACTATTGTTGAAGTCAGTCCTGAAAACCAAACAACATTGAAGACATTTAGTAAGAGCACCAGCCAAGTGAATGTAGAATCTGTCCGTGATCCAAGGACATCAAATCTTATTAGTTTGGACTCCGCTATACACCAGGGAATAGTTAAACCTGAAAAGAACCAATATCTAGATCCATCTTCAGGGTTAACATTACCAATAACTGATGCCTTAGAGAAAGGTCTTATTAAAGGATCTGTAACAGAATGTGTAATGTCCAAAGAAGGAAAAACAAAACAGGGATTTATTGCTGAAGTCGCTGTAACTGAAAAGAAAACCTTACTGGTTCAGTCCATCAAAGATCCCATGACTGGAAGAGACTTATCATTACCAGAAGCAGTGCACATGGGTATTATCAGCAAAGATGGAAGCAAATATTTTGATGCACCTTCAAATGCTGTAATGCCCATTGAAACAGCTATGAACAACAACTTAATGGTTGCCAGAGAAGTATCAGCGGAACGAGAAACCAACGAACGTTATTCTAAATCATTCGAGGACACTTTGACTCAAACCAAATCATTCCAAGTTCAATCAGTGATAGATCCAGTATCAGGACAACAACTATCTGTTCCAGAAGCAATAAACAAAAATGTCCTTGATGTACTTGGTGGTTGTGTGAAAAATAAGAGAACTGGTGAAACAGTGGCTATTTCTGATGCATTGAAAGAGGGACTTCTTATTGCAAGTGAAACATCCATTTCCCCGAAATCAGATTTGGCCTCCAAGAGACAATCAGTATATGATCCTGGCAGTGAAGATTTCTTGAATTGGTCTGAAGCTGTTGACAAAGGACTATTAAATGTATCAACAGGAATGTATAAGATTTCTGATTCTGAATCCATGTCAATAATTCAAGGCGTAAAACAAGGCCTGATTCAAACTGACTCTCTGAATCAAGATATGACAGCTGCACAAAGAAGAAAATCGTATGATATAACAGCTGTCTTTGATTCAATGAAAGGGAGAAATGTATCAGTCCACGAAGCTGTAGATACTGGTCTTTTGAATCTTCAAACTGGTACCTACAATGATCCTAAAAAAGCTGAAATTTTAAGTGTTCAAGATGCCTTCAAGAAAGGTCTTATTAGAGGTTCATCAACTGAATTTGTTCCAAAACATGAACAATCGGAAGAAACAATACCAATTAAAAACCTTGTTGACACCAGAACAAGGGAAATTATTTCAATAGATCAAGGTATTGAAAGAGGCATAATAGATAGAAATTGTACCAAGTACCTTGATCCACTAACAGGAGAATCAAGTAGTGTATTTGATGCTGTAAGAAGTGGAATTATAGCTGTTGATGAGACTTCAGAAATACCAATTTTAACATCCGTAGTCCAGAAATCAATGAATATTACTTCTGTTATAGATCCATCAACTGGACAAGAACTTCCTCTAGCAAAAGCCATTGAGAAGGCAGTATTTGATCCCGAAAAAGGCTTAGTCATCAACCAAAAAACTGGGGATAAAATAGATGTTGAAAGAGCTGTTCAAGTAGGGTTGATATCAGCAAATACAGAAGAAGGACAAAGACCACAGGAGTTTGCAGTAGTCAAAGGATTCATTGTCACCTCAGTTAAAGACCCTTCAACTATGCAAGACTTATCAATAAGCAATGCGATAAAACAAGGCCTACTGGATACCAAACATGGTCAGTTTTATGATCCTAAGACAAAGAAGGTCTTAACTTTGCAAGAAGCAGCAGATAGAGGATACTTGGATGCGAAAGATGCATCCAAAGCTGGTGTATCTGATAAAAAGAGACAAGATTCTATGCAGATCAATGTCACCTCTGTCATTGATACATCAACTGGGAAACAAATTGGACTGGAAGAAGCTATTGAAAAAGGTCTTGTTGATAGAAATGTCACAATTTTCACTGATTTTAAGAAAGGAGAGAAGATGAGTATTGAACGAGCAATGAAAACTGGACTTGTGTCTGGATCTATACAGACTATCAGTACGACACAAACCACTGTTACCAACAACAAATCTTCATTAACTCACGATGTTACTGGTGTAATTGATACTTCAAATGGGAATAAAATCTCTATAGAGCAGGCTCTTTCAGCAGGTATTGTTGATCCCAATGGACAATTTACTGATACAAGAAGAGGAATTCAGATGTCAATCAGTGAAGCCATGAAACAAGGTCTTGTATTTTCAGATATTATCAAATCAACAAGTGCCACCACACCAAAACAGTTGAATACAACTATGTCTTTTGAGAAAGCACTATATGAGGGATATATTGATACAAAATCTGGACTCTTTAAAAACCCTGTCACCAAACATCAATACAGTGTGGATGAAGCTGTCAGAGTTGGCCTTCTTGTAGATGAAAATGGTCAACCTTATAGTTATGGAGGAATTTCTAGGAAGGGAATAACTTACAGTTTTGCAAATGCCTTACAAGTAGGACTAATTGATCTATCAAATGCTTTATTTTGGGACTCTGTAACTGATAACAATATAAAGATCAAAGATGCCTTAAATCAAGGATTACTGTCGCCTATAGCAGGGAATTTTGGTGGAAGATCTGATGGTGAATCAGTTGTTATATTGAAATCTGGATCTACTTCCATGCCAGTTGATAGTATGAAGATTATGGATCCTTCTTCTCTCAGTGATGCAAAAGAAAAAGGACTTGTGTCAGTCGTTTCATCAGTTTCCAAACCAACAGTCACTGATGCATTTGTGAGTGGACTTGTTGACAAAGATACTGGCAACTATCATGATCCTGCCACAGGAAATGTAATTTCTATTGATGAAGCTGTCTTGTGTGGTTTTTTATCAGTTGAAAAATCCTCCACTAATGGACACACAGTTTCACCAGTATCAGAGGAAGAAACAAAATCTCTGACAACTGCTATTTTAGATGGTACCATTGATACTGACAAAGGCATGTACATGGATGAAAATTTAAGAACCAGCATAACAGTCACTGAAGCTCTCCACAAGGGGTTGATCATTCCCTCCATGAAATCTGATGGCCTATCTAAAGATGATGTACAACATAAAGATGAGATAACAGTAGTAACAGAGGGGTCTCCATTCAAACCAAAGAAGGAAGTTGTTATCAAACATGGAAAAGTGGTTTCAAAAACAGATACAGAAATTATTGTGACCACTGGAAGTGCAACATACACTACAAAACCAGGGTTTTCTATGAGTTCTACAGGACACGTTATTAACCTTTCTACTGGTCAGCGTATGTCTATTCCAGAAGCTATAGGTGCTGGTATTATTGATACTGAAGAAGTTAGTGGTGCTGGTGAGGTTCAGGTCACAGGAAGTGTGATTCCTCCTGACCTCAACAGTTCCTCATCAGGAGTGATGGGTATTAATGTAAGTTGTAGTTTACAGAATCTTCTAGTACCTGCATGATGCCAATTTTAGTTTCACATCCTGCCATTCTTGCACTTTTTTTCACATTATTCATACTTTTCACAGCTTTTCAATTATAAACTTTGTTTTTACTATCATGATTTTTTTCTGATCATGTCAGTCCGGTAAGTAAAGTCTGCTTCAAATTTTAAAACTCCAAAATGTATTTTATTTGCTTGTCCAAAACTATATCCTAATCATACTTTTGTTTGCTTAATCAAAATCCTCATGATTCATTCAAAAGATGTTTTATCACTGAGTAATTTTTTTTAGACAAAAAAAGATAAACTTTCCACCAGTGACACAAAAAGCTGTCATTCTGAAGATAAAGATAATGCTGTATTGTTGGATGGAACTCATGTCAATAGTAGACAGATGAGAGTCATTGATAATGAAATATTGGATGAATCAGTGACAGTGTTAGATCCCCATACTTTGAACAATTCTAATCTTGATACTGACTTTCAATCAAATTCAAAAGCTAACATCACCAAAAAGGCAACAACAAAGAACACAAATATCTCACTAGGTGAAGCATCAGCCATTTTGCAGACTGATAAGATCTTAGTACAACATAGTTCTACAGATAAAATGAGAACTGTTACAGATAGTGTTATGGAGGAAAATGATATTGTTTTGAACTCAAATGAGCTTCAGAATAATCATAGGATCAAAGATAGTAATAGGGTTATTCCAACAGAAGTGTTATCTGAACAAGTTAGTATGTTACAATCTGACAGTGTTACCGATAATAAAAAATTAAATGGAAACTTATCTTCAATGACGATAGAGGATGATCAGTTATACTCCTATACAAAAAATTTATTACTGAACTTTTGGGATAGAGACGCTTGTAAATTGATAAATCCCAAAACGGGTAAGAAGATAACTATTGATGATGCAATCTCATCTGGAATAATACCTTACAACATCCATATCAAACAGTTTGGTGCTGAGATCATCACCTTAAGTGATGCTTTGGAAACTGGTCAATTGGACAGAAAGACTGGTTGTGTTATAGACATGAACACTGGCAATGTCCACTCCTTCATTGATGCCATAGATCGTGACTTAGCTTTGATAAGCCGAATCAGTGATGTTGCTGTTATTGAAAATCTATCTGACATTGTTAGGAAAGAATTGGGTGATGGTCTGTTCAAGCTTCTAGCTGACAATCAAATTACCGTTTCAATGAAAATTCTAGATAGAAGAACTGGTAGAAAGTTGTCTCTTCCAAGTGGCATTAAGCATTCTTTACTGTCATCTGAAACTGCAAATATCAAGGATACAGTGTCAGGAAAATGGATGAACTGGATTGAAGCCAAACAGCTGGGTCTAGTTTATGAAAATAAACCTATTACTCTTCACCGATCTGTAATTTCTCATGTCTACAATCAATTGCTGGAAAGATTCTGTGAACCAGGTAGCTTTGCTAAACATGTTACGCTTGATGAGATGTTGCGTAAAGGTCATATCAAAAGCTCAGAAGAAGAAATCTTTAGTTTTGAGGATGGACGTTGGATTTCTGTTGTTGAAGCCATAGAAAAAGATGTACTTGATCCAGTTAGAGCCAGATATTTTCATAAGAAACTAGGAAAACGAATTGCCTTACATGATGCTGTTGAAGCTGGTCTTATTGATGAATCCAACACAAAGAATCTGGCAAAGTGTGTGACTTTGGTCAATGGAAATGCAGAACTGTCATTGACTAAAATTCCAAATAAGGTGTTCCCAGTGAATATTTTTGAGGCTTTGAAATATAAAATTATTGACCCAGTAACTAGTGAAATCACCCAATGTAAGCAATCAAAGATCACCTTTATGGAAGCTGTTGATAAGAAAGACATTTTGATAGATAATTGTTTTGTTGTGGACAGGAATACCGGTTTGGTGTATTCTTTTACAGAATCATTAAATCTTGGTTTAGTAGATAAAGATACAGGAAGCGTTTATGATACATTTACTGGAGATAAATATAGTATTGTTCATGCCTTTCAACATGGTCTTATCCAAAAATCACCTCATCCTTATCTGCCTTTAATAATAGCATCACAGATTGGAGTTTTTGACCCCGACGAAAAGTGCGTTGTCCACCCTGTTTCCAAGAAAACTATGTCATTAACTAGTGCTATAGCAGAAGGAATAATCGACCCAGCTTCAATGTTGAAGACTCCAGACCAGGAGAAAATAACCTTACAAGAAGCTGTAACCCATGGAATTTTAGATGTAGAAACCTTAAAACTAGAGTTCAATACTGGTAGGAGGGTGTCACTATCTCAAAGCATTGGATTGAAAAGAATGACTCCAAGATCATCTATAGATTTTGGTAGTCGAAAGTCAAGTTTGACCTTAGATGAAGCAATCAGCAGTGGCTTGTATGATCCTGTATCAAATTCTTTAATGAAGGATGACAAATTATATTCTTTACCTGAAGCTTTACAAGAAGGACTGATTCACACAGATTCACTTGTACGGGATCCTTTTGGTGGAGATATTCTTACCTTGGCTGAAGCATTGGATAAAAGGATTATTGATGCTGAATCTGGTAAAATGTTTGATTCTAGTTGGCAGCCTATAGCCTTGAACTTTGCTTTTGAAAAAGGATTAGTCTTGCGCTCAAAGGCACCTTTGAACCTATCACTGTCTGAAGCTCTTGATGAAGGGTTATTCAATGTTTCGTCAAATAGTTTTATTGATCCTGATACAAGTCGTGAAATTGACTTCAGCAGTGCTTTAGATCTTGGACTTCTGAGTGGTAATCTCATTAAGGTGAGGAACACAAGTACTGGAGAAGTTGTAGCATTTAAAGATGCAGTTAATTCAGGACTGTTAGATCCTGAAACTGGACTATGTGTAAATGCTTCAGATGGGGATCAGTTTACAATAATTGATGGTATGGATAAAGGTATTATCTTGGATTCGTCCAGTCAACCAGCTGTGAGCCTTCAAGAAGCTATAGATGAGGGAATTTTAGATCCATCCTCTTGCAGCTTTAGAGATCCAGTTTGCGGCTTTAATCTTCAATTGGAAGGAGCAATGGAAGCTGGCCTTTTAGACAAAAACTCTGTTTTGGTGAGAAATGTAGTAGATGAAACAATTTTGACTTTAGAAGGAGCCATTTGTCAAGGTATTCTCAGTTCAAAGGATGGGACATACGTAATGCCAAATCAGGACGTTTTATCGTTTGCTGAAGCTATGGAGAAAGGGGTTATCTTCTCTGATGTAATAGTCAATGAAAAAACACTATTGGAATTGGTTCGTCAAGGCATGTACAATGATGAAACAGGGAAATTTACTGAACCATCTACTGGAAGAACAAGAACATTACAAGATGTTGTCAAGGAAGACCTGACAGATACAGCCACAATAAGGATTCTGGATAATAGTACCAAAGAAGTCCTATCCTTTGAAAAAGCTCAAGAAAAACAGATTTTGGATATGAAACTTTCAGTTATTGTTGATACAGCAACAAATGAGATGTTAAATCTGAAAGAAGCTACCAAAAGAGGACTTATTCAAGAAAGTGTCAGTAGTTGCAATCTTGATTTTGACCAAGCAGTTAAAACAGGAATCCTTCAATCTAACACTGGATTTATTATTGATCCAGTATCAAGGAAACTGATCAGTGTACAGGATTCCATAGACCTTGGTTTAATTCAGACTGATCGTCTACTAACAAAGATTCCAAACAGTATGGATTACCAATTGTTTGATACAGCTATTGAAAATTGTGATGTATTCATAGAAGAAAACCAGTTGGTGATGGCTCGCTCTGGATATGGTATTGATGTATCAGATGCTATCAACAGTGGTGTGTTAATAAACATTCCAAAAGAAGGATTTACCCTTTCTGAAATTGTCAACACCAACATATATGACAGTTTCAATGAAAGAATAAAGGACCCTTTAACCGGAAAACTTTGTACTCTTAAAGAAGCTGTTGACACAGGTCTGGTTGATGGAAACTTGCCACAGATTGAGGTCTCTGAAGTTGGAAAATTTTCACTCAAAGAAGCTCTAGACAAAGGACTAATAGATCCTGCCAGTGGACGATATTTAGCTTCTGACAAACCTCTGGATATTAAAGCTGCCTTAATGGAAATGAAAGTGGATAATATCATTACGATCCCATCTTTCGAACCAATCGGAATGTGTATTAAATCCCCTCCTAGTCGAAAGAATGATCTTGAAAATATTAAATCATTATTGGATATGGAAGGTACCTATGTTTTGGACACTAATTCTGGTGAATATGTGGCTCTAGATCAGGCCTCTTCCAAAGGGTTGGTGGACTTCAATACCAAAACAATTCTTGACAACAAATCTGGTCAAAATCTTTCCTTCAATGATGCTGTGAAAAAAGATATTCTTATTGACAAAACTGGTCTCTATAGACTTTCTCCAACCTTCAAAGAAACCAACAAAGAGTCTGCAAATGGAAACGAAGAGATGCGTATCAAAGAAGTGAAAAGAAAGCCAAAGCTACCCATTGATCCAAAGCAGTACATGATTTCCAAGGAAAATCTGAGATACTATTTAAAAGTCAATGATGATAAAGAAGACAGAAGTTTATCAGACAACGAATCCTACAACAAAACCAGCTTACAAAGAGAATCTATGAGAAGAAGTTTGAGTTTAAGTGTATCAATTCAAAGTCCTGATAGTAATGAAGCAGAAGCAAGTGTTGTTCCTAGATCTTTACCAGATATAACGAAAGACAATATTTGGGGTTCACCAGAAAAAGATTTGTCTGCATCTCTTGATACACTTATTGAAAATGCTCTACGTAAGCATAAATCTGGACCAAGACCCATAACTTTATTCGAAGCTATCAATCAAGGTCTTTATAATGATAAAGATGGCACATTTACAGATCCTGCTACAGATGAAATATTGTCTTTGACACAAGCAATACAAAATGGACTCATTGATGATGAAAAGAGAGGAGTCATTTCACCAAGCACTAATAAACCTGTATCACTAAAAGAAGCTATTGCTTTGAAAATCATCAACCCACAAAATGGAAGATTCCATGACAGTGTGTCTGGTAAGGAGTTGACCCTTAAACAGGCCAAAGATGTTGGTTTTATACTGAAGGATAAGGATCTGTCTAAATCAATGGTTGAAATTTATGTTGAGGACATTTCATCATCAGACTCATCATCTACTGGAAGAAGGAAACTTGAAGAAGCATTTGCCTCTGGAGTATTGCACAGATCAAATTCCCAAGTTATTGACCCAGATTCAGTCCAACCTATGACTTTAAGAAGAGCAGCTAGTCTTGGAATGATAGATGTAAAAAGTGGAGACTTCAAGAATCCTCAAACTGGAGAATGTATGTCACTAACTGATGCAGTTGATAGAGGGTTCATCTTAAGTCCTACTGGTTTGACTTTGTACAATACCATTGAGCAGGGTCTCTATAATGTAAATAATGGAAGATTTTATGATCCTGGCAGTGGAGAGGAACTTAGTCTAAAAGAAGTCATGGCAGCAGGAATAGTGACTGGAATGTGTTCAGAAGTCAAAGATTTATCACAGGAAGGAATAATCACTCTGTCAGAAGGGATAAAAAGAAACATCATTGACGACACTTTGGGAAAGTACTACAACCAGAGGTCAAAGAAAAGTCTGAATTTCAATGATGCTGTCATAGCTGGTTTAATTGTTAACTGTGGGGCCCGACCTGGAGATGCTTCACCGAATATCCCTTCTTCACCATTACCATCTCCATCAAGAGAATTTCCTCCTGCTTTACCATGTGATATCAAGTCTGGAAATTTTCTTTCTGCTCCTCAGCATGTCAAAGTAGATCAAAAGAAGAAAGATGCAGACAAGATCAGAATGGTTGTAAGGAACAAAGACACCCAAGATAGTGGCATGGAAGAAACATGTACTGAAGACTTACAGACTAATGTAAAAAAGGAGATAAATGATGATATCCAAATAAGATCTGCTCCAGATATAGATCATGTATCTGATGTCACAACAGATCAACATTTGAAAATAAAACTGGAGGAATCAAAGGATATTGAAATCCAGTCTAAAGTCATACCTGAAGATAGTGGCAGAATGACAAATGGAACTGAAAGATCGAAGGGAAACATCAAGAAATCTACTAAGGATATACCATTAGTTCCTGAGACCTCTGATGACTCAAAAGTAATACAGAAAAACAAGAAAGATGATCCTTTGTTATCCTCAAATGCTGAGTCTAATTCATCTATCAAAAATATTTCTAAAGATAAAAAACAAAAACCAGATTTGCCACCAAAACCAAGTTTGAATAAAGCTCAAAAGATAAAAACTCCCAGCACTGAACATGATAAAAATGAATCTTCTATCAAGACAGTTAAAGGAAAGCCAGAACTACCACCAAAACCTTGTAGTTCACAAACAGTCAAAGATGTTAAGAAACCTGCCAGCATCAAGCAGGTTGATTCTGACTTGAAAGACCCCATTGTTACTGATCAAAATGGACATATATTGATAGATGAAATCAAGAAATCCACAGGCACAACTCATAATATTGTTGCAAATTTTGGTCAACCTCTGAAAGATCAAGGTGACACTAGTAAAGATGCTTCTCCAGCTACCTTTGTTATCAGTGAAAATTCTTCAACCCTGGATGAAAAGCAAAATAAATCCAATATTGATGGTCCCCTAAAACCTTCATCAACTGCCATTGAGCTGAAAAATAAAATTTCTCCAAAACCAAGATTACCAGATATGGTTAAAAACATACCACAAAAGCTTCCTGAGGTTGAACAACCTCCATCTTCAAATTCAGGAGTGACAGTATCTTTGTTTGATAATAAAGATTTACCAATAAACAATAAGCAAGACACCAAAGTGGCTAAGGGATCTTTAACACAACAGTTTGATGGTGTACCAGTAAATTCTTCTAAACATGTGAACAAGCTTGGTGATGATTCAAAAGATGTTCCTCTATCTGATGAGAAAACATTGAGTGGACACACTGCTGAGAGTGGGATGAAACAAAACAAAACTGATGCTGTTCACAGTCCCAGGGACATAGCAGTAAAACTAAGTGAAACTGATAAGTCAAGATCTCATGAACCTCTGAAAGGCTGCGAGGTAGACCAGAGGGAGTCAACAGAGGAACCAGCCCTCCCAGTGCTTGATGGTAGAACAAACTCAACTGTGCTTGAACACTCCCATAAAGTAGGATTTTCTGATATCAAGTCATCATCTACAATGGAAGACTTCACAGATGGAATAAACAATAAAGATCCTCTTTTAAAACAAAATAAATTTTCATTTGTGGTTCCTGATGAGAGTGACATAAAAAATAAACCACAAAATGTTCCTGCTGTGGAAACTACTTCTAACGAACCAGTGTCCTGTGTTAAAGGCAAAAAGAAATCAAAAGCCAAGAATGTGAAGTTTCATCCATCAGTGAAATTTGATGATTCATCACACAATGAAGATAAAAGTAACAGAGTACCACAAATATCAAAACTTTCCCTGAAAGGTCTACCATTAGATAAAACCAGAATGGTTGTGGAGAGTGATACAGAGGTCAGCACACCAGAAGGAGAAGTTAACAAAGCTACAGAACTACTATTTAAAATGAATCTGAAGGCAGGCATTACAGCTAGAGAAAGACGCAAGGTATATACTTGCATGAAACACAAGTTGTTTGATTACATTTTGCATTGTGTTTGAGTTTGGATTAGACCCTAAAAACTTTAGTTTTGATGTGTTCAAGTTTATGAAATACTAACTTTATTCAAGCTAGATTGAGCATCTGAGTGCCAAATATACTACTTACTAGTTTGAAGGAATGACTGCTACATTTGTGTGTTCGAAAAAGATATGAATGGAATTAGTTCTAATCCATAAAGAGCATGAACAAACTAATACAAGAACCATTACAATGATTTTAATTAGCTGTGTATACTTTGTTGCATTAATATATTTATTTGAATAAAAGCTTCTAAAATTTGCCTTAGTTTTATTTGCTCAATTTGCATTGTTCATTTGCTATTTTCATATGCCTTGAATATCACTTGCTTTATGTTGCATGTCATATGTAGATTTGTAATTGTCTTGAATTTTTTATTTTTCTATTTCAGATTATTTTGTAGCAATCTGGATTCTGCACGGCTTCATGTTGTTGTTTGTGTATTTTGTTTGTGATTCATTGTATTTTTTTGTTTTGAATGTTGATTTTTATGTCAAGTGAACTGAACTTATTTCTGTAATTTATTGTAAAAATTGTTTATTGCATAACAAAATCTTTCATTTAAAAAAAATTTTTGAAAGAGTTACTTAACATTTATAGACTAAATGACTAAAAGTACTAGTAGAAATTCATTTGTTCAGTTTACTTTTTTATACTTAAACATTTTTGTCATGTATGATATGTTTGACTGCATGAGTATTATGCAAACAAATTATATCAAATTGCTTCCAAATATGTATACTAGATGATTTTAATTTTTTGATTTGACCAAAAGTTAAGTTTTTTAAGAAAGTTTTGCATTATGATTCCTGAATTATTAATATTTATTAACTGTGATATTGTGAAAATTAACTTACAAGGCTATACATTAATATGAGGGCATCCCTTTAACATTGCACGTTATTTTTCTAGGGTAGATTAGCTGACTCTTTTGATAAGCTGATACAAGATTTAAATAATGAATTAAATAGAATTGCTGATAAGGAACAAATTTTGAAAGATGATGAACAAATGGCTGATGAAGCTTACAAACTTCAATCTCAGTTGGAAGCATATAAGGTGGGCATTTACAATCCTATTTTCAGTTTAATGCTATGTAGAAAACTAAGATTTTCCTATATATTAAGGGGAACAGTCTGCATTTTCAGGGATTGATTTGGATCTTTATTGTACTTTTGTAGTCCCTTCAATCCCTTCAAATATACCTCAAACGAGAAATTTTACTATCTATCCCTATATATATGTTTTCTCTCAATAAAATTGGAGTCAAATTTTTAACTTTCAAACGTGAATGATTATGGATACACATGGATTTGAAGGCTCAAATTTCGACGATGTGCTGTGAACACTATTACTGATTATGTAAGCTGAAAAAATTCCCGTTTCTGAAACTAAGGTATGATTGGTTGAACGGATAGTGAAGGTGCTCCTTTAAAGCTAAAAATTATTTCTGTATCAAAAAGTATGAATTGATTGTGTGTGTTTTAGGCTGTTCATAAAGAGATTGATGGAATTAAACAACCTATACTATCATTGGTTTATCAAGCTGAACAACTTACAGAACATTATCAGGAGGAATTGGTACCAGAACAAGTTACAGAATTACAAGGCATGGCTGCAAGTACCAAAACAGCATTGGAAAAGGTATGATTTTAGTACAAAATGTAAAAAATATATGAATTTTTCATGTTACAAAAAAGTCAAACAAAAATTGAATTTCTTTTTTTTTTAAAGATGGGTTTCCTTAGTTTTTAGTGTCAAATTTAGCAAACTGTTTGATTAATTGGTGCTTCTAATGAATTATCATGTATTCTTAATCATATCATTATGTTCTTATTGCATATGATTAAGAGTTTTAACATAAATGTCCATGTATGCGCAGTCTGGATAAACTAGATAAAAAAGACTTTTTGACCTTTCTTGATTTTGGAATTCTGCTGGTAATTCTCTTCTAATTTAGCTTATTATGAATTGATTATGGACATCTGAGACAAACTGGTATTTTTCCAAGTTATTAGAACATCTTTACTTTCTATTCATATAAGTATTATCATTTTCATTTTCATAAATGAAAATAAGGGAACCCATCTTTAAATTATAGGCCTACTGTTGTAATGTTTTCATGTTACTGATCAAAAGCGTCTTTGTTTCAGCTGGTTAAGTCAGCTGATATCCGGCTGAAACATTTGAACACAGCATCTGAAGAACTACAGAAGTTTGAAGATGAATCTAATAAGTTTAAGGTTTGGATGACTGGAGCAGAGAGAGAATTAGATAGACAAGAAGAATGTCTACAAAGATTTGAAGATCTGAAACCTCTGGCTGAAAAACAGAAGGTACTTATAAAAAAAAGTCATTGGTTGTATTTTTATTTTAAAAGGACACGTGAGCCATTTTGGAAGGTTGATTTGAATGTATGTAAATAGTCTTCTGAAGTACTAGAAATGTACAAAAATCACATAATTCCTGCAAAAATATCTCAAACTAGGAATTTTTTTTCCTATTTCTTTATCTTTCTTTTCTTTCTATGACAGTGTCTCAAGCAAAGACAACTCATCTTTTTAACTTTGAAACGCAGATAATTTGGGACACACAAGGATTTGAAGACTCACATGAAGTGAGCTGTGAACAATATTACTGATTAGCTTAGCAAAAAAGATTTCTGTTTCTGAGATTAAGGTACGATTGGAAAAAAAAATGGTGCACCTATCCCTTTAGCTGAGTGTCCTTACTCTAAGAATCTAATAGTATTTACTATTAAATATGCCAATGAGTAAAAGAGTTAAGCCAAATAGCTTCAAGTGAACTATACTTGCTTGAAATTTTTACTTTCAGACCTTACTAAATGATGTTGTATCTCACCAAGCTGATGTTAGATTTATGGCAATGGCTTCACAGAAATACATGGAAGAAGCCAAGGTATAGTTTTTTGTTACTTTTTTATTTGTGTCTAAAAGATGACCGATTTCTTTTGAGTGTGTTAAATACAAAATTTTCATTATCAAAAATGTTGTAAATTATACCTGAAAATATGCAAGTATGCTATTTACATCTATCTATGTATTTATTTGATCAAACTGAATTTGTTTTTAAAGGGTTAAAAAACTGAGAGTACTAATTGTTAATTAAGCAGTTTGACCTAGTTTGGGTGTTTGATGTTATAATGGCTGGATATTATTAGTTGAAATCTTTAGAATACAGGGACACATTTCTCTCGATTTTACTATTATTTAAATCATTTATAATATTACATGAACTAGAGTGTGATTACTAAGTTACTAATCAAGTAAATATTGTTTTGCTTACTTACAGTTATACAAACTGGAAATCGATGCATTTAAAGCAGATAGATTACGTCCAACTCGACACAGTCTGATTAGTATGAATGATCTGGAAGCTGAATCTGTCAGAGATGAACTGAAAGACATCACCACCAGACACCATGATCTGAAAACCAAAGTGCAAGGTTTTGGTGAGCGACTTACCAACCTAGCTACAAAACAAAATGACTACAATGAATCAGCTTTCAAAATGCTGACATGGCTGACTGAAGCTGAAGAAGAACTGTCTTCCATTAAACATGATAGTGGTTCCCCAGTACCAGAGAAACTCAAGGCACAACTTGATAGACTCAAATCACTTAGTAGTGACTCTCTGAGCCAAGCTGGTCTCTTTAATGATACCCAAAAGAAAGGAGGAGATCTTACAAACTGTCTCAGTGGCATTTCAGCCGATCCTAGTCAAATCCAAAAGATGCAGAAAACCATGAGAGATATCTCTGATAGATATGAATCTGTTACCAAAGATGTTAAAGATCAAACCAACAAGATGCAGGCAGCTATTACCAAATCCCAAGGTGTCCAAGAAGCCATTGGTGGTATCCTTAATTGGGTCAATGAAATTGATGAAACTGTGAGCAATCTGGAGCCAATTAGCTTACATAAAGCCAAACTAAATGACCAAGTTCAGCAATTTAAACTGGTGGAAGCTGATGTGGACAACCATAAGTCAAGCATTGATTCAGTCAAACAGAAAGCCAATGATCTGATAAAGAATTGTGATCTGGAAATGGCAAGATCTCTAGAACAACAAATTGGTTCAGTTGACAAGAAATACAAAGGAGTTAAAACAAAATGTCAGAATAGAGACAAAGATCTTGATGATATTTCTGGAAAACTTTTAAAATTCAATGAGGGTCTGGAGGACACAACCTTTTGGTTGGATGAAAATATTGAGAATCTTAAGTCCAAAGAATTGAGTAAATTACCAGGTGATGAATTAACACATGAACTGCAAAAGATCGGATCTCAGAAGAAGACTCAGAAACGAGCATCAGATGACCTTCAGAAATTGGCAAAAGACCTTACTCGAGACAAACGCACTGGAGAAACAGGAACTGTTGATGATGCAGTATCTAAGTTAGATGAACAGTGGGCTGAGTTTGACAGTTTGTATGCTGACAAGGAACAAGAAGCTAAGGATAAAGAAAAGAAAGGCAACGAGTTTGAGCATGCCAAGAATATACTTTTATTATGGTTGAATTCTATGGAATCTCAGATTGATGGGTTTGAACCAGTTGGTATTGATATTGATACAGTTGAAGCACAGATTCAACAACTAAAGGTTAGAATAATCTATATTTAGCTTACAAATAGATTGGGCTGTTACAGGCATGCCATCACTGGACAAGATGAGCATCAGAGTGTTGCTTATTCTAGATGACTTCATATCAAGTGTTGTTTCTTCGAAAGGAGCCTACAAAGACTGGGCTGTCTTTGACCCATCACTCACACTATCTGAGTTCACTTTCTTTGGTCATTGCTAATTTCAAATATTTGAAGTGAAGCAAGATGGAAATGAATAAGTAGAGGTGAATAAAGATGTATTATTAGAAAGAGTATCTACCATCATCTTCAAACTATTTTATGTAATTTCAGCCTATGTTAGAAGAGTTTGAACAACAAGAACCTAATATAGATGAAATAAATGATCTTGGCAATGCATTTGAAACTTTACAAGCTCCTGATAGGCCAATGAGTCCTATAAGAAGACGTAAGTTTCCCTTTAAGATTTGATTGTAACAATAACTTTACTGATCACTTGTATGACACTGTTTAGATGGTGAAACTTTCCCCATTGGTTGAATCTTAATTGATGTTTTTCTTGCCTGCATGATGCATTCTGGTATAGAATAGAAAGTCTTTTATTTCAATTTTGTTCAAAATTCACGAAATGCAATATTTACAATAACATATTTTCACTGTTAAAATAGTGCTCAGTACATCAATTGTAGAGCGATACATAAATTTTATGACAGAAATTGAATCATGTCGTCATGCTATGTGATCTGCAGATAACTTCAGCCTGCATCCTCACCGAATTTAATATGTATATGAATCAAAATAATACTAGTCTTGCTTCAGAACTCAACATTTATCAAAATTTATTACTTCTTTATTCTTGTATTATAACAATTTATGAATGTACTTCAGGTATTGGATCTAGAAGAATCTCAGGATTATTATCCCCAAAATTAAGATCACCATCACCTAATATGTTCCCAGGTGCTACTAGTCCATTATCTAGTGAGTCTAGTGGTATCAGCAGTAGGAAGAGTTCTTCGGATTACCTTCTCCTCGATGGTGAGCTCAATATTTCTGTTGTTGAACATTCTTTTAATTGAGGACAAGGATGAAAATTTCTGGTTAAAGTTTTATACAACATGTTGGTCAATTTCTCCCATAAATTAACAGGATTGTGATAAAACTCAAAACCAAATTTTGATTCCTTTTAAATGACCCAAACCATCTGCTTCAGATAGATTGTAGAGAAATATATAGAAATTGTGTTAGAATTAATAAATTTCTAGATGCTATAAATTTCTAGATGTTATAAATTTCTAGATGTTATAAATAAATTTCTAGATGCTATACATTTCTAGATGCTATAAATTCCTAAATGCTATAAATTTCTAGATGCTAAGAAATCATTTTATAATTGTAGATTTAACAGAAACTCAACAACAACTAATGGATATTAACCAGAGATATGATATTATTGGAGAAAGATTAGGAGATAGACATCAAGAACTACAGAATCTCTTGGGATCTATTAAAACTTTCTTACAAGACTTACAAGATATGTTATCCTGGTTGGATATTAAAGATAGAGAGGCCAATTACCAGAGTGATATACCTACTAATGAAAAAGATGCTAAGAAGAAACTTCAAGGACATGAGGTAGGCTCTTAGAATTGAAATTTGAAGGCGTTCGGTTCTTGTTTATGATTATAATTAAAATATTAAATTAAAAAAGATTGTATGTTATATGCTAAAACATTGTTTTGGATACTTTTCTTGGCTATCATGGGCCTTAAAAATGAATTTCTGGTACAAGAATTCTTGTCCTTGTTTCTCAAATTAATGTACGAGCTTAAAAGTTAAAAATTACTGGTTTGAAACATCAAAAATAATTTTTTTTTTCACTTCACGTTCAAGTTTAGCCATACAAAATGAACTAAGATTGCAATTTAACAAATACTCTAACAATGTTATGTATTTTAATTCAGTTATTCCATCATGAATTACTTGGTAAAGAAGCATTAGTTGAAGATATTAGAAGAAAAGCTCAGGATCTGATTAGAACTAAACAAGGTGTACCAGGATTAGATACCTTACAGACTCAACTCTCACAATTAGGTATAGTAGTTTGATCTTAATAGGGGAATGGAGTTATATTCTGATACTATATTAAAACATTGGAGTCATTTATCATTTCATACCAGTTATTTATTAAGATGCCCTATGGAATCACAAATATGAAGCCCACACATGTCACTTTTTATGTGTTTATCACTATCATATGATTTTCGACTTGACATGTGTCCATCACTTTAAAATGATTTTCGACTTGTCATGTGTCCATCACTATAAAATGAATTTCGACTTTTCATGTGTCCATCACTATCATATGATTTTTGACTTGTCATGTGTCCATCACTATCATATAATTTTCGACTTGTCATGTGTCCATCACTATAAAATGATTTTCGACTTTTCATGTGACCATCACTATAAAATGTTTTTCGACTATTCATGTGTCCATCACTATCATATGATTTTTGACTTGTCATGTGTCCATCACTATCATATGATTTTTGACTTATCATGTGTCCATCACTATCATAAGATTTTTGTTGCTTTAAATGGGGTAATAACAAAGTACTTTCAGATTTCTGTATTGCCATGTTTAATCTTTGATTTATTTTTATAATTATAGATGATAAATGGCATGGATTAAGAGCCACATCTGAACAGAGACGTAAAAGTTTAGAAGATATGGTAACTGATTTAAGAGATCTTCGTGAACATGGTGACCAACTACAAAAATGGTTAACCCAGAAAGAAAAGATGTTGGATGTACTAGGACCAATGGCTATTGAACCAGTTCTTCTAGAAAACCAGTTGGATCAAGTTAAGGTATGTGTGCATCATTAAAGACAATTGGTTTTCACTTTCTATCTCATCAAATTTTCCAGGATTGTTTTTATATTTGATTTTCAGTCTTTTGATTGAATTAAAGAAAGAAACAACTATATTTTACAAGGATAACAACTTAGGTTCACATTTAAGAATCCTTTCTACCAGCTGGTCCTTTGCCAAACCTCTTAGTATTATGGTATGAGTGGAATTATGAGTGCAAATGACTTACTCAAGGTTATCAGACTTTCACACGCCAATTGAGAAAGGATATCAAGTGCTTCACCAAAACCAAAAATTTGAATTCTAATGATCCCCATTTTTCCAATCTCATAATGTGACCAATTGTTTTCAGGTTTTAAAAGAAGAATTTACTGAACAGGAGCCGCTATTTGATCGATTCATTCAATCAGGACATTCAGTCATGGATAAATGTCGCCCTAATTCTGTAGATTCTAATACAGTTGGTCGAAAGATTGATGGTGTCAGTAAATCCTGGGACAAACTTCATGATAGACTTAAAGAACGAGAGAAATCTTTAAGCTCACTCGGTGGTATTGGTGCAGAATTCTCAGACTTAACCAAATCTTTAGGTGGTTATTTGGCTGATGTCAGTGATCACTTAGACAGTCTTCAACCAGTCAGTGCATCTCCTGAACAATCCAGAAAACAGATGAAAGAGATCATGGTAAGAAAATGTTATATAGATTAGACAGTCAGTAGGAGCTAGAATAGGGGTTTTCAACCTTTTTCTTTTTCAGGATCCTTGATTGACTGCATTATCCCCTTCCCATATAAATCCTTACTATTTCCTGATTTTTCTTAGCCTGACCGAATAGAACAATATTTTATTTTCCCCCATTTTGGAAACCCCTGTGTTAGAATTGGAAAATTGAAAAAAGTATGCAAAGCCAGATTATGAAAATGAAATGATAAAAAGTGGTTAACGCTTTAGTATGTTCTTTAAGATATACTAACAAAGTTATATTTATTTTGTAGGATCTTAGCAATGGGTTATCTCAGAAGAAAGGTGAATTAAAGAAGGCTAAAGACCTGTGTAAGAAATTATGTGATTGTACTAAAGATCCATCCACCAAGTCTGATGTCAAAAACAAAATGGCTGCTCTTGAGAAAGGTTTCAATGATATCAACAAGAAAGTTGGTAAGTTGTATGACATGAAAAGAATCATGTTTAAATACTTGGTATTCACCGGACCAACTCTCGGAAGCCCTGGCACAGACATCAGCATTTTTTTACCATGAGGAGGATTCGAACCCATGGCCCCTAATGAACACAGAGCGCCATTAACATAATATGTTTTCCTTCTGCAGATTCCAGACTCTCAGCTCTAGATAATGCTAGTCGAGAGGGTGAGAAATTCCAAGCTGAATGTAATAATGTGTTAGATTGGGTACAGGATATGACCAAAAATCTGAAAAACCAGGAACCATTGTCTGGTGAAAGAGATGTGTTTCAACAACAAGTTCAAGATTTTAAGGTAATAATTTGATTATCTTGACATAAGTTGTTATTTTGTTATATGATTTAAAACTGATTATTATCATATTTGGACAAATTCAAAATATTACATTGGTTGTGTTTTGTGGGGGTTTTTATTTGGTGTTGAGGATTCCTCAAGATATAAACAACACAGATTCTGAAGTTCATCCATGGTTTATTCATGTAACTCTTTCTCTAGGCTTATCTTACTTCCTGTCTCCATGCGCAAGGGTGAGCAACTCTCTCTGATTAGAAGGGATGTAACTCTTGTAAAGAAAGGTCTTAATCAGATCACAATAACCTTATTGTTACCCCCATGTCCAAAGTATATTTATTAAGTCTTTTATTTTAATCTGTGCAAGCTATCATATTCATAGGGTGATATTTTTTTATATTCATTGGTATGTTTTTTATCTTGTTATTTAAGAATATGCAACAAGAAATTGCTGTCAAATTGCCAGAAATAAGAGCAATGCTGGAGAAAGGAGATAGAATTCTTGAAGAAGCCATGCCTACCCCAGATATGAGAGAACTTCAAGAGAAACTACAAACTATTGAGTCAGATTGGGACCAGATTAAAGCCATTGCCAATGTTAAACAAGATCAAGTTGCTGAAGCTTCAGATCATTCACAAAAATTCCATGATAACTTGGATAAGATGCTGATGTGGTTGAAACTAGCAGAAGATAAACTAGAGAAAACCAAGCCAGGCAAACTAGATAAAGCAACCGTGAGCAAGAAGTTGAAGGAAATTCAGGTCAGTTTTTTTTGTTTTGTTAAACTTACAATGTAATAGAGGAAAGCAAAGTCAGAATTATGAAAAGCAAAATGTATGGATTTGATGTGATCATAGGTGTTAATTCATAACTGAAAGAATTTTTGACAGACATCTGGCCCCCATGGATACAAACTTTCAACTCTGCACAATACAAAAACTGTCAGTACTTCTTCATTTTTTAGGCCTTACAGAATGAGGTGCTGAAGAAATCACATGATCATGATACTTTTAATCGGGAAGGTGAAGCTTTATTAGATTGTGTAAAAGTTGGTAGAGGACCTATTGAAGATGGTATGGATGAGGTCAACAAAAGATGGGAAGTTCTCAACCAAGGTATTAGCTATTACTTTTGTTCAAATCCAATTAAATACTTGGAGGTATCAGTGGTTTTTCATGTTTACCCATATCGAGTAGTTCACAGCATAAAGAACCCAATCAGACTTTGTCTTCAACAAGCTATGACCCTTTGTGGGAGTCGCTTGATTGGAGGGTTCTGAACAGGTTCCATCAGTACCAATTCTGCTCTCAATCAAACGGTACAGAAGTGGAGTATGTCACTTTCAAAATTTTCCCATCTATTTCTTTATCCACCATTGTGAATTCTATCTGCACCTATGGTTTTTTCTACAGGCATGAAACACATTCTGAACTCTGTTCCAACTTGCTTTTTTAAGTTCAGTTGATTCCATGAATCCCAAACAAGCAGAACTCATCAATCTAGCAGCCCTCTATATCTATTTTGTTTATTTCTAGATATTGCTGAAAAGGCCCAAGATCTAGAAGACATTCAACTACGCCTATCAGAAATCTCAGATAATATGACTGATGCCAATAACCATCTGAAGAAATGGGAAGATAAACTGGACACTCATCTTAAACTGGGAGCCAGTGCCAAAGACCCAAAACATGTTGATAAAATTAGAGTAAGAATCTTATATCTTAATTTCACAAATAAATGTCAGTATTCACAAAAGGAATTCAGACATATAAGTCAAATCTTTTACATAAAGAAAAGTGTTAGAATTTGACAATATTTGCTTGGCTATATTGAACTAATGGTGGATTCTTAATTTCGTCCGTGAGTAAAAGTCTAGGGACCTTAAATTTCCTCAATTATCTAGTCTACCAACCATAATCAAGGAAAGAACAGGCCGAGAATTAGTAGCTGGTAGACAGGGTCCTCAAGGACTTAAGTTGTTATCCTTATAAAAAAATTGCTGTTTCTGTCTTTTATGGAAGATGATATTTATTCATGCTCTCTGTCAATATTTTCAGACTTTACAAGATGATGTTCAAGGTTTAAATGGTCAGTTAGATTATCTAGAAGCATTAGTTAATGGTGTAACATCTGATAGAGGAGCAGAGACCAGAGCTTTAGAAGCAGAAGTTGATGATTTAAAACACAGACAAAAGAAATTATTAGACAATATAGATGATATGCTGAATGCAATGGAATCTGGTTCTCAAAATCTTGCTGAATTCCAAGTGAGTATAGAACTTGGTTAATTTTGAATTGAATTTTGAAATGAAAAGAAGTCCTACTTGTCAAACTTCAGTAGGGACTGAAAATAGGTCAGTTGTCTGAAGATCACACAGGGTGAAACTCTGAGTTACAACATGTTTCAGGTTCTATTTTAATTTTTCTTGTTGCACTATATTTGATGTTTTGAGCACCGTTTAAACAGTGTTTGAATTGATAACAATGATATATACAGTAGCACATTTATGTTTAACAAGATATCGAGCTGTACCATTGTCTCATACCAATTGCTAAAAATCTCAAATTATTTCAGTGTTAAACCATTTATCATTGTGTTTCTGTAAAGTATTCAATGTGGCATGTTTTTTGTGGAGTTTAGAATTTTTTTAAAAATGTACAAAGCAATCATTCTGTTCTACTTCATTGTGATTGATTACTTTCAGGCTTTGTTGAAAGATGCTGGTGGACAGCTATCTGATCTGGAAGATGATCTTAATAAGAAGGATCCCATTGCTAGAGATGAACGTGTTCTAGATGGACAGCTTCAAGACATGGATGTAAGTTAATGTACCCTTTTCTCAAGGAAACGCTTGACAATTTATGCTGCATGATTTAAAAACTAAATTCATATCAAGACTTTTGTGTGCATTTTGCATCTTCACAGCTATAAGAAACTTGCTTAATTTGCTTTTCAGAATTTCCTGGTAAATATAAGTGATAAAGAGCATGCCATAAGAGACCTAGAAAATAAAGGAAAGGAGTTAATAAGAGCTGGTTACATTACTGATCCTGAACTTATTAAATCTAAGGTATGTTATTAATGGTCAATTGACTGATCGATCACTGACCCAAAGGTGTATTAGGCATTTTACACCAAGGGGTTGCTCGATTGTTGAGTTCAGCACGTTCTAGATTCATGGAATCAACCGGAATGTTTAATAAAACAAGTTGGAATAGAGTTCAGAATGCGTTCCACATGTTCCAAAAAATAGTAGACAGAATTCAAAATGGTTGAGAAAAAAATAGAAGGGAAAAATTTAAATATGACATATGCCTAGGCTTACTTTTTGATTGTGACCAGAACTGGAACAGACAGAACCTGATCAGAACTCTTCAATCGAGCGCCACACAATAAAGGATATTAAGTTAAAAATGGACCATTCTGGAATAACTTAGGTCAACTGACAGAAGAGGTCATGATGATTTAGCATTAAAATAGCATTTGCTTATAGAAAAGATTATGTCATGTCACTACAAAGCACTACACTAAATAACTTCTATGTATGGTTTGCTTGGCACTTTATAAAGTATCAAGCTTGTCAGAAGTAAACTATTAAGCAAACCTTTTAGATTTCCATTTAATAAATGAAACTTCCGATCTAACTAGATACAGATTTAACAGTATTTTCAAAATACTCACCTCTACTAACTCTGTTCTATTTTAATTAGATTGATAACTTAAAAAGACAGGAAGATAAAATGAAAGAGCAAGGCAAACAAAGAAAAGCTGATGTCAAAGCAACCAAAGATAAACTTCGTAAATTCAATGATAAAGTTGGTGCCACTGAAAAGACCATTGATGCTGTTGGTAATAAAGTGGGTTCATTGAAACCTGTCGGTGGAGATGTCAAGGCCATTAAACAACAGCAAGATGAACTCAAGGTAAGAATTCAATCTATAAGTTAGGTTATATTTTGATGCATAAGATGATAATATTGGCAATTTGATTATTATTGTTAAAAATGGAAGAAAATAAGTTAGTCCAAATCTATAATTCAGAACTTGCTTTGAAAGACTTACCCCTAATCTAGTATAATTTATTTCATTTAGTAAATAAATTGGGTTATCTCAGTGGAATACAATTCTAGTGGGTTTGACCCGAACAGGCGGCAGAATGTTTTATGAAATTTTATTAAATTAATCTGTTGACTTTAATTGAGAGCATGGTAGCTTTAACGTAACCAACTTACACTCTTCTATGCTTACGTAATGATCACTTAGTAACCCGAAAAGGGGTTTGACATCATTTTATTCATCAGTATCTAAGCATTTTCAAACATCTTCGGGTTGTAGTGGATAAAGTTACGGTTAGATAAAAGAGTAACGGCAATAAAATAATATAATAATAAAAAAGACTTACCCCTAATCTAGCTGATATTTTATGATCTAATGACAACATGGTATTTTCTTTCAGAATCTTATGAAGAAGACAATTGAACCACTACAGAAACAATTTGAAGTCACGTCTGCTGAAGGTCAAGGTTTGATAATATCAGCTCCATCTGGTGTCGATTGTGATCAACTTGAAGCAGAATTAGAACATCTGAATGGTAAAATGTCTGATCTTAATGAAAAGGTTTGTGTTTTTTTTAAATTTTAGATTTGAGTTGTAAAAACAAAATATGTAATAAAGTTTACATCCCCCTTCTCTTCAACTAATTTGTCTGAACAATAGAGGTTGGAAACATTTGATGCGATATACTGTTTTGACAATTCTCGTTGTTGATTTACAACTTTATGTACATTTATGAATCATAAAGGACCTCAAATTCAACATAAAAAAAATGCATTTTAACTACACAAGCTGTCATCTCTGATGTTGTAAATGACCTGTAGCATCTTAATTTGTTGTAAATTATTGTGTTATTTTAGGTCAGTGAAAGGGAACACAATCTAGATTCAGCTCTCTTACATTCTGGAAAGTTCACAGATGCTCTGGATTCTCTGTTATCATGGTTAGCAGAAACAGAAGATATGGTTGCTAACCAAAAACCTCCTTCACCAGAACATCGAGTAGTTAAAGCTCAACTACAAGAACAAAAGGTATATTTGTTTATTTGTTTTGATTGATCCTGTGGAATTGGAAAAGACCAAAATGTATTCTAAAGGTATACATGAGTTGACTAGAAAGGGCTGTTGCGTGGACAAACTCAGAACTAATGGCAAAAGATACTCCTATAAGATGACCATGGATTGTTTCATAGGAGATACCTGAAGCAATATTAGGTTTGTGAAGTGCAGAAATGATTTCAACTCCATAACTAATGATGGATTCTTTGTCTAACTTTTTGAAAATAAACTTTTGATAAAACATTTTTTTCTCATTTTATGTTTACAGTTCCTTCAAAAGATGATAGAAGACAGAAAACCCAGTGTGTTATCAGTCAGAGAATCTGGTGACAAGCTTCAAGCTGGTGTTGATCCTAAAGAAAAGAAGAAGATTCAAGCTCAAATGCAACAGTTGGAAGAACGCTGGGAGAATCTGAACCGTGCTGCATCAGATCGTAACAAAACTCTTGAAGAAGTGATGGATCTAGCTAAAGATTTCCAAGACATTCATGAACCACTCTGTACTTGGCTTGATGTTAGCGCCAAGAAATTCAATTCTATGGAACCGAAAGCATTAGATGCTGATGGTATAGAAAAGTTGGTTGAAGATCTAAGAGTAAGTTTGTGAAAAAACATTTAACCTCCTCCTTAACCAAGAATTTAAACGTAGATCATCAGTTGGTGTTGAAGATATTTGTTCTGAATGACTGCTCTGTGATAACATTGTGGTTCACTTTGTTTTAAATATATTATAATTTTATAGGCTCTACAAGATAGTGTCCAAGACAAAGATCCTAATGTACGTGATCTAGCAAGGAAAGGGAAACAATTACAAGATCACTGTAAAGGTTGGTACTACCTTCATTTTTCAAGGGGCCTGGCTGAGGGGTTGATATTCTGGACTCCAAAATGCTTGACAATAATTTCCATCTTTCTTTTTGTCTCTTAATTCATTAACATTTATAAAAGCCTAAATTCATTGAGAAAATTGAATACCTGTAGTTTGAGGGAATGGAACTACCAGTTGGACTTTGTGATGGGGCCCTAGAAAAGCCATTACTTACAGCGTTCAGAGCTGCTTAGTACTCCCCCTGTTATACATCAGTTAAAATGAAAGGTTTGAAATTGTGTTTGTCAACCATTTATGCTATGTTAGACAATTGCAGATATTTTTGTCCTATTTACTTGTTTGTATATAATATTTTTAAATGGAAGAACTAAGAAAGTTGTTGTACATTGTAGGTGAAGATGTTGTTTTGGTTCAGATGAAAATTGATGATTGTCAGCATAAATATTCTGATCTGAAAAATAAAGTAGCAGACACACTAGAACAAATGGAAGAAGCCTTGCCATTGGCTAGAAATTTCAATGAGAAACATAATGACTTCTTAAAATGGATAGCTAAAATTGAACCTGAGATTAGAGCTAAAGAATCTAAATCTGGTGATGAAGAAGATCATTTACAGGTAGTTATATTGTGTAATATGATTAATTATAATTATTATAGGGGATTACCATGTTCTTGCTGATCCTCAAACAATTTACTATGGTACTGGATTACAAATAAAGATGATCTCAAAGGGGCAGTCTGACTTTTTTAAGTCCATGGTTTGCCATTTTCCAGGGTCAATCGTACCATGGTCTCAGAAACAAAAAGTCAAATCTCACTATACTGGCATATCCTATAGCTCGGTAGCCTGTCGGTTTAGAGAGGTTTAAAGGGATTGTAAAGAGGTTTTGATAGAATCAATTTGCATCGTTGCAATTTTTAGTCAGACGTCCTGCAATGCCACAAAAACTTTCTTTCCACAAAAAATATGCTTGTATCACATGAGGCCCCTAGCAATTGGTGACATCATAGTTTGATATTATGGTTCATATTATTTCAGATTTTAATGGATGAATTAGAAAATATTCAACCAATTCTAGAAGAAATAAATAACGATGGTACAGAACTAGTTGATCTAGCACCTGGAGATTTAGCGTTAAGAATTGATGAAACAATGAATAAAGATAACAAACGTTTTGATTCGGTTAAAGAGCAGATTGAAAAAAGAGCAGAAAAGGTTCGATTAGCTCGCCAGAAATCTTTTGAGGTAAGAAACTTTTTAAGTTTTCTTTTGCATTGTCTTATGTAGTGTTATGTAGTGTAGTTTGCTTGCTTATTAGTTTGTAGCTTTAGTTATTTAGAAAGTAAGATGACTAACTGACTAGACTTCAGTACTGTCATTGTCTTGAATAGTATTATTTAGTGTAAGAGATAAACAAATAATTGTTTTGATAACCCCGAGATGTTTGCCTACAATAAAAATTATTTTGATATATCAGATATTGCTTATATCATTTTATATACAAAAATCTTGAAAGATTTGAAAGAATGTTCAAATGTTCAAAGATCTGTATTATTAGCTCCTATTATTTATTAAAGGAATTGTAAAGAGGCTTTCTAGATTTTATGTGTATTGGGGACATGGATAGCATCCATTTATACCATTTCAAATTTAGATCAGACTTCTGTGGTTCCTTCAATTTCACTAATCGCAAAATATGCCTAATCACACAATGCTCATTGTGAGTAGTGGACATCATCAAACACTTAGTTTTAGTGACATTGCAGGAACCATAGAAGTCTGATTGAAAATTGCAATGGTATAAATTGATGCTAGCAGTGTTCCTGATACACATAAATAATTTAGAAAACCTCTTTACAATCCCATTAAAGTGATACTACATCTTAGAATGAACATAAAATTTAAGTTCTCGATATGGTCAATATGAGTATATATTCATCAGTGAACTTACCTGGTTACAACAGAATCCCTGAAAAATCTGGAAAATTGATAAAACTAAGTAATTATTGAAAAACGTTTAATATTAGGACTAAGCGTTTTTTAATAATTACTTAGTTTTATCAATTTTTAAGATTTTTCAGGGATTCTGTTGTAACTTTATGACACCAGGTAAGTTCACTGGTGAATATATACTCATATTGACAATTCTTGAGAACTTAAATTTTATGTTCATTCTAAGACATTGTATTCCTTTAATAATGAACTTCTTCTGTCTGTATGATTCTTATTTGTTTGCATTAAATTTCCAAGCTTAACATATTTGTTCATTTTGCCGTTCCTTATCTATGTTTTATGTAAAAGTATGAATGTTTTATATATTTATTTATCATTATGACAAGTTGTATGATTTTTATTTTTATATTTTTGTGTAGCATTCTGCAGCGGTAAGTGTGTAATCGGTGTCAAAATAATATTTGGATTTTTTTTTTTCAATTTAAAATGCACTTTTTAAAATGTTGGTCATTTTGGCACTTTTTACAATGTTTTGATTTTGGTTGCTGTTTTTATAAAGGTTCCTTTTTTTCTTTTTTTTCCTAATTTTTATCATAAATCTAAACTTTTTGATATCATGACCTATTTTGACGCATGAATGTGATATTTTCTCATTTATAAAAGATGATTAAGCAAAGCTAGCCGTTCCACATGAATTCAAATGACCATATCCTCTTTGATAAAAAAATATTTTCTGTGAAATCTGAAATTTCTGTCCTCAACAGAATTTCCCTCATTGCACACTGCATGGTGTTGCATGTCTTATTAGGTGCAGAAGAGAAGGACTAAAAACTACATTCTTTCATTATTATTATTTTTCACCAGCCAATAGCTCAGACGGTCCTCAAAACATTTTAGAATTGTCATTTGCACTAATCATAGAAGATGAAAATAATATTGATTATAAAAGAACACCAGAAAATACTAATAAGAACCATGGAATTATGATTGCTTATTCTTCAATGGCATCTGAGAGCCGACATTGAGCTTTCTCAAAGAACAGAGCACATATTTAGAATTATATTCCTCTTGATGTAGTTAAAAAAAATTTTTTTATTTAATTATATTTCTCAAATAGAAATAGAAATATTAAAACAGAACTTGAAACATGTTGTTACTCTGAGTTTTACACCGTTTTGATATTTCTATATATCATTCTACAATTCAGGTATTTAGCACCATTTTAATAGTGAAAATATTTTATTATTATTTTATTTCTCAAATATTATATTTTTGAAGACATCTATTTTTTTTCTGAAACATTGATTATAAATATTATATTATAGGTCTTGGGAACATTAGATGATTTAATAGAATGGTTTGATGATGAGGAATCAAGATTATTAGATTCTGCACCAATACATTCTGAACCTGAAAAATTACAGTCTCAGTTAGTAGAACAGAAGGTAGGTTCAAATTACTTTCTCAAGAAAAAATACCAGAAACATAAAACATAGACTACTACAGTTACATTTCATTTCCTAAATAAGAGGGATGCCAGACTTCCTCTATTAGATTTCGGGGAAGGGAGGGTTTGATTCTCCCAAATGTACAGGCCTAGGGTGGAGCAGACACTTTATTTAGAAATTAGGATTAAGGGTCATGATATTGGGTTTCAATAACATTGATTGGATTGGTCTATTTTATTTGTGATTGTAACGTGATGTATGACAGTATGCTTGAATATAAAGAAAGTAAAAAATAAAATTGAAAGTAAAAAGTACCAGTTATAATAATTATTATCACAAATTCATGACATTGAAATACAGTGACACTTACAGCAGGATACTAACAGGCCTAGAGTAGTGTCTTGTAACCCAACAGGGTACTAAATGTCCAACTGGGCAATAATAAATCAAAAGCTCTGGTTTGAGGGATGATAAGATTTATATATACAACTAGAAACAACTTCTAAAGTGTCTTGAGATGGGAATATCCCCCCTGTGCCTCAGATGTGAGTCTGTGGCCTCCTTTATATTTTCCATTTACCCTATAATTTTTTTTTTTACTGAGATCCCTGTATTTGGCTTTCTCATATATGTTTAAGGATGGGTTCCCTTATTTTCATTTATGAAAATGAAAATGCTAATACTTATATGAATAGAAAGTAGAGGTGTTCTAATGACTTGGTAAAATACCAGTTGTCTCACATGTACATAATTAATTCATAATTAGCTAAATTAGAAGAGAATTACCAGCAGAATTCCAATTAGTGACCGATCAAGAAAGGTCAAAAAGTCTTTTTTGTGTATCCAGACTGTACATACATGGACATTTATGATTGGTTAAAACTCTTAATTATATGCAATAAGAACATAATGATATGATTAAGAATACATGACAATTTATTAAATAATCAAAAAAATTTAAATAAACGTTTTTAATCAGACATAATTCAAAATTCAATTCACATTAATTATTTTACAGACAATGAATGATGATATTACCAGTCAGAAATCTAAAGCTAGAGATGCTATCAATGGTGGTAAAAAATTACTACGCGAAAGTCCTCCAGAAGAAGAACCAGTCATCAGAGAGAAGATGGATCTGTTGAAATCAAAGGCAGATAACTTATCACGACTAAGTAACGACCGTCTGACACAATTAGAACAAGCCTTACCATTGGCTAAACATTTCTTAGACACCCACAATGACTTGGAAGGTTGGTTAGATGAAATTGAACCAATGGTAGCTGAGATGGCAGTAATGTCTATTAGTTCTGATCAAGTGAAGAAACAACAAGAACAAATGAAGGTAAGGGCGATACTGATAGCATCAATTTGCACCATTCTAATTACGATTGTGATTCCTCTTATTCCACTAAAACTAATCGCAAGGACCTTATGTAATAAAGCATATTTTGCAATTAGTGACATCATCAAACTTTTAGTTTTAGTGGAATGGCAGCAATCACAGACATCTGATTGAAAATTGAAATAGGGAAAATTGATGCTAATTGTGTTCTCGATACACATACGAAAAGTAGCATAAATCCTTGGAAAGTAATGTCATTTTGAGCATATCTTTCACAGTAATGGTTCAAATTCAAATTTAGTTCAAATAATGTTTCAATGTTGGGTTCAACACAACTAAATTTTGGAAATTTGCCACCTATTCATTGTCTGTCTTTGTTTTTTCTCTAGACTCTGAAACAAGAAGTGACAGATCATAAACCAGTTATAGATCGTCTCAATAAAACTGGTACAGCTCTTGTCAAGTTGTGTGGTCCACAAGATGTTGAGAGAATTAAAGATATCATGAATGAAGACAATAAACGTGTTGATGATCTACGTAATGCTGTAAGAGAACGATCCAATTCTATAGAGGAGGCCATGCAACAGTCTGCTGATGTAAGTTAAAGCTTCTATTCGATTGCATTACACTCTTCCCCTACAAACCCTTACTATTTTGTGATTTTCCCATAGAATTTTCCTGCAATCATGTCTGAGTATAGTCTGAATTATAATTATTCAAAAATTTATCGCTAGACTGCAAAGCGCCCCAGGTAAAAGCATAAGATTTTCCCAATTAAGAATGCTTTCATACTGAGGGCAACAAAGGTCCCGCAAACAGATCTGACCACTTTTTTTGTGTGAATTTTGTTTGCAATGTTTGCAACTCCAAATATATAATACTGAGAGCCAGTTAAACATTGGTTAGAATCTTGATTTATTCCTAAAATTAAAAGGAAGCACAAAATTTCTAGCAATCACACAATCATTTTTGAAGACTCTAGCTTCTCTGCCAAACCTTAGTGAAAATCCTGCCATCAACATGTATGAACTGAATGATATGTTATGTTATTTAATGTACCTGGATATTTCACTTCAGTTCTCTGATAAGTTAGAAGATCTGTTAGAGAATTTAACCAAAACAGCAGAAGATGTTAAAAATGCTGAACCAATTGCTGCTTATCCTGACAAAATACGAGGCCAAATTGCTGATAACTCTGTAAGTATAATATTATTATGTATTATTACAAATCCTTCAGAGTAGAATGAGAATTTGTTTTATGCTTTACCTGGAAATATTAAAACAGAACTTGAATCATCTGAATATCTCATAGTGTGAAAGTAACAACATCATTCAAGTTATGTTATAATATCTCTATAATTGATGTATTGAGCACTATTTTAACAGTGAAAATATTTTATTTTGTATGTTTTACCTAAGTTTATTTAACACATATGAAATATCTATTATCATGAAAACAAAAATTACATAAAGTCTTTGAATGGCATTTAGCAATTGTGAGTACGATATATAGACACAGCTTTATGGAACAACAATCACTGGTTAAAGTTTTATGCAATGTTTCGACTTGTTTCCCCTGTCATGTACCTGAGGTGGACTGAGGAAACACATCGAAACGTTGCATAAAACTTTAACCAGTAATTGTTGTTCCATAAAGCTGTGCCTATATAAAAATTAAATATTTAGATTTCCAAAATTTAAAGATACAAAGCAAGAATTCACATAACAAGCTATAACTTAAGGTGTCAATTTTCTATCTACATCATTATAACAATGAACCTCATGTAATACCCATGGTGGTGTTCTATAGTTATTTCAGTGTCTATTCAGTGATTGTTTTAAGGAATTGTACATTGGAATGGGTTTTGAAAAATTGATTAGATCAAAGCCATCCCTATAAATTGAGAGTTGGTGAATTGATGTAAGGATACTCCAATGATTATAAGTTATGTTTTTTTTTTTGTAATTGTAGACTATTGAAGAAGATATGGATATGAGAGAAGCAGCATTGAATTCTGTACGTAATAGAGCAGAAGAATTATTGAAACAAGCTGGAGATGGTCAAGATGAAGCTGTAAAAGGTCTGTAAACAAATTTATTTCAAAGTAGTTATATTTGACACAGGGCTTACTCTTGGAAGCACTGGCACAGGCATCAGAATATTTTTCTTACCTTGAGGAAGATTTGAACCCACAGCACCTGAATGCCTAGCTGAGATTTCCTTTTCAGTCCAGGAAATGAAGCTGAAAAAAGGTTGAGATTAACCAGGAATTATCTTTACCGGTAAATTTGGCCATAAATGAACTGTAAGACAAGCTGTGGAATCCCTTGAAGAATGTAACTTTTTAAAAGAACTATTAAAGAGCTTGGAGTTGTATTAGAATTTATTATACAATATTATTTTAATGTTGTAGATGTAAAACAGAAGTTAGATGAACTGGTTAAACTGTATAATGATATCAAGGGAAGTTGTCAAGAAAGAGGTGATGCTCTAGATGAAACATTGGGAGTTGCAGATAAATTTTGGGATGAACTCAACAATCTGACTAGTACACTCAAAGACTTACAGGAAAACCTAGCCAACCAAGAACCACCAGCATTGGAACCTGATGCCATTCGAGAACAACAAGAAGAGCTTGAGGTTAGTGTAGAAATTTAATAATTAGCTCTCTATTTAGAACATCTGCATAATATCATGCTAGAAATTTCGTCTCATCCAATCAGAGCCTCTAATAGAAAGACGTAAACATACGGTGATAACTGTCTGTCGTGGGCCATGATTGGCTGTACTCCATAATACAATCCAATCAAATTGCTGCATTTACTAACTTCTGTGACACAAGAAAGGTGCTTATAGCAGTCAAGGTATAAGACGAAGCTTGACATTATGAAAATTTATTTAGATTAGTTCAGAAAATGGTCAATTCCTGAAAGAATAATACTTCAGTCATACTTTCAGATAATTTGGACAAACATATATATCATATACACATATTATAAATGTAAAATGTAAATGTGAATAGTTGGAAATATGTTTCATTGTACAAATCATTCATCAGATGCACATAGAAAATATTTTACAAATGTACATGAATGAATAGATTATGATGCTGTGCACATGCACATAGCTGTAACCTCAGATGTAAAAGATGCTGTAGTCTTTTGGATATAAAATACATGTAATGAACATATCAATTCACCATCAAACTTTGTTGTAGAATATGAAAGAAGAAGCTCAAGCCACACAGGCTGATTTATCTGATGTACAACAAACAGGTCAACATCTGATGTCTATAGTTGGTGAACCAGATAAACCTGAAGTTCAGAAGAATATTGATGATTTAGATAACCAACTAGCTTCTATTAATGATGATTTAGAAAAACGAGCTCGATCTTTAGAAGAAGCTCTTGCCAAGGCTTTAACCTTCCAAGATGTTCTTATGGTATGTTCTATCAATGTCCAATACAGTTTTAGTCTCAGGGCTTTTGGATACTTCATACACTTAAATTATTTTTGCTATCTCCTGGTTCTTTTTTTTTGTTGCCTTGAGTAAAATGATGAAGGACAAAATTAAAATGGAAGCTTCAGGTTATTGTGGATAGATTTAAGATTTTGACCAAAGACAACTGTTGACAGAATATCTGAATCGCCATCTGATATTTCTGTATTTTGTGGTAATGATTAGGAGTCTAGTCTGGTACTGCCTTGAATCTCCAGGAACTAGTACCCTGTGTTTTGAGACAAGGTGCTTGTTTCTCAGATATTTCTAAGACAAAATTGTGTGAAAATTGTGCTATTCTTCGATGTATTCTTTTTGTTAAATTGTTCTGTTCTAATAAGGATTTCTGAAGTTGTGACTGTTAACCTTCTTACCATGTTGTTATTTATTACAGAAACTGTTAGTATGGTTACAGAAGAAAGAAGAAGAATTCAGTGACATGGGACCTATTGGTTCTAGTTTCGAAGTTCTTAAGAAACAACTTGAAGCTCTCAAGGTTAGTTCCATTTGGAATCTAACATAAGGATTAAATGATTCTGCATTAACAGTTTGTATAAATTGAATTTCAAATCTTTATTTACAAAACATAAGAGGATATTTCTAAGGTTTTTAGTGTAACAGGGCCCAGACTGTCATACATCACAATTATGGTGGCGCTCGATTGTAGAGCTCTGACCAGATTCCATCTGTCCCCAATAATAGTGGATATGTCACATTCAGACTTCTCCAATCTTTATCTTTCTCTGCCATTTTGAATTATCTTGACATCTCTTATTACTATTGCACACATGGAACACGTTCTGAACTCTGTTCCATCTTGTTTTATTCAACGTTGTGTTGATTCCAGAAATTCAGAACGTGTAGATCTCACCAATCAAGCGGCCCCTATAGTTGCAGTCTCAAAACATTTTCTTACATGTATCTTGTTGTTTATAGACATTTAAAGGTGAAGTAGAGCCTAAACAAATAGATATTGAATCATTGAGTCAACAAGCTAATGAAATGGCAAAAGATAGTACTGCTGAACAAGCTGTTATTGTGAAGGAACCAGTTGTAGAACTTAAAGAGAGATGGGATGTACTGGTTGATAATATCAGAGATAGACAGGTAGGACATATTTCTTTATCGTCATGGATACATGGTGGGTAAAGTTTTACAGCATGAGGCAAATGAAGGGATTATGAAGGGGTCTCTTCTCCATTTTGTCCATACTGGTTGTGGTTCAACTTGGAATATGTTATAGGGTCACTCTTAGCCTACACAAAAATTAATGTCTGAAAAATCACTATCTAAAACTTGATTTCAAAATAGCATCACACAAAATTCTTAATCGTCTATTCAAAATTCTGTAAGGCATATAATCTTTTTCTGCGATATCTGTATCCAACTTCTTAGTGCCGGACATTTTATTTTTACTGCCTGCCAATGTGACTGGGGCAGTAGTAAGTATTTTGGTACTTTGTGAAATATAGTGGGCTTTGTCAATATTATACGGTGATTTACGTTCTCCTACTTTTTGTTAGATGTTGGCTGTCATATTCATATCTTTTATCCAAAAAACATTACCTTTAATTTTTGGAGATGGTTTTCAAGTTTTGGACATAAAGCAACATTTATTATACTTCATTTAAATGATTTTGATTTTTTGCACATACTTTCATCTTGTTCAAATTTGCTCTCATATCAAGCATGTTTATTGCTTATGTTGAAAGTTTTTCAAAACATAGCATGAGCTTCAGTATTTCAAATATATTCAATAACCCCATCATTATATATTCTATCAACCTTGTATATTCACTTGTAATATCATTTTAGTATTTTCCATTTTTCTATTGTCTTTTCAGCGTCTGATGCAAAATGCTTTATTGAAGTTGGGAGAATTTGACCATGCTTTGAAAGAGTTGAATAATTGGGTAACAAAAACTGACAGTAAATTAGATGATATTGAACCTGTCTATGGTGATTCTAAGATTATTGAGATTGAGATGGCCAAATTAAAGGTAGACAATTTGTAATATTTGTATATAATTAAAAAGATTCCCACAAAGTTCCAACATTCACTTCTGATTCTTCATAGGATCATGTTTTTTGTGATCTGGAAGGCATCAGCTGAATAAGTGGTAGAAAATGAGCTAGTTTCACTTATCATCAGTTGATCAACCTTGATTTTTGATGAACCGGTTGGGACAACAAAATGAAATGAAATGAAATGAATGGAGTTTTACATCCTACTTTTCTGCACCACATTTAAAAAGGAGTATATCATGAAATTGTATTGCGTTATTTAATGTGATCTCTACCCCTAAATGTCAGAATTATAACATGACTAATATGGAGATTCGATGCTTGAAAACTAAAAAGTAGTATACCATTAAATTGTGTTCCATTATTTGATATTTATAACCTGTATTTGAAGTTTGAACATAGTGTTGTATTGTGTAGTTAAATTAGTAATGTTGTAAATTCTTTATCCTAACAGTAACTGTAGTAGTCTCGATAGCACTTTCAGATTTTTCGCCTGGTATTCTGTTGTCAATAAATGCAGATTGAAAATGAAATGATATATTCACCCGGTCCCTCAGTAAGCTGTAAATTTTTGTTCTCTGTTTTCAGGTGATTCAAAATGATATCCAGTCTAAAATACCTAGTATAGATTCTATCAATGCTGAAGGACAGAAACTGATGGCTAATGAAAGTCATATGGAAATATCTAGTATGAGACAGAAATTAGATGATCTGAATAATGGTTGGGAAGTCATTCAAGATAAAACAAACAAGAAAATGGCTGATTTAGAAGAAGCTTTACAAGAGGTATGATACTGATAACCTTAAGAAGATAACTTTATTTGCTAATATTGTATCAAGCTATGGCGTCTAAATTTGTTCGGACTGCAATTAAACAAATAAATATTTTAAAGTCTTTTTAAGAAACAATGAGTAATAAAGCAACAAATGATAGATTTCATGATATTTCCTCAAGCCTTTTTTTCTGTTAATATTATTATTATTTTGTTTAGGCTCAGTTATTTACTGGAGATTTACATGATGTACAAGTTAAACTAAGTGATATAGAGAACCAACTGATCACTTCCAGACCTGTTGGTGGTTTACCTGAAACAGCTAAAGAACAACTGGATAGGTTTATGGTATGTTGTGTATTCTCCTATTGGAACATTATAGTACTCTGGTTCAAGGGTGTTTTGTTTTTAAGTAAAGATGTGTGTAGATTTGTCAGCATGAGCGTATCTCATTTAATATCTTGAAACATGACTCTGTAATATTAGATACTAGATAGACATTGGTCTATGAACTAAAAGGAATGTGCTATGTAGTCCTATTTCTCTGAATGCAAATCTTGATTAAAATCTCATTTGTGCCTGCTCTTCCACAACAAGATTATCAACTTGTCAACCAGTTTGATATTTGTCGCTGATTGTTTTATCGTCTGCAAGACAGAGTATTATCATCCAATCAGATTCATTTTTCTTTCAATTGCATGACCCACACTTCATTATCGACACAGTGAAACTCTAGATTCTAGTCAGTGACAAAAATCGCAGCAGATTCCTTGACAGTTTATAATGGTATATTTTCGAACATCTCTATTCATTTCATTTGTAGGAGGTGTTTAATGATCTAAAAGCATTAGAACCTAAAGTTGGTGATGTTTTAAAGAATGGTGATGATCTAGCCACGAAGAGTACTGATCCTTCTTCTAATAATATCAAACATAATATGAAAGCTCTGCAACAGAAATGGGATAATTGTAGAGCCAGAGCTGGAGATAGAAAGGTAATTATTGTTATATATTCAGACTAAGTAAGTGCTATACAAAAAAATAAATCCATCTTGATTAAATATGATAATTGTCAGAGTTCCCAGATGTTTTGTCTTTCAAGTTTGAAAAAAAGCAATTTATGTTTTTTTTTCTAGAAAAAATTAGAAGAAGCTGAAGGCAATGCTGGTAATTTCCATAATGATCTCAATAAGTTTATAGCCTGGTTGACAGAGAAAGAAAGAGTACTGAATAATCTTGCACCTGTTAGCCGTCTGGTTAATAGAGTCACAGATCAAGCAGATGAGCACAGGGTAGGAATTAGTTTTTTTTATTCACACAAATATCCTGTGAAGAACAAAAGAAAGAAAGGTACAAGGGTAACAACTTTAGTTCACAAAGATCCTTACTACCAGCTGGTACTTGGCCAAAACTATTGGCTTCGATGTTTACCACCTTTGGCAAATTGGGTGCGTTGGAAATTCCACTGGTGGTAGGTCATCTATCAGTTTAATTAGAATTAGACCAAACTTTCGTTGTTTTTTTATTAAAGAGATTATAAAGAGGTTTCTTAGATTTTTTTATGTGTATTGGGGAAACTGATAGCATCAATTTGCATCATTCCAATTTTCAATGAAACGACTGTAGCTCCTGCTGAATATGCTGGCATCAAACAAGGTCTTTCACAATTAGTGATAGACATTTTGGTCTTAAGTTTGATCATATCAAATTAAGCCTTTTACCTTTTTTTTCTATAAAATTTGATTTTTTTCTGTTATGTATTTTATAGATCCTGCAGAAAGACATCTCTAAAAATCGTGAGAACCTGATAGCTTTAGAGAAGATGGGTACACACCTGAAATACTTCAGTCAAAAACAAGATGTGATCTTAATTAAAAATCTACTGTCTAGTGTACAACATAGATGGGAGAAGATAGTATCACGTAGTGCTGAAAGAACTAGGAAACTAGAGAGAGGTTATAAAGAAGCTAAAAATGTAAGTCATTATTTCTGATTACCTAAAATTATTATTAGTTATCAGCTATTGGGGTGCCACTTTTGGCACATTGGCACCTGCAAAAAAATTTTTAAAGCAAAATAACGGAAAATAAGGAAGTGAAATATCAGAATCAGGTTATGGCGCTTAGGCAATTCCAAATTTTAAAAGTAGTGCTTTAGCTAATTTACTTGCAAAACCCTGATTTAGATGCTTTTCTTGGCAACCTTGGCAAGGTTTTCACTCTTCCGAATTTTTCAACCTAATTTCTCCCTTTAAGGGATGAAAATGGGGGGTCATTTGAATTGAACAATAAATCAAGTGCCTATGTACCAATAAAGATTATTTGACAGTTAAAAATCAAAAAAAGATCTAATACGAGTGCTCTGCCAAAATTTCCCCATTCACACTGCTTGGTTGTGTTAGAATTCACTAGCTTATTCAGGAGCAGAGAAGAAAAATCCATTCATTTTGATTTATGCTACATATTATATTGTCAATTCAGGTAGAATATATATACCATATGCTACTATCAAGCATCATTTTATTCATACTAATTGTAGTAATATTGATTGTATAAGTATGCGTAATGTAATTTTATAGTAAACAGACATACCGGTATATAGATATTAGTATATAATGAAAGGCTTTTATATCATATTGTCTGATTTTAGATTTGATGAATGTTTGACATTTGATTTCAGTTCCATGACATCTGGAAAGATTTACTAGGCTGGTTGTCAGAGGCCGAACAGATTTTATCTGAAGATCTTAAGATTGGTAATGAACCTGCCAAGATCAAAGCTCAAATTGCTAAACATAAAGAATTCCAGAAGAAATTGGGTGCCAAACAGCCTAAATTTGACACTGTCAATAGAACAGGTCGAGGTTTGAAAGAAAAATGTCCCACCGACGATGTTCCAGTAATACAGCAGATGTTGAATGAACTGAAAAACAAGTGGAACACAGTGTGTGGCATGTCTGTTGATAGGTATGATTTTGGTAATCAAGTTCACCTTTGTCATAGACTGGAGCTCTTCTTAAAAAAAAATTTCTCTTAAAATGTTATGATTGTCAACCTGGGTACTTTCGTTCAAACTATGAAGCTCTTGATGCATATTGGCTTTGTTGCAAACATGATATCTTTGTCCTCAATTTCAACCAACTACCAACTCTGTTTATTGTAGACAAAGGAAGTTTGAAGAAGCCCTGTTGTTTTCTGGTCAATTTAATGATGCTCTTCAAGCATTGTTAGATTGGTTAGCTAAAGTAGAGCCAACATTAGGTGAAGATCAACCTGTACATGCTGATATTGATACAGTCAACAGTTTAATGGATGAACATAAGGTAAAACTTAGATAAGACTGAAAAAAATAAACAAACAACTTTATGTTACAAGGATTACAACTTAGGTTCAAAATTGAGGATCCTTTCTACCAGTTGGTCCTTGACCAAACCTCTTGGCCTCTGACCTCTGGATTATCCATACCCATTTACAGCTGGGTCGACTGGAATTATGAGTGAAGATGACTTAATCAAGGTCATCAGACTTTCACACACTGTTTGATATCAGAGCCAAGCAAATGACATCATGTAATGAACCAACTCTAACTGACTGTGCCTTAGAACTTTGCAGAGTGAGATAAAGCACACCAAAAATATTTCATTCGAATTAACATGTGTTCATCAACCAATGAATGCAAAAAAAATCTACATTCAATCCTTAAGTGAAGTACGTCAATGTCTTATATTTCAGATCTTCCAACAAGAATTAGGTGCTAGAGCCAAAACAGTGGAATTTGTCAAGAAATCAGCTAAAGATTTGATAGAGAAATCACAAGAGGACACATCGGATTTACAAGCACATTTAATAGAACTACAGACTCAATGGGATAGAGTTTGTAAATTAAGTGTTAGTAAACAAGACAGATTGGAACAAGCTCATAAACTGGTAAGAATAATATATATCATATAGTAGTAAAGTGCAGGTTTATGATATACTTATTATATATTATATTATTTTTTGCTACAAAGTTGAGTTGAGCAAATGTTGTTGTGCACCTGCAGGGAAGTTTTCAAAGAAAACTCTTTACTTTACGTTTCTGGGTCAAATTCATGATAATGTGTACAGATCTATACTGTATTTTGTCCCAGATCAGCAGATTATCTTTTCTTCACCAATAATTGTTAAAAACATTGTATGTTTCCCCTTTTTAGTAAATTATTAGTCAGAAAACTTAAAGGGACATTCTGCTTTTTTTGTAGGTCAAAAAAAAATTTTCGCTCAAATTTGTGAAAACCATGAACCAAAATCTAGAGATATGTGTCCAATAACGTATCTGAAAGTTTTAACTAAAAAAATCCAGCCGTTAATTTTTTAACCCCAAAACTTTACATAAAAGATTTTTACAAACTACTGTACGGATTTGAGTAAAATAAATGCCTAACTGTAGAGAAATATGTCTCCTACGTTTTCTAAAGATTTCAACTAAATAAAACAAGCCAATCACCAAAACTAGGCAAAACTGCTTAATTAACAATTAGTACCCTCAGTTTTTAATTAACCCTTTTGAAATAAATTCAGTTTGATCAATAGATACATAGATATAAATAGCATACTTTAGAAATATTTTGAGGTATAATTTATGACGTTTTTGATAATGAAAATGTTTTACACAAAAAGCAGAATGCCCCTTTAATAACATTAATTTGCTTAGTCAACTGTGAACTTATAATATTTTCAGGCTGAAGAATTTAATAAGAAAGCTAATGGTTTATTAGAATGGTTAGGAGATGCTGAGAGACAACTTCGTGTACAAAATCAACAAGCTTTACCAGAAGAAGAAACAGTAATGTTAGATAAGATAGAGGAACATAAGGTAAGCTTATTTTGTTTTATAACAGTTTTATAATGGGTGTTTGAAGTAATATATTGGCTCAGTGAGGAACACACTAGTTTGCTAACCTGAAGATCCAGGGTTCAATCCCAGCATAGGTCGAGATATTACCCTTGAACTTTTCAACCCAGTTTCAGTGATGCATGTTGGAGGGTGCTGTTATAAAAAAAAGCACCTTGTCGATTGCTCTGTGTGCTACACGCTGTGCATGAACCCGCAACAGATAGAAACTGAAAAATAGTAGGCTAAGCCACTGTCCTATCTTCGTTTCGCTAATCAGTTGCAGAAACGTAGGACATAAACCTTAGTTATCTTTCTTTAAATTATTGCTGAACCATGAAATCTGCAATGTATTTTATTTTCTAATAACTTGAAAGCAAGTATTGATGGGGGTTTGAAGAAATAGATCATCAGATGGAAGCAATGAGTTGTCCAGGCCATGTACTCTCGAAACAATCTTAGCACTAGGATGTCCTAGGTTCATATATCATTGATTCTTGGACATCTTAGAAAATCTTAGCGCTAAGAACGTTTTTGAGAATCTGTGGTCAAGAAAGTACATTATGAGATTATGAGATTTGTGAGTATGCTTTGATTGTTTTAGAAATAATTCATATTTTTAAACTATATTTTTTTCTACAGAGATTTGAAGAATCATTATTAGCTCAAGAAGCCAATCTACGTGAAACATTAAATATAGGACAAGATATAATGAGAAGATGTCATCCTGAAGGAGTTATAACAATGAAACATTGGTTATCTGTTTTACGTGCTAGATGGGAAGAGGTATGTTATTAAATCTATATTTATGGCATTGATCAATTCATTAGTCAGATTGTTTTAAGGTTTATCATCATATAGGACAAGAATGTCGCTTGTTTTTTGGGGATACCTTTGTGATTAAATAGCTATTAGCTTTGCATATATTATGATGGTGCTCGATTGTAAATTTCTGATTTAGTGATTTTAGTATTGTATAATGCAAGAGTCCTCATAGGTACTAGAAATGTACGAAAATCAGATAATTCCTTTAAAAATACTTCAAACTAGGAATTTTACTTACTATTTCTATATATGTCTTTTCGATTTATCACAGAGTATCTTGGTCATTTTAACCTTCAAACGCAGATAATTCTGGACCCACAAGTAGGATTTGTCAAAAAAATGGCCTACCTGTCCCTTTAATGAGTGAATTCCTAACATTTTCTTATAAAATATTTACAAAATATGAAATCCAAAATCAGGTTTTTGTGACAACAACTGTAATGTAATGTTTTTTTTGTTTTCAGTTAATGAGTTTAACTAAACAGAGAGAACGTAAATTAACTGATGGTTTAACCACGTTACGTAGAAATAATCAACTGTTAGATGAACTACTAGCCTGGTTAAATAACGCTGAAGTTAAACTGATTGATGCAGATAAAGAACCTATACCACAGGATGTACCAGCTATACAACAACTACTCAAAGAACATCATGTAAGTAATATCCTTCTCAAAACAACAAAACTTTTCTCCAGTGTTAGGGCTATGTTACTCGTGTCTCATGCTTTCTCAGCAGACTACAAGTTAGTGACTGGTCCAAGCTGTGTGGTTTCCTAATAAAAATATACTGTTGTCAAGGGAGACTTTATAAGGTTTCAAAGGATGTTCACAAATAAAGATGTCGCAAGCTTAAAGGTTGATAATTCTGATTTCATGATTTCATTACAATTTGAATAAAAATTTCACTAGCGAGAAATTTGGATCTGATATATTTCATATATATGATTCCAGGAATTCCAATGTAATTTATCTGCCAAACAACCAGAAGTTGATAAATTAACAAGACCAGAGAGACGAAGACCATCAGTTTCTGTAGATACTTCAACACCTTCTCTCATTCCTCGCTTTAGAGGTAGCTTCAGAACACCGTCTAAGAATTCACCCAGGTAAGATATGTCTTTTGGATATTTAAATTTCAGTAAAGTACAAATATGTGATATTTGTTTGTATAAAGAAAAATTTGAAAATCACTCGAGTACTCCAATGTATAGATCAAAGGTGCTGGGAGTTTGTACAAATCTTACACAAATGTCACTTGATTTTTCAATAGATTTAATATTTTCAAGATTTTGGAAACAGAAACCATCATGATTCCTCAGATTTTAGAAATGACCCAGCAAAGTTGACAAACAGACTGGCTCACTGACTAAAATATACTTGTAATTAACAATACGTATTGTGTATTTCAGTCGTTCTAGTGGACGACGTACACCAGATATGTCTGGCAGACGTACTCCAGATTTTGGTGGACGTAGAACACCTGACTTCTTGTCTGGTCGTAGAACACCCGATTATTATTCTGGAAGAAGAACACCAGATTCTGCCAATCGCCACACACCAGAACCAGCATTTAGAAATCCAAGAGTGGGCGCTCTCTATAATAAATGGCGTCATGTCTGGTTGATGGCAATGGAGAGACAACGTAAACTACAAGATGCTATGAATTACTTAGATGAGGTAAAACATTATATTTTCATATATTATACACCTTTTTTCAATACAAAATTTATCTGTTACATTTTTCAGAACATAACATTTGAAGCAGGCAAGCCTTCTCTGAACTGTTCTAATTATGATCTACTGGGAGGTGATTTCAGAACGCATGAACCTCTTACTGGGCATACCTTATAAGCCAGCTTCACCCTTGCTTCCAGAATTTTATCATACCACTTCTTTCAGATAAGTTACACCAAAAAGTATGCCAATAACATTTCAATTTACGCTACAATTGATGAAATACTCTCATTAGATTTTGGTAATGTATATTGGCACATTGTTATGCCATGCTTTAATATACATGAAGACCTATTGTTGTGTATCACAGACATAAACATTAGTTGTTAATTTCCATTATTTATATTACAGCTTGAGAGAATGAAGAATTTTAACTTTGATGATTGGAGAAAACGATATTTACGTTGGATGCATCATAATAAAGCTAGAATTATAGATTTCTTCAGGCGTCAAGATCGAGATAGAGATGGTAAATTAACTAGAAAAGAATTTATTGAGGGTATTTTAGCATCAAGTAAGTCTTTTATTTCATAGTTATTCAAAAACATGGAAGTTATCCTTCCAATGTTTGTATATGTGCAAAATTTTCACCTAGCTTGAATGGTTTGATGTTAAAAGTTGCAGTACAATATTTTCATAGGACCGGATTCATTGAATCAACAGAATGTTCAATAAAACAAGTTGGAATAGAATTTATAAAACAAGTTGGAATAGAATTTATAAAACAAGTTGGAATAGAATTTATAAAACAAGTTGGAACAGAGTGCTGAAAAAATAGTAGGTGCAGACAAAATTCAAAATGGTGGAGAAGAAATAGAATGTGACATATCTTCTTTCATTGGAGGCAGAATTGAAACAGACTGAACCTGTTTAGAACTCTTGTATGCCACCTAGTAATGTTATTTTAGTAAAAATATTTTGTAATCACCAGAGAATGTGTCCTATTGTAGAATTCCCAACTACTAGATTAGAAATGGAGGCAGTAGCAGATAAGTTTGATCATAATAAAGATGGCTATATAGATTATAAAGAATTTGTTAATGCTTTAAGACCACCATCTGATAGAGAGGTAAGTAGTATTTTGGGGACACTGGTATACAGGCACAATTGTATTCTAACAAATACTGGGAAACATGGGTTTTAAACTATGTTATAACTTTCTAATTTTAGGGGTTTTCAATTTTTTGGTCTAATAATAGGTAAAATGGTTTTCTTGTCTATCTTGAGAAATAAGGACAGGTTGACATGGAAGAACTGTTCCAGATACTTTTTGGATGGTTGGAATGTGTTATAACAGAAATTTACCTCATTGCAAACTGCATGGCAATATCCATCCCATATAGCCCAATTAAGGACACAAAAGTTCATTTACTCTAATTCTCCACAATGAAAATGGAATTGATTAGAAAAATTGTATGGTTTGAATTACAGCGAACTGTTGAACCATCCTTAGATGAAAAGATAATGGATGAAGTTAAGAGACAGGCCAGTAAATGTACATGTGTTAAACAATTCCGTATTCATAAAATTGGTGAAGGCAAATATCGGGTAAGTTGTTGGCCCTAACATCACCTTCAGATTACAATTTTCTACTTTTGTGCTTTTAAAGGGAGTTTGGCATTTTTGCTATCTGTTAAATTCTAATGTGTATTGTGTTTCTAAATTTGGATGAAATCTAAAAGCACAAGAATAGAAAATATTTATAGTTGATTTCATGTTCACTTGTTTTAAAGTCTTAATTGTCATGTATTGACATGGCAGACAATCAAAGTTGAATTTTGGTTATGATACATGTATTATATTGGTGATAGAAGATTTATTATATTATGATTCTCATTGCTGGTGTACCTCCTTTGTCTTTTAAAAAATTAAACCATAACTGACATATTATGATTCATTCTGCATAGTCTTCTTAAAATGATTCCTTTTAGAATGGACATAAAATTTAATGTTTCAAACTTGGTCAACAAGTGTATATATTCATCAGTTGAACTTACTAGATGCCATGATTAAAGAATAGAATCTCTATAATATACGATGTATCCATAATTATTTGGTTTAATAAATTATTACTTGTATTATATTGGATTATAGAGAGATTCTGTTGTATAGATATGACATCAGGTATATATCCACTGATGAACTCATTTTAACCAAGTTTAAAAATTTCAATTTTTGGTTATCCTATGAAGTTGTGTACCTTTAAGTAAATCACAAATACATAAATCTTATGTTGGATATGATGTATTATCAATCATAATGGCAGTTATTTCTGTAGTTGTCACATGTTTTTGGAATATTTGGTATTGTGTGACTGGTACTTTGTTTTCAAATTGAATGTTGAATTAAGAGGAACAAATTGCAATGAGAATCATATATTAGATGTATCATAAGTTTTGTTAAGGCTGGGGACTCTAACTTTATTGTTGTTGTAAAAATGGGGGATTCTTTGGAAATTCTGAACATTTTGCTCTGTTATTTCGTTCAGTTCATGGTGGTATGGCCATTTTGACATTCAGATGATTTACAAGGGAATGCAGATTCCTTCTGCCAGTTCCATATTGCATCGTTGTCCTGCAAGCAAAACATGTTCTTGCTTTGCTTATGTTTTCAATCCTTTATGCTTTAAAGAATTGTGCAAAAAACAAGCCATCATCTTGAAGCCTCAATATTATTTTTTTTAATCTTATTTTTTTGGCAATAACAGCAGCTCGAACACATGTTATTTAGTGTAAGTTGTCCAGGAAAGATGTCTATTTATTTTGTAGCCAAACATATTTATCATTGTTCTCTGTTTATTTTTCTTTCATAATTTATGCTATGTTTTGTGTGTGTAATTTTTTTCTAATTGGTGTTGTGAACTATTATTTTTTAGACATTTTTAAACAGTTTATACTCTGTACTGTTTCTTAAATTTTATCATGTATGAAAACGACATGATTATGGTCATTTGCCTGTTTTTTTTTTTAATTAACGATTTCTTCTACCCTTAAATAGAAAGAATCACGTACATAAAATTTATGTTGCATTTTGGCATGCATCTTGTTTATTGTTATTACAAGGTAGAAAAACATCCCTCTTAAATACCCATTTTGAATAGAGCTAAATTTGAATTTTGTTTGCTTATTTATCAAATTCATAAAAAAACCCACTCCATTTATAAGTTAAAAAATATTGCAGACTTTCAATTCTCTGTAACTTTTACAAAACTAGGCCATTATTAGCTTGTGAATTATGATGACATATTAATTTGGTAAAAGTAAAAATTTTGCACCTTCACAAGTGTCATAAAAAATTAGTAAAAAAAAAAAAAGGTCAAAAGAACACATTTTTGATCAATGAATTCATTGAACATTTTGGATGTGACAAAGAAATTTGGCAACATGAGACCATTTAATAAAGAGTTAGGATTAAAAAAAATTGTAATGTAATCTGATAAGCATATTGTCAAGTTAAAGTAAACTCTTAAGTGAGGCGTTGTGTTTCTCCAAATTGATGTTTGACAAATTTTGTATTACATCAATTTGCAATCAATTTGGTTGTTAATTTTATTCCCTGTCATGGAACCCATTTTCAATGTCATAGAACTTTTACAACCGTTGCCATGATTTTTAATTTACTTAACCTGGCAAATTATTTTAACCCTAATTTTGTCAATTTTCTGCAACTTTGAGTTCTGCTTATTTTATGTTGTAATGTGCATTGTTTAAATATTTGGTATTCTCCAACCCAATTACAATCCTAATTCCACTCGGAGTAGTCTCCCTTGGTGATCGTACCTGAAATAGCCTCTTTTTGTGTTTAATGCATATGATATATTTATGTGTAAGATGAATACACAGTTAATTAGAAACTTACTGACTGCCCAGCATTCAATTTATAATAATGATTGCATCTTGTACCTTTGTTTTGTTATTTTGAGTAAATTCATTAAAAAAATATCCTCTAACTCCCCCTTTAGAAATAATTAACAATTCATTCAAGTTTCATCATTAGAATTCACATTAACATTATGTAAAATGTTTTCAGAATTTATCAACATTACATTTTTTATGTTTCACTTTATTTTACAGTTTGGAGATTCTCAAAAGTTACGTTTAGTGCGTATTTTACGTAGTACTGTTATGGTTAGAGTTGGAGGTGGTTGGGTCGCCCTTGATGAATTCCTTGTTAAAAATGACCCTTGTAGAGGTAGGTTCAACTTGCTTTGATGTCTTATTGATTATTTTGTTCAGATCTTGTTGAAAATGGTTCAATTTGATAAAATCGAAATATATATATTTGTTATCTGACTTTTGCCATTTGCTAATGACTGGTGTTTTTGATATAGAATTTGTTATCAGGTCAGCTGATATAGAAAATGATAGATTTATGTTATATAGCTTATACACATGCACAAAGTAAGCAAGTGCAGAAAGTGTTTGAAACAGAAGTGATGGTTTATAGAATAACTAGCTGATGGGAATTTTGAAAGCTCTTATTTAAATTTAACATGAATAAAAATGATAGCACACTCCTGCCTGTGCTTATTATAATATTAGTATTGTTAATGCTTTATGTTCTTTGTTTTATTGATTGTGTCAGTTAGTATCAGTCCTGCGTGTGTTGCCACATATTTAGTTGGCTTTTGTCTCAGTTTTGACCACAATATTTATTGTGTTTTTGCTTATATTAGAGAAAGCTAGAAAATTAATCATACAAACTGTGGATTGTAAGTATGAGGAACTCTTGACCAAGCTTCTTCTGGATTATGGGACAAGTGTTGTCTGTAGTACTCAATAGTTACAGTCTACTCTAGTTTTGGTTTCCACCCTATTTTTGTGTTCAACTATCCATCCATTTAGTCATTGACTTGAACTTTCAGGGGATTTTTGCATGAGTGATTATTTCATTTGTTTTTCGTTATTTTTTTTATTCAGCATTTTTAGTTTCAGTTGTTTTTAGTTGGGTTTTTTTTTTCATTTAGAAAAACTGTATAAAACGTACAAATTGTTGTCCTATCTTAATTTTCATATTTTTTTTTCTCCTTACCTCAAGTGGGTGCTTGGCGCCGTAATCGTTTTCGTTTTGAACGAAGATTTATGCGATGTGAACACTGTTTAGGTTTGAGTCTTCTCCATTATATTTTATATTTATATTAACTATTGTTTTTTGCGATATTGTAAATCCATCCCCTTTCAAATGAATATCATGACGACACCCTTTGAAACACTATTAAGTAAATTGAAATATTATTGGATGTGATCGAAAGCTAACTTGATGTATTTTCAGTTATATTTTTGAAATACATATGTATAACAAGTCATTTATCATGATTAAAAATGCAATAATTGGGAAAAAACGCAAATAACTAACTTATCCTGTAAAATATTATATAAACTTAAAACTAAATCTGATGTCTTCATGTGATATTCAAAGTAAAAAAAAAAAATAGCCCAGATTTGAAATTAATATATTTTGTTAACTCTCCAAAATTGTTGCTTATGCTTGAATTTAGCTGATATGAGAAGGAAATTTTCCCCTCCAGTTTCATGTGCTAACTTTATTTTGATGCTGCATGGTTAGAAATAGTTATATGTGACCCACCTTTCCTCCCTATTTCCCAAGTTTTGAAAATTTTGGTGTTGTAGTGGCTGTCATTTCCATTCACCATTTCAATCTTTCTCACAATTCTTTGTTTTTGTTTTATTTTGAAAAAGTGTTTAAACCTCTAACTTTGTCTTATCAACTGATCTATTATACTGTGTATTATTGGAGAAATATATTTGTGTCTAATGGCACAAGGAACATGTAGTAAAGGAAACTCTGTGTTCTGATTGATAAATGACTATTCTAAATATTCTTTTAAAAAGAGACTGATCTTACCTTGATGGCGTGAAAATTACAGATGAAGCGCCACCTAGAAACTCCCTCTCTTTGCTCAGACCACAAAATTTTTTTTTTTTTCGTAAAAATATTTATATTTTTTTTTAACAAAATAGATATGCCAGACTAAAAGTGGATAAGAAACAAAAAAAAAGAAAGAGTAGAAATAGTTACAATAGACCATAACACCATCATGACACAGATAATGCATCTAAATAAGAACTCTGGTGCTCTGGAAGGTTGAGCATGCTCTTCCTGACTAATCATTACTATGGAACACGAAATCTGTTAACTAAGATTGATTAATTTAAAGGGAAACAAGGATTTCTTAGCTAAGCTAATCTGTAATAGTCTTCACAGGTTACTGTCCAAATATTGAGCCTTCAAATCCATGTGTGTCCAGAATTAACTGTGTTAAAATGACAGCTTGTTTTTCCTTGAGAATCTGTCATATATATAAAAGACTATATATATAAATAGAAAATGAAATTTCTAGTTTGAGGTATTTTTGAAGGTTTTTTTGTGATTTTTGTACATTTCTAATGATTCTGAAGACTACATCTTTTTACATATGTTTAAAACCAAAATCGGCCCCCCAAAATCATGAGCTATGACCTTTGAATTAATTGCATCAACTGACAATTAAGCATTCCATACATTAATCATTTCATAAACATTGGAATGTTCTCATTAATCTGTATATTCAATAATTGCATGAACATTGTAAGAAATAAAACTGTTACAATCTCAATATAATATATCTTTAAAAACATTCCTTTCTAAAATACTTTCTACTCTTACTTAATGGAAGTCTTTTTTCAATAATTTAATTATTTTTACCAATGATTCTAAATAGACTAAATTAAATAGGAACAATAATTAAATGATGTAAAAAAGAGGTGATTAGTATTTTTTCAGTAATCCATAGTTAATATTTTTGTTATTTTCAGCTAAAGGTAAAACTAATGTTGAATTACGTGAACAGTTTGTATTAGCTGCTGGTGTTAGTCAGTCTATGGCAGGCTTTGTTTCCAAAAGTCCAGCCCCAAATAGTCCTTATACTGGTGGTAGTCCTGCACGTCCATCTTATACACCTTATACAGGACCTATATCAAAGGTAAGAATCAGACATCCAGTTTGATTAGAATATTGTCTTTGAACTGTGATTAGTGACAGATGACTTAGTAAATGTCAGATAGAAAGAAAGAGACAATTATATTTTACAAGGATAACAATTTAGGTTCACAGTTAAGAATTCTTACTACTAGCTGGTCCTTGAGTTTTCTCAGATCATCTGTAGCCATTTACAGCTGGAATTATGAGTGAAGATTACTTATTTCAAGGTGATCAGACTTTCACTTGCTAATCAAGATCGGAACCCACAATTACCATTTGCTTGACATAACCAAACAAATGAGGTCCAGTAAATAAACCAATGCTTTTTATTTTATAAACAGAATCAAACATGCCATGGAAGTAAAGTTTTTTTGGTTTTTTTTCACCTTCTTTCCACTTTTTGTAGATTCGAGAAAAGACACCACATTCCTCCCCATGGAACCAAAGAACCAAAACACCAGACGGTGAAGTTAGACATATAATGTCAAGAAATTTAGAGGGTTCCCGTCTTACACCACCAGCTAAATCTAAATTATTCCGTAAACCAGCAAGTCCTAGTCATCCACAAACACCAAGTAAGTTTTTGATACCTATATCATCTTATTTTACAAGAATACCTACGTAGGTTCTTGAGGACCTGTTTACCAGCTAGTCTTTGCAATAGCCTCTTGGCAATGATTAATTCATATCTATTTTCGCCTGAAATAATGAGATTTGCTGATTGATATTAGAACTATAGATTGTCCCCAGAGTTAGATTGTTTCTTTTTCAAAAATATTTCTAAAATTTCATTGGAGTAAATTTGGCACAAAGATAGTGACAAATTGAGAAGATAAACAGGGACTTGTCACCTTACATGATTTTACTAATGAATTCTGTTTTAAAATTTTGAGAAGTAAGCAAATATTTATGTTTACAAGTATATTATACTATATTACAGCAAGTCGAAGTTCAAGTAGAGCTAGTAATGGAGGAAGTCGACCACCCAGTCGTACAGGAAGTGAAACATCAGAAGGTGGCGTAGACGCTGAAGTATTCACAACTTTACAAACAGAGACTGATAACCGTGGTGGGCGTAATAATACAACTGTTACTTATCAGACCCACAACATCCAAACTCGTACCGTAACAATCCCTACCCCAACACAGTCCAAATATTCTAAAATACCTAAATTCTCACCACGACGATAGACTATACATCATATATTCTTATTAAATGCATTTTACAGAGACCCATATGGTATACTCAGTTATAGAGCTTTTGCTTTTAAATGTTATCTGCTGCAACATTTAAGATTATTGGCCCCCTAACTGAGTATAAAGGGATAGTATCTAATATAATATTGGTATATATTTATTTAAAGGACTAATTTGCCTCATATCTACAGACTTATAGCTTCACATAATATTAATTTACTATAAGGTTTGGGGCATATACAAGTTTTTTTATTGATATTAAATGAGAAGACGCCTGCATGTTAAACAAGACACAAGACAAAAACATTATGTTCAATGACCTTGGACATATATGTTTGAAAACATTTTTTTTTACTTTGAAAATCCCTTTGTCCAAACTAATTGTACCACAACATTGTTGATTGGATGTAAGTAGTGAATCCTAATAATGTCTTTCATTACGAAGAATTGTAAATAGATTTTTGTAATGCCTCTATTATATAGATAAAATAGTATATATAATATATGTACATTTTGTTACTTGCTTTAAATAGCTGATTGTAAAATACTATGTAATTCTTGCATGTTCTTTAATCAAAACCTCATATATTTGAAGAATCTCAAGGTTTGTACTATGGTGTTGGTATATCTGCAGTCTTCTATGATGTGTGTTGAACATATTGATTATGATATAAAAATGAAAGGGGTTACAGTGTAACAGGGCTGTGACTATTTTGACTAATTATGTAGAATATTTATCATGTCTGTTCTGGGTGATATGATATTTGTAAATATCTAACAAGGAATGCTGAAACTTTAATTTAAAATTTATTCTTGTTTAATTATGATATCACTGCATTCTTAGAAAGTGTATATACAATAAAAAAAAGAAATTTGCTTTGCTGGTATAAATTCTTTAAAATTTTCACATATTTATTAATTTGCATCTAAAGTGCTCTGTGCATGCATTCAGAATAATTTTTCATGCAGTGATGAACGTGTAAAAAGTTGGAGAAAATTGCTTTTCAAATTAATTTATTTCATTTTGATTAATGAATGATATTTTTTTTATCACTTGAAAGTGACTGAGTTTCATTTATTTATATTTTCAATAATTTGTATATTGTGATTTGTAAATTCTAGAGAAATGTAAATTCTATGAAATGTGATGAAAACCCTAGAATTCTGAAAGAATCTAATATTGATGATATTGAAAATATTTTGGAATTATTTATCATTTAGTAGATTAAAATTGTATTTAGATGTAGAAGTTTATTTCAAATTTATATGTTGATTTATTCGTTTTGTTAATTTTCTAACATTATATAAAAAATGAGAAATTTTTATTTCTAAATTTTAAATCAACTGAATTGGTGTTGCTGCTGTTTACCATCTTATTTTTCTTTTTAGTTGATTTGAAAATTTATTTTTAAAAATTTTGCAATTATATTTTTATTTTTAATTTTCATATCAATGTATTGTTTAATTTTTGTACTCAAAGAATGTTGCGTGAATGTAGAAATTTTTTTTTTGTTAATGTATCAGGTTGTGGCAAAGATTTTTCTGAACTCTCCCAGGCTTGCAGGATCTATTTCAAGGTGCTATCATGTATAATCTTTGTATTTATATAATATATTATGAATACCTCAATGGATTAATTCAACAAACTGTTAATCTTGTTAATCTCTAATTAATAATTGGCTAAGGGTATGATTAATCACAAATGATTTGTTATTATTGTAGTTTTGTTTAACAGAGAAGTGAAATAATTTTGTTTTCCATGACAATGTTTAATCTTGCATTATCCCTCATTTAAAATGCTTATTTAAAACTAATGATTTCATTCAACTAAAAGCATAATACTTAGAACATATTGATCAGATATATTTGCTATTATAAAGACATATGAATAAACATATGAATCTCATATTATTGGTCTACTTTATTCAGCTATCATGCCTCGTTAAGAACAGGCAGAGGCCATCATTACGAGGTAAACGTGGGGTGTGGGCCTTGAATCTTGTACCGACTAGTCCCTTTACGATACTAGACATAATTTGTAAATAAACAAAAGACAGTCTGAATGAGAGAGGAAATGAACCTCTTCAGATTGTCGCCAGATATACTTTATAATAAACCCATTAGCTGGTTCAATGTTACGGTTTGATCGATTTCCTTTTGCACTCGAGTGAAATAAATTTAGGTTATTGACTTCAATAATATTGATTGTTTTTATTTATTATATTATCTATTATAATTAATCTCCATGACATGCCCTTTAAAAAACCTCGACTTTTCGGCAAACAACTGGTGTCTCTAATGCATTGCTGTATTCCCGATTACATGTGTACGCAAGCGTAATCAAACTTAAGCTCAAACTCAAAATGTGAGTACATGTGTCCATGTACGATGATTCTGCAAAACCGTCGTATTTACGAATGTCAGCTGTCAGTAGCCTTCCGCATACGCAACATATTGCTCACTGAGCCATCCGTTGCGCTTATGGAGGTGTTGAGTTTGAGGACAAATAATGTAACAGAAAATGGTATTTGAAAAGGATTTGGATAGGATTTGCTCTGGTCCTTTTTTTTTTAATTGAGATTGCATTTGAGTTTGCGTTTGAGATTGCGTACACATGTAATCGCAGATTTAATTGTACATTTGTTTCTAAAACTATATTTTACTTCTTTCTTTTTCTTTAACTATATTTTACATTCGATTGTGAAACTATATCTTACTGGTGCCGGGGAGAAACTGGTTCAATGAGAAACTATATTTTACAGATGTATTTTCCTTGAAACTACCTTATATCTCCAGGGAAGCTATATTTTACGTAGTCAGGGAAAGATATTTTACAGAAGTTGGTGGGACTATCTCTTACATTATTACAGAGAAACTGTATTCTATAAAAGGTTGGTGGAACTATATCTTACCTACATGATCGCATAGAACTATATTTCACATGGTCAAAGAGAAACTATATTTCACATGGTCAAAGAGGAACTATATTTTACAGATGTTCTTGGAAAGCTATATCTAACAATCTTAACATTGTGAAACAAGTCAGATTTTATTTTGGAACCAAAATATGATTAGCTGGCAGATTGGGGCTTTATTTGAGAAGGTAATAGTTTCTAAGAGGTATTTCCGATACTCTCAACGAGTCTTTAATTTATTCAGAAGATAAGAAAACAAGAGGAAATTCTCAATTCATTTTCAAGATACTTGAGGTTAAAGCTATACCACTGTTGCAATTTGGTCATGCCAGGGTCATTCGGAAATGATTATAAGAAGTCTCCGATACCCAGAACGTTTGATATTATCTCTTTTCGTGTTTCATTCACGAATATCCAGTAAGGTTTTCCTTAATATATTAAAAATTTGAAATTAACTTTGGTACACTTGGGTAGAGTTCTTCTAGGCAAGAGGATGAATTGTTTGATGGTAATTCTCGTTCTTGGGGTAAGCCTAACTTTTGTTTGAATTTCATATCCTTTTCAATTTTTGTTAATAACAAATTTTTTTGTGTAACACTTATGTCGAGTATGCTAGCAATAACCTCCGTTATAAACCTTTTAAGGGGCAGTGTGCAAAATTCTTATTATTAAAATCATTGTAAATTATACCTGAAAATATATCAGAAACATGCTGTTTACTTCGAGGTAAACACTTGATCAACCTACATGTGTTAATTAAGCAGTTTGATCTTGTTTTGACTCGATATCTCGAGTTGAAACCCTCACAAGAATTACGGCGATTTTTTTGCTAAATTTCGTCCATTAGTTTTCCAACATATTCCCAAACATAGCAAAATTAAAATGTTTACGTAAACCTTGTAACATTATTTCAGCTTTTGGTATTAGATTTAAGTAAAATTATTTTTCAACCTACGAAAAGAAAATAGACCGTCCCTTTAAGAGATACATACCATCTTTACACAAAATAATGATTGTTTCCAATTTGCTCTATTGTGAAATTAACATTATCTATGATGTCGAGAATCTAGAATCAGCTTGCTCAGAGACAGCAATGAATAAAAGTTCAGTAGCGATATTTTCAATTAAATATCATAGAAACTGAACTAGAATTCTTTGATCAGATTATTTTAAAAATGATTAATTGGTTTATTACAGACGTCATTGGTTGGTGTTTTACACGGCCGTAAGTAATTCAATTTTCTAAAAAAAAATGTTGAATATCAATAAAGCTCTAACACGATATCTATATTTCAGACTAGTCTCCAATTCAACATAATCTCTTTGGATATGTTTATATATATATATATATATATATATGATATTATTTTACCATTCACAAAAAAATCTGCACCATAAAACCCGGCTTTCAAAGTAATCAATCCCAGGAGAATGCCTTCTTGCTTGCACAGAACAAAATCTTGAACAGAAATGTCTCTTTTAGCAAATCATCGTTAAAGACGTTTTTTGTGAACATCCAGATTTTCTAGCTCCGTTCCACATTAAGATAGCTGGAAATTTCTTTATTCCTCGTACATGTATTTCATTCAAAATGTTAATTTTTCAGAGGAGGATCCCCCACCATTCCCAGGCCAGGGTGATCCTTTTTTTAATCCAGATGACGAATTTAGGAACCTTGGTGGGTTTGATGCACCATTTGATAGGAGAGAAAGAGAGCGAGCAAGACAAAGACTAGATACAGGCTAGTTACCTCTATAATTTTAGATTTATAATTAATTAAAATTCTATCGGATATAATTTGAAAAAAAAAAAAAAAGTTTTTAGTTTCAATGGAATAAATTATTTTATGTCTTTTAAACAATATTTTTTCAGTTCTCCCAGCTTGTCGTGAAAAGGTTGCTGATGTAATGTTCATCTTGGACTCCTCAAGCAGTATTTACGTTGAAGATCATTACAGACACAGAAACTTTGTGCAAAATATAGTCAGACAGTTCAACGTAGACAGCCGGTACACTAGAGTTGGGGCTTTGACATTCAGTGACAACTACAGAGTATCTTTCAGCCTTTCCCAACACAGAAACAAGCCAGATTTAGTCCAAGCTATTAACGATCCTAACATCCCTTATTTATCTGGTCTCACCAACACCGCCTCAGCTATTAGATACGTAAGAGAAAATGTTCAGTTCCGACAAGATATTACTCGAGTAATTGTAGTCTTTACAGATGGTTATTCTGCTGAACCAGGAGCAACCAGTGCTGAAGCTGATAGAGCAAGACGAGAGGGAAACTACATCTTTGTCATTGGAGTGGGTCAATATACTGATGAAAGAGAATGGAGAGCTATCGCTAGTGATCCAGATGACCAATTTATGTATAACTTTACCAACTACCAACAAAGATCTGACAGATTACAAAACTTACTGGCTCAAAGAATCTGTTCTCTTCCACCACTCATCATCAACCGAATTCAGAGTGAGTTTTTACATTTTCTTGTTTACTTAAACAAACATGAATACCTGATTGAATAACATACGCCTGTCATTTATTTGTTGTCTAGTGATCAAACGGGGTCAATAGGAGTCCAAACGTTGTACGTATGGAGTGGGCGTGAGTATATATACCCGAAACATCTTCAAGACGAACACTAATCAGAGACATCTTCTATTTTCAGCATGTAACTTGAGACGAAGTGGTGCTGAAATCATGTTTGTTGCTGGTGCCAATGAAGCCGAAGAAGCCCGACCAGTAATCGATTCTATCTTGGATAATATTAATGCTCAACCAGGCCAAGTTCAAATGAGTCTTCAAGTTAGTGGATGTTCTGAGGCTGAAAATGTTCCTTTGGGAGGCACTGATAATTATTGTGGCTTCAATAACAACAACCCAGAAGATTTCCTCACTTTATTGAAACGTATGAGACAGAACGCCGCCAACTTCCGGGACCGAGCACGTGGTACCAACCAAGTTGCAGTGATATTTGTTGATAACCCTACCCTGTTGGAGTTTGATAGATTTGAAATTTACAGCGTAAGTAGCCTGTTTTCTGGTCGCTCTAAATAGCCGTGGAAATAATTAATTGGTACTGAAACTATCTGCTCAATAGTTCATTTCATGCCGAGCAAAATGGCCATGTTCCAGTCTCTCATTTCGGAACGCTTTGAATCAACCTGACAATCTTTCGGGGACCCAACAACCAAATGTTTTAATTTGATATCTAGAATTTTATTTAAATTTCAGATTACTAGAGATTTAAATAGAGATGGTATTACATTATACGTAGTTGATTTAGGAGATGGTACAAATAGAGATTTAGAGAGAATAGCTCGCGGTAATGTGTTTATATTAAATGATCGATTCCAGGGTAATTCTGTTGGTAGATTATTAAACAGAGTCTGTGAAGGTAAGTGTTTGTGTTCTATTGAATGAGTGGATCATCAAAGGGCTGAAACTTGTTTGTAGTCTTGAAATGCTTTACGAATTCCTTGCCGACTATTATAAGCCAAGAAATCAGTTGAATATGGATATCTGTTAAAGGATGGATCACATGAGTGGACAGTTTTCCTCAGCCCGTTTTTCCCCCTATGAGCCACGCAGGTCTGAGACCAAAATAGAAAGCCGAGGCATGTTGAAAATTCTTTGGAATTTGAATATAAAGATCAAAGATCATTGAGGACCCATGAAGTAGGCCTTGTCTCCATTTGGTTTCATTAATGCTTTCTTTCTCCTTATTTTAGATTTTAACGCCATTCCATTTACCTTACCAACCAGACCACCAGCGTAATTCAGTTAAATTTGTTGTTTTATCTTTATTATAGATATATGTAAATCTATAGAAATTTCAAAAAATATATGTAACTTGTGAGTCTCAGGTTATCTAAAACACTTTTTATAAAACTGAGTTATTTCTTTTGATGGCACCAATCTTGTGTATTTATAAATAAATACATTCTCCAATGTACACCAGGCTTTGTACCAATCTTAATAACCTGCTATGTACCAGCATCTGCTAGTTTGGACATTTCATATGGTTTCAAGAATTTTTTGATGCTATCTAGGCAGAATTTTTGGAAATCTTTGGACGATACCAAATATTTTTCAGGCTACAATCATGCACATTTTACTTGTAGGTCTTTAATGAGGGTCTTTATCATACCAGTACAAACTGCGTTGGCATTGATCTTTGATGCAACAAGGTACAATCTTTATAGATCAAGATGCGTTCTATGTAGAACTATAAGATATATCTGATATGGGAGGTTCAATAGCATAAGAGATAGAAATAGAAACCAGTTATTTACAGTGTCCTTTATAAAAAAAACCTGCTGCCCTGTACAATCGTTGACCCATTTTGTGTGGCTATAAAATGGTATATGAACTTTACTTTCCAGTCTAATAGCCTTCAATGTAACACAATAACAAAAAGTCAAATGTTTCTGTTTTATTTATATTCAATTGACCCAATATCTTGGGACTTAACAAATACACAATCTGATTTAATTATAATATAACTACATTAACTGTACATTATAAAATATTAACACCCATATATTCACTCTTCTCATTCACTCTTATTTCATACCATTAGATTAATCTTATAAAAACTACCATAATTTACCTTGATTCCATTACCATCAATAGAAATCAGAAATTGTCAGATAAATTCACTGAAATATATTATTATCATTTGTGCTAAATAATAAAAGTTATCTATAAAAGATCTTATTTTTATTCCTTACAAATTGAAAACTCACTTTCTTGATATCTATATTATATTTTGAATGAAACCTTCAATTTTAAAATTTGATCATAAATATCCTCTCAATGTTTATATCTTAAATCCTAATCAGACTTAACTTAATAGCACGCCGGCGAATCACAAGAACACACAGGATCCCTGAGACAATAATGGGACATATTTATATTTTGTCTCATTTATTCTAAACTTAATGTTAAAATATATTTCTGGCTAGCAGATGTGTAAATATCTTTGGTATAAGCTACGATGTTTACGGCAAAAACTCATTTAAATTATAATTAAGGAAAAGATAAGATATAGAGACAAAGATCAAAGTGTACATCTTAGTTTATGTACAATATTTACATATATATTGAAAACATGGGGTTAACTTCTGCAAAACCTTTTTGATGGATTTCATTGCCTTAAAACAGGATTTATAGCTTTGTAAAAGGAATTCATTTACAAACTTAAAAACAGGATTCCATAACTTTGTCCACAGGATTTCATAACTTTGTCAACAGCTTTGAAAAAGTAATTCATAAGTTAAAAGCTGGATTTCATAGCATTTCAAAGCTGGATTTCATAGCATTTCAAAGCTGTAATTCATAGCATTTCAAAGCTGGATTTCATAGTTTTATTAATGGTGATTTCATAACTTTGTAAAAATGTCTTTTGTAAATTTCATAGCTTTACATTGATTACATTGTTTGGCTAGCACAAAATAATTCATAAAAAATAGTTATGATATGAACAATTCTATAAAATTTTAAATATATTAAACTTGTTTACCAAAGACATCAAAAATAACTTAAAACTGAGATAACAAGACATATAAAGTTAAGTAAAGGTTTTGCGAGCTGCCCCTTTCAATTAGGCCACAATGGTGATGCTCTGTTATTTTTTTAATTTCTTTATCAATAAAGCTAAATTTTCAACAAAATGTAATGGCTTAAAATGGTCTCTACTTAAAGGAGTAATTTTGATTTTTCTTTTAACAATGAGGTAGATAATCTTTGCATTGACCATTTATTTTGTATGTATTTCAAGAATACACTACATTTTTAGCTTAGTTCAGAACATCATCATTAGGCTTTAACCCTTCTCTAAATTTCCAATGTATTCATTTGCTACATTGGAAATTTTGGACAAATACATTTGACAAATACATGAATAAATAAAGAAGATTTGAGTGATTCTAGTGACTAAAATGTTGATAATATTATAATGACCCTGGACAAATAACAATAATAAAACATACATTCTTTTTGATCCACCATTTTCACGCAACAAGTAAACTCATAACACACTTGATTTACCCGTAAAATGACAATTAACTACAACGTTTTTTGAAGTCCACCCTATTTTCAAAATCCTGATTTCACAGCTACAAAATCTGTTTAAACCTATAGAGGTAGAATAAAACAGATTTGACATCTCTGTTAAATGCCGTTGGGTTTCCAAATAAATATCACAAATTTGCACAAAGATACATTATATATATATATATTAAATTTATACAAATATATGGGACTGTTAATATGCAAATAAGATAAGGTTAAAGTGCATCATGAATATTATATTGAATCACTAGATATTCAATATGCACCAATCAAATTTCTGTCATTTGTCACACATTATAAATATTTCATATATTATTTCTAAATAACTTGATTACATCACAATAGAATATACTGGCCAATGAGAGTCTCTTGTCATTTAAAGCACTATATTCTCAACTAACAACAAAAAAACTGTGAGATGATTCAATATGGTTTTCACTCAAAATTACTTCAGTTTATACAAAATCTTTCACTGTTCCTTTCAAATCCAACAATAAATTTGATATCCAAAACCAAATCATAGTTTTCCATTTTATCAATTACTTGCAGTTGATGAAAAATACATTATCACAACATAAGTTTCACTATCTTTGATGGTTATGAATTTGAAATTGTATTCACTTAGGTAAGATACTTGAGCTTGTACATACATCTAGTTCCAAGAATGACCATCAGACTTAGTAATGAGTCTCTCAATAGCTGCCATTTATTCAAAACACAACAAAATTAAAGCACTGTTTGCACATTAAAGTGTCACTGTATAGCACTAGTTATACACAGGGGGAGTTTGTCTTTGGCATTGTCTTGAAAAGCCCTTCTGATTTGAATATTTCTCTTCCACACAGTAGAAGTTATAAGATATTTACACCATTGGCACTAAGGAGATATATAATCTGAAACAACAATATAATGATAATTTATATAACTGTTATATAACCAAGATGAATATCATCTAGTTTAATAGTGGAATTTGCTGCAACATTTCAAACAAGACTGTAAACTTATAAAATTTCAATTATTATCTCTCCTAACATATATAGCTTCTTTAAAGGGATTGCAAAGAGGCTTTCTAAACTTTTTGTGTTTATCAGAGACACTGATAGCATCAATTTGCACTATTCCAATTTTCAATCAGTTGCCTGAGGCTCCTAAAATTCCACTAGAACTAAATGTTTCATGACTTTACTAATCGCAAAATATGCTTTATCATTTATCACATAAGGACTTAAAAGCGATTAGTGACATCATTAAACGCTTAGTTTTAGGGGAATTGCAAATTGATATTATCAGTGTCCCCAATACACACAAAACCCTTAAATATGGTGATCACCATCTGAGAAATGCATCTTGGAAGTTCAATGGTACCATTGTGTTCTATTCTTAAAACTTAAACAACTGTATCATGAAAAACGGATGTGATATCGTCACGGTTACAGCCAAAAGGTCACATTTTATATTACAGACATTTAATAAGTCTAAAAAGTTAAAAAGTCTACCCCTCAACTGTATTGTGTTACCAAGCAAGGTGCAGGGACATTTCAGAATATCCGGGAATGTCTGGATGGAGTCATTAATGGTTTAGCTTTGTATCAATACCAAAAGTTTAGCCAACTTTGGCTTCTGAAATGGTGGAAATTCTCAAAATTCGTCAAGAAAATATAAAAAGCAACTTTCATAAAATGTGACTTTTTGAGTTTGGCTCTAACAGTGACCATATCACAGCCAAGAAACAGGTAGGGCCAGATTTGTCAGGCTAAATAATTTTCAAAAAATCAAACCATACAGTGAGGTAGAGGAAGAAATAAGGTATATAGGTAAAACTTACTATATATTAAGATTTATTACTATCATCTGATTCTGGTGAATATGATGTACTAGTATCTAACACACTATCACACTCAGCAGTTTTATCTCGTAACTTCCTTCTCTTACTTTTAAAACTGTGTTCTTGATTCACTGTTCCTACAAATTGACATAAAATAAGTTATTTGTTCTCTGAAACTTGTTTATTTTTTCACACAGATGTCATTTCAACCAGCTCATTTCATTCTTTATTTCCACTTGAAAAAATCCTTGTCTGCAAAGTTAAACTTTATTAATATCAATTCATGTTTTTTTTTTTCAATACTTTTCAAACAAAGTCAATGGTCATTGTAGATTATAATGTGCGAATATTATGTTTTCATCACAGCAGTGCACACTGTCAACAAGATAAATCATGATGCAAAATTGGTTAAATAGTTGATAGAAACATTAAAACATACCTGGTAATGGAGTATGAACTTCTACTTTAACTGTAGCTGTAGCAGTGACTCTTGTAACATGCCGCATGGATGGGGAGGGAGGAGAACTCTGTTAAAAAGGTAGAAACAGAATTAGAATATATATTTGTCATTTAAATCATACATACTTAGTGATAGTTTCAAATTTTGAGCAGAAATGAGTAAATACCAACCACTCGCAACCAGTCTTATGATAGTATTGAAATATACTATATTTTTATGAATTTGTGCCAACATACAAGCTGTCTTACAAAGCAATTGAGTTTTACAACCTAATTACATACAATTGCACCACGTCCAGTCTCAGATAGATACTCAACAATAAGTAGTGGTTTGTTGTTGCCTTATCGTATCTTGTGTTTTTCATGTAAAACTTGAGAAGATTCAGTTGTCAAGGAAATTCATAATAAAACTAGAATGCAACAATGCCCAAATCAGACTATAAGGCACAACTGGCATCTCAAACTATCAATAACATAGTCAATTTCTATGAAAAAGTTTTCCATATTTCAACTTACATTTTTAGGTTTAGGATTACTGGTTACTGTAGTAGTTGATGGGATAGTAGTAGTTGTTGTCTGATTCCCATTTGGACTGGTCGTTGTTTCTACTACTACTTCTGGTTGCACTATTATTTCATGAGATGGATATTGTGTAGATTCTTCAGGTATGGTTGATAATGACAAATCTGATGCAGTTCTGGGATAAATACGTCGACCATTTGAAGAACGCCGGTGTCTAGCTCGGACTCTGGGAGAAGGTTCTGGGGATGGTGTTGCTATCCTATTGGGATTTTCTTTAGGTATAATCTGTAAAAAAAAAAACAGTCATTCCTTGTAAAATGTGATTATCAAGCAGTTTTTTGGCCATGTTTATTACAAAATGAAAAGTTGTAAAGAAAAGACTTGTGGTCTGAACTCAAAGATATATTGTGAGAGTTATCTCCCATTAGTCTTCAAAAGTCAAGCAAGAGACAACAAAATCAATGACTTACCTCTCCATTTGGACCAAAGACAGAGAGTAAAACAGGTAACAGGATTAATCCATTCAATAAACCAATAACAATTAAAGCTGATAAAACATTGAAAAAATACCTGAAAGTAAAAATATCATTGAAATTAACTGTACGACACAAAATAAAGAATATCACTAGAATTCATTGAACATAAAAACACAAAATGGATCAGCGTAATTTCTGCATAACTAGTATCTCATCATAGAAATATATTATTATCTTTAGTGCTTGGTATTCAATTAATTTATTATTTGATAGTTAAGGCTAAACTTTTCAAAACTACTTGGGATATCTGTATGAGTATATAATGAAGGCATATGGGATTGTATGTATTTGTATATTAGAAATATATATATATTAGGTAATATATGTTACATAAATCTTAAAATTGAACCCCCTTTCATTTTAAAATGTAAATGTATTAGGCTGCTGCTCTGTATGAGTGTCTGTTTTCTAATGTTAACTTGGCAGTACAGGAATTTGATATAGTTTTTATCTGATGATTTACATGTTCATTTATTGACTACAGAAGATTAGAATGACTTATCACTTTCATTATCATAACTTATCACTTTCATTATCATAACTTATCACTTCCATTATCATAACATGTCATTATGGTGACAATGAAGTCTGCCATTTGCTCATTGTTTAAGTAAATATTGTCTCCATAAGGATTACAACTAACATCAATAAATAACTTCAAAATCTTCAATTAATGAAATTTAGTTTTCTAATATGAATATAGTATATGAATTTTGAGCAACAGTGACATATTTAACTGGTTCTCAACTCTTTAAACTTCATTCATATAGTGAAAAGTTCATTCTGATAATAGGATCTTGAACTTGATTAACCAGAAGGTGAACAACTTTTAGTTATGATGGTGGTATATTTAAAATACTCTAATCAAAATCTGATGTAAATGTAAACGACACAAACGTAATGTTTGTAATTTCAAATTAAACTTTGATCAAAAGTGTATCGAAAATGTCGAACATAACTGATAACATTTCATAATCATAAATATTTGAATAAAATTTGCTAATATTTCACATCATATGGCTACCATCACTAGAACTTGATTTCTCTGCTATTTCAATCATCAAGGTAGACCTCCAGGGTGGAGAACCCAGTGTGTGAAATCTGGTTGAAAAGGAGATGATGCATTTACTGATATATAAATGATAGGAACCAAACTTCCAGTCAAGAACTGGTAAACACAGTCTCAGTTATTTATTTACATAGAGGATGCAGTTCTTCCTAGCCTCACAGACCACACAACTGGTTGATATTAATTGTGGTATAAATGCCATTCCAGATTCGAAACCAGCCACTCGACTGCCAGATGAATACCTCTCAACCTATCTATTAATAACTTCACTTGGCTTCTTGCCCTCATATTTACCTCTTTCTCTCTCATCTCTTATACTTCAGAAAAAAATTCACTGAGAGTTTGACAAGAAGTTACCACCCACATAGCAATTAATTCTCATTAGCTCATTTCAATTAGAAAAACTAACGAAATACTGTCTCATTTTAAGTGTTAACTAGACTGATATTAAAGTATGTAAAACTTCAATGTTAAATGATGTTCTTAAGTCTTCTTCAAGAGTACCTGAGTTTCAAGTTAATTGGTGAAAAATACTGAAAATCTCTTAAACCTGTCAAAGTAATTTCCTGTAATTTTATTTAAATCTTGACAATCCTTGATATTTGACCAAAACTTGCTAATTACACAAGATATCACTTAAAATTTCTTAATGAATAAAGAAAAATTTATGATTTTTGATATTCCAGACTAAATAATTTTTCCCTGATTGATCCAGTAATGTATAAAATCACCTACATTAATAAGAATATGAATAACATGCATTTTTTGTGCCATAATCTTTGATTAAAACAACCAATATCTATCTGTATGTCATAAATGCAAGATATTCATATGATAAATGTTTGTACAATTTTGATACAGAGTAAGTTATCTGTCTATTGTTACTGATCAAATAAACAAAATAAAAATTAAAATCCTTGTATCAGAATGTGTTATATATGAGCTTACCAATGTGTGGAGTAAGTTTCTTTTAGAAAGTTTTTTGAGGAGTATTTACCAAGGTTTGAGACCATATTGAGGGCAATGTCATATACAAGAATAAGATAGCTAATACACGTATTTACACAACCTAGGGAATTGGAGTCATCTCGTTTAATAATAATATCGGCTGGAATTTTATCAATCTTCACTTCACATCTGCTTTCTTTCCTACAATTCACCAGCCAATATGGCTGACCTTTGATGATTTGTGTTTTGATAAACATAGAATTATGTAAAAATTCAGGCCAATTATTTCAAAAAGAACTTATATTATCTGATATCAAATATTTTTTGAAACATGTCCTCCTACGATACCTACAACTTCTCTCTTCAACTGTTTCCATATTTATTTCCATTCCAAACTTTAATGAGAGTCAATAAATCATAAATTTGATTTTTTTTTATTGTAAATAGAATTGGAGCAATTGTCTGATTAATGTACAATTAATACATTATCACTCCAGAAATATCCACAGTCCACAACAGAAACTGTTTTTTAAGAAATTTTTATATTTGAATTTGAAACACATCATGTAAGCTTACATAAAAAGAATGAAAAAAATGAATCCTAGAGGTGGTCTGAATGACATGTATTGATTGAGTTGCTATGTAAACAGGCCATTTTGATGTTAAAATACAACACCACAAAAACAATAACTTGGTTTATTTTCGTAACTCATTTCATTCAAAAAAATTCTTCAGTTTGAATGTTGGCCTACTTTCCAGTGTGAAAAAAGTAAAGCTATATTTCAGAGATAGTGATGACCTTAATGAAAATGGCAGGCTGTACAGTGTATGTTTTGAAGCCTAGGTGAAACGAAATTCCACACCACCAACACTTGGGTGGTCTGAACTGGTTTGAATGATCTGGTGTTTTCTAAAGCTGTAGTGTCAGATCTCAATCTTGGCTACCATTCATAGTTAGCCTGGCTATACAACACAATAAAGCCCATTATAAGCCTGGCTAGGTTTCTATAGGTGCTCTTTTGTTGACTGTACAGTATTAAGCTAATATTATATAATATATCATGAATATGTATGTAGATATATGGTGTATAACCAGGCCAATATTACTTCTATTCCAACACTGAATTATAAATGTGCTACAGAAATCTATACCTTGAAGAAAACCCAAGTGTTGACTTTGATAATAAAAATTTGAGGCTATCATCACACTGGATTATTTTCTAACCCAGTGCTTGAGTCCTGGTGAGAAATGGCCGCCACTCCCTTCTTAAACTACATCTGACAACCATTGGCGTTTATTTGACATTTCGTTTGTGTAGCCCTGACTCTGACAATATATATTAAATAATAATTATTGGTCCCACCTACATATTAGCCAACCATTGCACTCAGATTGTGTTATGTTTTCCACTATCTTGACATTTTCTTAAAAGCCTTCAATAGCCAACTAATCAAATCTCCATTTCAGTCAGTACAATGGCCAAAATCAAGTAAAATACAAAGATAAATACAGCCTGTAGACTATAGCTGAGTAAGGCAGCTGTTTTCAATATTTGAACTATGATTCAATAAAAAACACACATTGGTCAAATTTTTGAATGAGTTTCTTTATCAGTAATAATATTTTAAAATATTCTATGGAAAAATCAAGCAGAACACACATTGGTCAAATGTTGAGGCAAGTTTTGAAAAGATTTGAAACAAATGATGAAAGTAAGGCAGATGTCAAGGAACATTGTTAATAGTCTAATAAAAATTAGACCAAACTTTCCCTCTGTTATTAACTTGTATTTTCAATATAGTCACTTCAGTTAAGGTCTAACGATGGTGATTTAAAAGTGTATATTATTTAGTTTTGTCATCAGTGATTTGGTTGGATTGTGCGCCAGTGAATACAGTCAATCAGGGCCTTGAACAGAAAGTCTGTAAACATCAAGCTATTACTGTCAAAGGTCCTGATAGGCTAAATTTTCGCTGATATACAATCCAATCAAATTGTTGCATTCTGGGAAACAAGACATGTAGCTATTGCAGTTAAGGTATAAGATGCACTTTGTAATAGCGTGACAATGTGAAGATGATGTTCTTAATGTTTGCAGGTATGTACAGAGGACTAGTATGTAACCACAAAGTTTAGTGCCTGATAATTAAAAATTTAATGTTCATTCACCTTCAAAATCTAAACAAAGGAAACTTTCCTCAAATATCATAGAATTCTATAAATAGGTGAAAAAAGTGTTAGCTGATAGCCAAAAATAGTGTTTTCAAAACAACAATGAAAATACTTTAGAATGCATTTAGCTCTAGACTGGCCAAATGTGTTTTCTATTTAGTAGAGAGTATAATTCATAGGGTGGTCTAAAATAATATTAATATTGACTTACTTGACTATAAAATCAAACTCCGCCCCTACTAACATAATAATGCCTAATAAGGTAGATATAGCACCATGTACAACAGGAGCAAAGGTATGTTGTAATGACATCATCATTCTACGATTTCTATTGCCTATTCCAGTTATGAAACCCTGAAACATAATTTAATGCTTTTGAAAAATTGTGAAGAAAAAATTCAAAACTATGAAAATTCGGAGAAAAATAATATTTACACAAAAAAAATTTTTCAAATAGATAAAAATGAAAAAATTTAATAATTTAAACAAAAATAAAAAGCCTTAAATTTCAAGTTATGCATGCAATGTTTTAGAATTTGAATATATAGTGAGTGTACTTACCACTGCAATGTGTAATGTAAACTCTATACCAATTCCAACTGCCATTATTAATATGACTGCTGGTACAGCACTTAGTTTAATTCCTACCATACCCATAAAACCAAACAATTCAATTAAAATAGAACTTAATGTCACCACCTGAAAATTTCAACAATATACACATCAGATTCAGATTCAACAAATCATTTCAACTAGCTGACAAAATCTCAATGGTAAGATGTTAATTTTGATCAACAACACCATTATTTTGTTACTGCACACCAACAAATCATTTTGTGCTATTTAATCTTTATTTAATTTAACCACCTCCACAGAATTACTTTGGCAGAAAATGTTCAGGCAATGTATCTCAATGTCCTCAACCAATCATAATGGGAATTGTCAGTCTGAAGACTTAAGAATTAAATTCAAAATTTGACTCGACACCCTTGAAGGCTCTATATCATACTCTAAAACTTGATATATAAATATCGTTCACACATTTTTAATTGATTCTGATATTGTTACTGATCTACAACGTATGAATTTTCAACTTACCACAATAAAAGCTAACCATGGATTCATTAATGTTATTGTTATAACTAGAAATGTTACCACTAAAACACAGATTATAGCCCACATCATATAGAATCTTAAATCTATATACTGTTCCCAAAAGGTAAATGGTACACCACTTGGATAATTTGGAAGGCCCTTTTCAGAGTATTTATCACAGATAGAACGGATTTCCTGAAATTAACATAATAATAATTATTTATCATGATCCGAGAAAAAGGGAATCATACATTTCTTCTCTTGATAGGACTGATGTAGACAGGACATACACTACAGTGTGCAATGAGGGACATTTTATCACAACAGATGTGAAAGCCTATTCTATTTGGATTTCCATCTGTTAGCTGTCAAACATTTAACTAGCTGAGATCTGAAATGATGAAAATTAGCCCTGTCTAACTATATTTGCTAGGCCTGTCTAACTACATTTGCTAGCCCTGTCTAACTATATTTGCTAGTCCTGTCTAACTATATTTGCTAGCCCTGTCTAACTACATTTGCTAGCCCTGTCTAACTACATTTGCTAGGCCTGTCTAACTACATTTGCTAGCCTTGTCTAACTATATTTGCTAGCCCTGTCTAACTATATCTGCTAGGCCTGTCTAACTATATTTGCTAGCCCTGTCTAACTACATTTGCTAAGCGCATGATATTACTAAGTACTTACATTAATTAAAGATATAATTTCTTCAGTTGTAGACAAGTTTGTAAGATAAAAAGGAATTTGAGTATATATAAATGGCTGTGACTTTGGTACTGAAAATAGAAAACAATTACAAAATATGAAGTCTATTTTTGTTTCTACCATCTACCACAAGATGGAAGATCATCACTGAATCAAAGAATTGACAATTTGTAAAAGATCTAATAATTATCTTTCAAACTACTGGTAATTAAGTCCAAAAGTTTCATATTGAAATTGGAATGAAATAAAAGTCAAAGAAAATACTCACTGATTAGATTGTCATCATTCGGATCATCAAGCCATGATTGAGGTTCTGGTTTGAAATTAGCCATGGTTGATGTATAGGCGATGACATCATTGGCAGCCCAGGCTGTGAGGTAGTTATAAAAAGCAGGAGGATATATAATTCCTTCTTTATCGACTAGACGAATTTTAAAAATCTGCAATAAAAAAGAAGAGTATTGGACTGACTGACAAAGAATTTATTTAATGACAAAAATATATATTAAGCATATAGATTCTAGGGAGAAAATACAGCATAAAAGAATAGTAGAAGGAGACCAGCATCAAGTCTGTTTGATTGGTTGTTCCTATCCTGTACCAATTGAGCAAGATCCTAGCTGACCAATAAAACAGACCTTACCTGTTCTTTATTATTTGGTTCATCAATATCTCCAGTTTGTACCAGTAATTTATAGGCTAAAACACCTTCATCTGTAGCATTATTATACCATTTCTCTTTACTAATACAACCATTATGTACATCAACATCAAACGCTCTCTGTAGCTCTACAATAACAATTTAATAATTCTAGAATATTTTACAAAAACACTTCCATAGTTTCACAAAGATCCATATCAAAGATCCAAAGGTAAATTTCAAGGTTTTCTAAAATCTGTATCAGAGACATTGTTAGCACCATTCTTATTTTCAGTCAGACATCTGTGATTCCTTCAATTCCACTAAAACTTAGCAAAGGGCCTTATGTTATTTCAGCAAATTTTGCCAAACACTTAGTTTTAGTGGAATTGCAGGCGTATGATTGAAAATTGAAATGGTGCAAATTGATTTTATCTGTATCAAAACCCCTTTAAATAAAGACTATATACAATCAATCTACCAATTAAAGAACTGATAAAAGATATATTTATTATTCTATTGCTCTTTTGTTTTGTCCTTAAACCTGAGACACTTTAAGATGTAGCAGACTTCAAGGAAATAAAGAAAGATAAAATAATGCAACTTACCTAATAGCCACTGACGAAAGATATCTAACCAAAATGTTGGTAAACTTCCATCCTGACGTTTGATGATTTGTTTTACTGAATTAAATTCGGCATGGTACTGATTTAACATTTTCTGATTTTTGGCATAATCAAAATTTCCCTAAAAATGATATAATAAAAATGTAAATTGCAAAGAAGAGATTACTAGAATCTTCAGTGACTATCACCTATCAGTAGAAAATGCAACAAGCTGAGTCATCATTGGAGAGAGTTGAAATCAGGTAAGCTTTCAATTAGTTGTGGAAGGAAGGATTGTTATTCAGAAGAAACTGATAGATATTGAAGATATTGTAAGCTTTTCTCACATACCTGAGTAACAGCATACATATTATAAAACCCAAAATAATTAGATTGGGCTTCTAGAAATCTAAATTGTTGTGTATCACGGGGTACAATATCTGTTAAATCTAAACCATCTTTAACTTGAGCTGTACCCCAAATACCAATTATAAAAAATAAGAAGAAAAACACCATCACAAACACCTGAAAAAAAAAATAGAGACAATCATTAATCTTAACCATAAAAGTCATATCTCGTCCATATGAAGAATTCAGTTTATTTTGTTATAGAAAAATTATGTTCGACTGTCATTGAATATTCCATTGACTCTTCTCCCACACTGACTTGAACATAATATCAGGTATACAAAATTTCATACTTACTTTGACTGGTGTTTTCTGTAAAAAGGGGCCATAGTAATTGGTAGCTAAACATGTTAACGACCATGTGAGACATTCTCTCTGAGCTTGAACACATTTCTCTTTACAAGTAACACCGTCATCTGGTGTTAAACACTGTCTTGATGACGTAGTAGATGAACACCCTGAAATATCCATAATTACTTTTTAGTATTTGATAAGATGTATTCTTTCTGATAAATTTAACAAAGAGAGCCAGAGAAAAATCATTTTGAGATATTTCAACCTCCAGACACTAAAGATTCACATAAGTAATTTGTTATACATACCTGGGGGTAAATTTGGATTTCTGGAAACAAAGTTGCCTTCATTAGGTGCTAACTCTGTAATAGCATGAGTACCATCAGGAGAGGATCTGGTGACTGTATCATGCATGATGGTGGAACTGTAACTAGGAGGGGGACTATAACATGGTGGGGGACCTTGTTCAACATCAGAATCAATTTCATGTCTGATCTGTGGCTGTAGTTCAAATACTTCTGTTGTACCAAAACTACAAGACAAACATTATAAGTACAGTTATTAAATTGTTTGCCAGTTATCGTGTTTCCAGACATATTGGAAGTTTGATTTTTAAAGTATATTCACTACATTCATTGAAATACAGATATGGAAATAAAAGTTATTTATCAAATTTAAAGGCATATTACCTTTGAAAACAGCAGAAGACATCTAGTCTTTTATCTCCTCTTCTCACAAGATCTAAACTAACAATAGCTGGGAATATCAACAGAACTGAACCCATGTTAAAAATAACCAATATGGCTGCCTGTTAAAAACAATATAGGAAACAAATGTAGAAATGAAGAAATGGGTCATGCAGAAAATCCCTAATAGATTGATTATGTAACATGCCTAGAGTAATTTCTTCCAATATTTTAGGAACAATTCTGACCATTTCTTTTTTAACATATCAGCTATATTTCAGTTATTGTTAATGAGTAAGGAAAACTATTTTAAAATATCTTAAAATGGTTATTTTCGAAAATTCTTTTAGAGATAGTACAATTTTATTGGCAACCACAAAAAGTTATTGCTCATTTTAAGTTTTTTTTTAAATCATTTAGCATCTAAATGAGATATTTTTTTTCAATTCTTTTTATGAAATAGCATTTCTTTATAATGTTAAAAAAAATCAAACAGCATGTCCAAAAGAAGAAATGTCACCTATGTCATAATGGGAAATCATAAAATTTGAAGTGGGTACAAATCATTCTTAAAAACTTTACAAAAAAGTGAGAAAAAGGATATATTTAAAGATATTAAGTGGTTCTTTTCAAGTGTGGTTCAGTTACCATCAAAGAAATATTATGTAGATTTTGACACCTCCATGTCATATTATCAAATTCATTAAAAAATTTCAAGAAATATTCATCCAAGCAGAACTCTTTCTACTTTTCAATATTCTAAGTAGCTTAGATCCAATCCCTTAATATTTTGATAACTTTATCGCAAGCCCTAAAATGTTATATTTACTTAATATCTTCATCATCTACTTAAACTTAAAGTCCAGACTTTTGATGGAGAGAATATTACACAACCCAGTAGAAAATTTTCTTATCACACAATTCTTAAAATGAAAAGGTTAAATAAGTCTAAAAGCGACAATGGAAAGATTGATAAACACCCAAAATGTTTTAGTAAAGTTAGTTGACCTAACTTTTACCATCAATAATTTTACCCTGAAAAAGGTTGTCATTCTTGCTGAGAAAATGTCAGAAATTTATTCAAACAAAATAGTCTTTTCGTTAAAATATTATTTAAAAAAACAGTAACATATTAAAGAATGTAAGAGTAACAATGTTAAAGATAATGGGAATAAAAATCTTGAAAATGTAGCAGTGGTTACAAAAGCAAAAAGTTTGAAAGGGGTAAACAAGTATCATCACTTTGACTAAATTATAAATCCCATAAAACCCAAAGGAAGATACTTTTTCAAGAATGAATTAGGTTTGGCTGCTATGACAATGTATGTTACATAGTCTATTATATGATCAGACAGAAAGAATGCCCCATTGGTAAGAGTTGAATGGTTCATACTGTATCATAAAACATAATACTAGGTATCTTCTTATATTTAGTGGGCCATTTCTCCCCAAGGGAACGAAAACCTGCTGAGACTTTTTACAAATTTAACATTGTAAATTATATGATCTAACTGAACTGACCCCATATACTATTTCTTTTGATTCACATTCCGAGAGATTTGAATTTCATAGTGTAATGTCATCAACTATAGTAACTAGTTTCTGCTACAATGCATTCCATCCAAAATTGCTTTACAACAACATGGAGTCAATGACACACAAAAAATATGCTAAAAAAAGCATTTGAAATGGTTACTGTTGACTCATTAAATGTGTCCATAAAATGGACCACCTTCTGATGACAAACTTATTGCTTGAAAAACTCTGAACAAAAAAAAAAGTACTTTTTCTTTATCTTTATCTATAAAAGAGTTTCTGAAAAACAATTTGTCAGACGGACAAATGATTTCTGCATGAAGATTGATGGCTTTTTTTAACTTCTGCACGCCAAACAACTGGTTGTTACACAAGTACTATTTAGGTCAGATAATGTGTACAGACTTCAGAAAGATATAAAAATGTGCCATTTGTGAACATGTATATGTATCTATCTATTCATTTTCTTATAATCTACAATTAACTAACTTTCTCTGTGAAAATTGTAAATTTTACATCATTTATATCTATATTGAGAACCAATTGAATTTTTCTTTCTTTAGAATTGGTGTGAATTTAAACAATAAATGTGATAATAATAACATCAAATGATCAATGATATGGGTGGTTGTGGGATATTTACAGTAACTTAATGAAGTATCATACCCTTGATTTATGTTTTATCAACTTAATAATCCAGGATTTATAACACGTAGTTTTGGAGTAGTCATTGATTTCAATTGTAAACATTTAAGGAATATACTTTATGAAGCTACAACATCTAATTGTGGTTTGATCTCATTTTAGAGTCTGCATATTTTCCTACAAACGTCACATAACAAATGTATTCATAATTAATAAGGGTCCTACCTGTAGTGAAAAGGCTCTAAGGGCAGGTATTGGTATAATGGCGGCTGTAAAGAAGGCTAGCATGTTACTTAAAGATGTCAATAAAACAGTAACACCTGTTCTCTTCAAACATTCTCCAGTTTGTTCCTGAAATTAAACATGTCAATATTCTTAATGATGCCTCAAATCTTCATAAAATTTCTTAAAAGATAGATCTTTACCAGTTGAAAGAGCCAAAATTAACTAATCTGAAATACTTTTCAGATAAAAAATATGACATCTAGTTCCTTAACAATTAAGCAAAAACTGTGGATGTTAGATTGTCATCAATACTAGGCTATTATATCTACATGCTAAAATGTCTTGAAATGACAGTCTAACCTTCTATTGTAAGTTAGTGTAGTAATCAAAAAATATTGCTGAAATTCAAATCAAACAAAAATTGCTTTTGATAATTTTGATAAAAATATTTGCAGAAAAAACCAATAGTATGACTTGATAAAGTTTTAGGAGTAACAATACAACAAAAAGTGAATGAAATGTGAAAAATAACCAGAAATATAGTGAAAATAGATAAAAATATAAATGAGAAAAAACAGAACTATATTTGTTAACTTACACACTTCAAATCCCTGTAAGCATTTTAATAAAAAAAAAATTTTTTTTTTTAGAATACATCGTCATGATTGGTGTATGTAATGATCAACATTGAAATCTTTTTTATCTGTTTCCAAGAAGCCATTTTGATATTGAAATTCACAGTGATATGGAGTTAGACAGAAAGGAAGGTCATGGAGCAAAGGGCGATATGTATAATAAATAGATTGAACATTTCTAAATTGCAAATCTTTTCTTATCTGTGCCTTGTGTTAACAGTATTTGAATACCATTGTAAATAGAGTACCTCTATAATTCTGAAGGAAAAACATTTCAAGTGTATGTCACACAATTTTAATGTTAACTGCATAAACAATTGTTCAAATTGTAGAATTTGGACAATCTTAATTGTTCCCTATTAAGTAGGCTCAGTCAATATCTTTAAATCAGAAAACAATGGTACATCAACCCTTTAAGGCAAATTCTAAATTAAGTTCAAGAATTTCAAGAGTTCACAACCAATGCAAATCCAAGCCAATGCAAAACACGTCATTTTGTTTACAGAGACAGATATGGAAACAATGTTAAGTTATCTCTCCTCAAAGCCCCCTAGGACTTCAACAATAACCTGTCCTATTCACAAATACTATATACACACTTTGATTAAGAGCATCACTTGCCAACAATTAAATGCTGTCTGTTGCTAGAGTTAACTAAAATAAACAGGAAATCTAAATTTTGGCATCCTCGCACATGGTTTAGTAATCAAATATGCCACACTAGAAACAAACTTTATGTAAGTCAGTTTCAAACCATGTTTCATGGTGTAAAAGAATAAAGAGAAGCTCTTATCATTTATGTTCCATCTTGTTCTTTCATGTGGCCTCCTTTTTAGTATCCACAATCATAAAACAGTGCTTCATTTCAGTAATCAAAGAGGCTTATGTTATATCATAACTTCATCTCTTTTACTCAATATTTTATTTTTTATACTAAAAACATTGACAATAAAATCAATTTATTACTTTTTTAGCTAAAATAGCACATGTATGAAAGAAGTATCATCCTTATGTTACTTTAATACAGATCATAAAACTTTATTTTTTTCATATAAATCTAAATATTTAGTTCTTAAAGGGGCACATTCTACTGTTTACTGGTAGGAACAAAAAGCTTCATAGCATTTACTTATTATCTTACTATTTCAAAAGTCTATAGCACATAAATCTCACCAAGCTCTACATTGACATGTGGTCACCAAAAATAATTTTCTTCGCATTAAAAAATATTGGGGACATATCTTGGGTGAAATTTTTTTTCTTGTGAAACCATAATGAAGTCAGATGGTTTGTAATTTACTAAAGGAAATTGGTTTTTATTATGTATGTTGGGTGAAGTGGTTTGACTTCCATCTGCTTTTAGGAGAACACCAGAAGGTCCAATTCATTTTATATTGTACTAAGTTTACCTTACACCTAGTAGACCTAATACATCATATTTATGATGATCTCAACCAACCATGGGTTAAAAGAGGCGCCATTAATTAAGTTGAACTTGTTTGAAAAAGTATCAAGACTCTCAATCCACTCCTTGATGTACTGACAAGATCAGGTATAATTGTCTTAATCACAACTATAAACAAAACCTACACCCTTTAACAAGTCATTAGCATGGCCGAGTACTTGGCTCTCACTAGTTGGATTAGGGCCACCCAGAAGCCAACGCTAAATCTTAACCGATTGGGTGAAATAGGTCAATCTGATTGGGGAGGTATGTATTAAAGTAAAACAAGTCGAGCCATTAAAAGCATTGAGTATATGTGATCTATAAGAAAAGAACTCGCTTTAGAGTGCAGGATAAACACTTGCAAGGATGTGCTGTATTTGGCTAAGCTTTCTCTCTCTAAGCTCAAGAGCTCCCTTATGTCAGGTAATGACATATGACAAATCTCTGAATACACAAAACTTGAATGAAAATCAAATTTACATGCAAGATCTTCTATTTTGGAGGTTTTAAAATTAGGCGTGGCAAAAACAATCTTCAATTAGGAGTTGTTAAAGTTTTTTCTTAGGAAGGTTGAGCAAGGACTTTGATTAGACAATTGCCTAAGCAAAGAGAAGATGATGTGGAAATTTAATTTTTCAGACCGAAAGCTGAGATATTAGTGGAGCAAAAAAAAAAAATTCATCTCACATTTTGGATCATTTTAAACAAAGTCATATTGAAACACTTTGAGCAGACACCCAAACACTTATAGAAATAAACATTCATTTGTCAGGAAATTTGGAAAAACATGACAAGTGTCAAGGGCTTTGTGAAGAAAGTTTGCAACGAATTAGACTGAATTCCTATTCCACTTAAAATTAATGGGAATAGAATCATGAACCTGAGTACTGTACCTAAATGTAATAGAAATCTGGTAAAATTGAAGAAATGCCACACACACGTGAAAAAAATGGCTAAAGGTGTATAGGTCTATCTCATTTTCTACATTCTAATCTCTTTTATAATCAGTTAGGAGGTGTAAACTCATTTGTTTTATTTACTCAATTTTTATTTTGGATAGAAATAGAAGATTTCTTTTTCTTCTCATTAACACAACATTATGCACTCTATTCTGATGATATAAATTCAACGATGTAGCCAGTCAAGGATAAATATCTGAAATTGACCTAATTCCATTCCATAAAGAGAGCAACAATTATTAAGCAAGTTTGTAAAAAATTTGGACATTCATCTATTATGAAAAGGATCAAATATCTGAAACACCAATTTCAACCGAAATCCTTATATTTTGAATTTACCTAGATGTACTTGATTTTTGTGCTAGCATGTCAAATTGACTAAAATTTTGTTCTAAATCAAAATGCATATGGGAGTTTTATAAGAAAATCCCCATATTTAGAGCATCTATTACTTCCATTTCTATCAATTTTTGAACTGAGAGTATCAATGTTTTGAAATAAATGGTATCTGCATACGACTGAGCATATAGTTTGATTATGAGACCCAATAAGGTGAGTAAAAGGCCAAAGTTAATCAGGGAAAAAAGGAAAAGGCAAATACAGTCTATGATGTCTTCCACACGTTTCCTTTTGGCTACATCAAACAAACGACAAGATATATTTGAAGTTAGAAACAACTGTGTTTTCAAATGTTGAAGCCATTATGGCTAAATTTACTATAAACATCGTCCCACGTGTGAGATGTAATTCATAGATTTCTACATGATTTCATGAAACACAAACACATAAAAATAAAAGACCTTGTGATCTAATCTGCTATCAATCAAGATTACCTTGAATTCTAAATTCAATATTTTTTTCTCAAAGCAGAAGTCAAAAGTTAGGTGAAGCTAGAAACCAATTGAAAATAGCTATCTTATTAGTTTGTTATATTTTAAGACAAATTAGTTTCATACTTTCACTATCTTGATGAATCTAGTATTTCAACTTTAGTAACTGATACCAAAATTTGTATTATCTATAGTACTAAGATAACTAACTACTCAGAATAATTGATGACTTCAATTTTGACCACACACAGGTTAAAGGGACTCTTCCCACTACTTTTAATCTCATGTGAAATAACAGTGAACTAAAATATATCTTGTAAAATATTGACTGAACTTACCGAGTATGGAATATCCTTGGCATGTTCTGCATAGGTATGGGCTAGCAGGAACATGTCATCTACTCCAAGGCCTAGAGCCAAGAATGGAATAATCTGAAATGAATTAATATATAAATAAATGACAAAATATGACAAGTAATATATAATTTTCCAAGAATGTTTCAATGTTTTTGATTGTTCTGTTTAATGAAGTTAGTGGAATAAACAATGGAATAACAAAAGAATAAAACAGTTGAATAACAGAAGAATAAAACAGTTGAATAACAGAAGAATAAAACAGTTGAATAACAGAAGAATAAGCAATTGAATAACAGAGGAATATAATATACTACAGAATTAGAACTAGCAAAGACATGAACAGAAGAATAAGCATATACTGAATGAACAGTAGAATAAACAGCTGATGATGATAATGAATTACCTGTGTGGTAGAGGCATTAAATTTAATATTAATAACAGAACAGATTCCCAGTCCTGCTGCTACTGATAATGATACCAATAATACTCCTGCCATACCAATACCACTCTGAGAATTAACAGCATCATTCCATTTTAATAAGGAAATTAATGCATATAAAAACTGAAAAGAGCAAAAAACAATTTTTACTTTGATTTTGTTAAATCACATTAGGATGTACAATTTTTAAGTTGTGATCACCATGATTTTGAGCCCTATTGTTTACTTTATATCAGTTAAAAGGAGGTACTCTTAATAACTTCAAATAATAGAGTGAAATTTCAACTATTTGTAGAACTATTTGTAGAATGAGAATAGGCAGTATTGATATTGTACTAATTCCATAATATTATCAAAATTCTCTCTTTAGATCACATTTTCACTTCAATACATGTAATTTTTTAACTAGATTTTTGCAATAAGAAGAAGCAGATGTAATGATGTTAAATACAGGTTTAAAAAGTATTAAAAATAAAGAACTATTCTTATTTGACACTTACCATAAGTACATAGCCCATAACAACTCGCACCACACTAATACTGGAGAAATCTCGAATTATGTCAAGTAATGAAGTATAGGAAAAGGCGTAGACATTATCTTGCATGGTGTCATTTCCAAACTGGTTGATAATCTATAAAATATAGAACTGAATTATTAACAGTAGTATTGATGTAAGATGCTTGAAAAAAATTCTAAGAGAAAAAATTTTATTTTTCTGACCGTGAAAGCATTAAGTTTTCTGCATTTCCTATTGTCATACAATAACATAACAAAAATTGGAAATCATGAGTTCCCCTTCAAATGGACAGATAGGCCATTTTTTTGACCAATCATACTTCAGTCTCAGAAACTGGAACTTTTTAGCTGAGCTAATCAGTAATAGTGTTCACAGCTCACTGTATTTTAAAAGGAATTGTGTGATTTTCGTACATTTCCAGTACTTCTGAATACTATTAACATATATTCAGGACTATATCAACCCCCCCAAAATGGCAAAAATTTAATAGTACTGGTACAGTATAATTTTCATAGAAAAGGATTTCAAAAGTTCCTTACCAATGAAAAGTTTCTTTGCCATGTTTCTAAGATTTCTTTGGCTTTCGCTCGAGACCATCTAATACTTTGAACTTTACTTTGATCTAAATAGTATTCATACAGACTCTTTTCACCCATTAGTTGCACTATGGACTGTAAGGCTTCAGCACTGAAAATAATAATCATGGTTTCAAACATTTTGATATTGTGATTTTCATTCTTAAAGCTAAGTATCCAAAGGTTGCTTTAAACCAATCTGAGGTAATTAAAGTGAAAATGTGTTAAATCATGAACTTGAAGATAAGTTAATACTTACTGAACAATATGTCCAGTTTTATTTTTTCGGACACCACCAACTATCATGTCTTCATCCCAATGCATAAATCTTTTGGCAAACCCATGACAGCCATTGGTCAATTCAGCACCGATATCAGGAGACTGGAAAATAAAAACATTGAAATGAACAGTTTAAAATCCACAAGTCTCAAATCAGCAAAACAAGAGATCTGCAACATAGATATAATGTGTAAACTGGAATGCATAAGAAAAACTGATGTATAAGTTATTAACAGTACAACTCTATATAAACATGACTATTTGAAATGTCTTGATTGTTCTCTGATGGAAATTAGAAGTCATCAAATGAATAACATTTCATTTTTTAAAGAGAAATTGACTGCAATTACACCTTCATCAGATAAAAGTTCAATATTTTATTCAATCTAAGACTCTTAAGGCTAAACAATTGAAATATTGTGTTACAATCATTTAGCCTGAAAATTGGGAAGGACACATTTTTCTATCACTTTTACACACCTTTCCTCAAATATTGTCCTCATTATATATTCTGATATTTTGTCAATTCAATATTACTATCATTCAATGCTTAATATCATGGCATCAAAAGGTGAAATTTGCAAAAAGTGTTTTAAGATTTTCTTCACATAAGAAAAGTAGTAGAGTTGATCAATTAAAGTGTAAACAAGTTAAATGTGAAAGGCTACATGGCTAGAAGAAATCTCATATCACTGTAAACCACCCACATTCAAGTGAAATGCAACAGAACAGACGGCAAATAATTTTGCATCTTAATTAGATTCTCTTAACCAAATATTCACTTTTTAGAGTCAGTTTTTGAACAAATTGAGTTTCAAGGGCTGTTTTTTATGCCAACTGTAATGGCAAGTTAATTTGTTTATATCATTGCCAGAGTGAGCTGTGAGGTAGGCCGATGTTTTGACGTTTGACTTCAATCTATAATGCAGCTCGACAAATTGCTATAATATTATGATTGAGTGTGCAACACACATTCCTGACAACGATGCTCGACACATTATTTGCATATCTTGAAAGAAAAATAAACAAATGGAAAAGTCAAGTGGTGAAAATGTGCAAAATGTGTCAAATATTAAAATAAACAATACAATTGTTTTTTATTCACTATTTTCTGAAAGTTCACGATGCAGTATGTCCAACTATTGATAACAGAGATAAAAGTTAGTTTTAGAATAAGTATACTAGTACTGGATATATAAATAACACATATGGTGGTGCAAAAAATTTGCGGCTCAGATAGGGAACTAGGTGATTTCTTTAGATTTTCCTCTCAAAAAAAAAGCTCAAAACAGCATAAGTCTAAAAAGTGATGATCCAAAAATTCCTAATTACTTTTAAATAAAGATGGGTTCCCTTATTTTCATATCCGAAAATGAAAATTCTAAAACATATATGAATAGACAGCAGAGACTTGGAAAAATACCAGTTTGTCTCACATATCCATAATTAATTCATAATTAGATAAATTAGAAGAGAATTACCAGTAACCGATCAAGAAAGGTCAAAAAGTCTTTTTTTTTTGTATATCCAGATTGTACATACATGGACATTTATGATTGGTTCAATTCATAATTATATGCAATAAGAACATAATGATATGATTAACAATACATGATAATTCATGAGAAACACCAATTAATCAAATAGTTTGCTTAATTTGAAACAAAAAAAAATAAGGAAGCCCATCTTTAAATATTTCCAATAAGCATTTATAGAATACCAGTATAAAATATCATGGACAAGTCCAAATAGTTTATATTATATATCTATTCTCATCAAAGTTAACATGGGCTTTAAACAGGCAGACTTTGAAGTCTTAAATCTGAATACAACTTTTCTTCCCAAACATTTCATTTCTACTTTCCCATTGTGGTGTTGTTTTCATGTTTTCAATGCCATTGTTTATTTTTCAAGGTAAAATCAACAATTATCGGTTAATAAGATTTTTCATAATAAAATTCAGTTTAAAGTAAGAGCTTTTGATATTTGAATTCCTCATCTTGACATCTATATGCTGAGAGATTTTTTACCCAAGTTTTATACAATCAAGTTAGTCAATGACCACGTTTGGTTTGCAACTTGATATAATTAGTACACAGGTCTACATCAAGGCTCTTATCTAACACCCCTGGTATTCTTCTGTCTCTATACAAACACAAAATTTCAAAAAGTTTTTGTGCACAAATTGCAAGACTTGACACCTTTCTGTGACAAAATTGTCTGCGCTGAATGGAAAGTCCCTGGCACGAGAAGCATGCCAATAACAATTATCTTTAAAATTGACACAATAGCTAGGGCAGGGAGGTGTTTATACGCATTTCTCAATATCTTCAATGTGATGATGGTAAGGCCAAGCCCTGCTATCATGCGTTAGTGAGAAAACACACATTCAGAATAGTATTTTTCAGGGTCTACCTCACGTAAAGAAAATACTCATTATCGCGAGGTGAAAGCCTGTGTTGATTCCTTGTGGAAAAAGCTTTAGAATAGATACATATCAGTCTTTAGTCAACACAGCAAGGATTGAACTCTGTTTCTTTTTACTGGTCACATTGTATGAAAAGAGCTTTAGGAGTCAATCCAAACATACTTGAAATTGCCATTAGATTTCAATAAATTCAAACCAAAATTTTTCAAAGATTGATATATTTGTGATAAGATGATTTTGTTTCAAAGCTCATTATATGCAACATAATTATTAATTATTTGAGATAATCAAACACTTTTCACAGGTAATTGTTAGATTTTTTGTCTTGACCATTAGTCAGTGATGAGTGACAACACTGAGTTTATTTAGTCCTGCATAGATTTGTAATTGACCAACAATTTTGCACAACCTATACTTAATGATCTAGTGTCATAACTTAATTCCTCTCAATAAATCCATAAAACTAAGTAATAATCAATTAAACTAAATAATTTTGAGACATGCCTAGAAGCGTGTGTCAATAATCATTTTATGTCTTATCTTATATAGAGGTTCTATGCTTTAGTCATGGCAGCCAGTAAGTCCAACTGATGAATAAGCTTATATACACTTGTTGACCAAGATAGAGACTTTTTATGCCATTCTAGCATCCAATAAATCCTCGCCAAAAACTGACATTTAAACTGGTTTGCCGATTATATTTTCCACTGATTGATATCCTACTAAGACGTACACTGCTCAGTTTATAAGACAAGCTACACCCTGTCATAAAGGTTGATATTTAATTAGAAATAATAATCAAAGTCTTTAGTTGCTCAGGTATCCAACATTAAAATCATCATAAAACATTTTCTAAACAAATATCAGTATCTTTGTTAAAATTAAAAACTTTCGCTTTTCATTACTGTAATCAAAGATTGAACTATAAGCAGTTAAATCCAACAGGTATGAACTATGTAAAATTTGAACCAAACTCAATTTCTCATCCAACCATTTTTGGCAAAATTTTGTGATAAGTGACAATTTATTTCATTAAGAATTTCAATCATGTGACATTTGACTGACAGCTATTGTTAGGTTCCACATTTTTGACACAATAATAAAAAAAAAACCTGAAGGAAAAAAGCCTTACCTGTTTTGTGTAATAATTTTTAGCAGTTTTGGGACATTCTGGATCTCTGGGGTCTAAACATTCTAACTCTTGATAAGCTGAAGATATTCCCGCCTAAAATTAAATATATAGATCTGATTAAAGGCCATGGTTTGCCATTTTCAGGTTGATTTGAGTTTTGATTATATGAAATATTCTTCACAACTTGTAGAACTGCATAAAAATTGCATTGTCCCTTCAAATATACTTCAAACTAGAAATTTCTTTTACTATATATTTCTTTTCTATCAATGGCAGAGGATAATTCTGTACACACATGATTTGAAGGCTCAAATTTGAGAGTGAGCTGTGAACACTTTTACTGATTATGTAAGCTAAAAAATTACTGTTTCTGAGACTAATTGGTCAAACAGATAGTGAACATGTCCCTTTAGGTGAATGGTTTTTTTTACAACTGCAAATTATAGAGATCCCATGCTTATGAATTCAAATATAAAAACAATGTACTTACCCTTTCAAACAGCTCAGTCATTACGTCTACTCGGAAAGTTTTAGGTAAATCATCAATCAGTTTTTTAGGATTCAAATTCTTCCAGGTTAGTTCATTGGGCATATTGAATGCTCCTCTGTAATAAGAGAAATGTATGGTATGAAAATATGGTTGTCAATTTTTAACTAGCAGTTCTCTTCCTTGAAGAAGTTAAGCAAGTAAATCATATTTCCACATAAGCAATCCTGATGATGGATCTTATGTCCAAAACATATGTCACACGTCAGATGTAACAAAAGTTAAATGGTCAATTTACAACATATACATGTATATGAGAAAGCATCAAAACCATTTTACATCAAATTTTGCATTCTGTCAATGACACTTAAAAATGCTTCATTTCAAATTATTCCAGACCAGAAATGCCAGAAATTGAAATGGCATCTTTTGGCATGAATAATAAGTACTTGGATGTGGTAATAGATTCAAACAGACACTTTGATTCCTGTCTAAGAGAGAGGTCTCTGATTTCTATAAAACATATCTGGCATTCCAATTAGGTCATAGAAGAGTTAACAGTTTGTAATGCTTGCTGATTCACTGGTACTGAATGTATGTATTCATTTCAGTTTCATAAAGCATTTGCTATTAGTTTATCTAAATAAAACAACTTTTTGCTGTTTCAACAAGTAGGAAAATTGAAGTCATAACACAAAATTAAATCCTCAAAAAAATTACAAAAAATGATATTTTGAATATATATTTTTACAATAGATATTTTATGATTTTTTTCCATAATTGATTATGCAAGATGCTCAATTCCTTACATCTAACTTCAATTCTTAATAGAAAGGTATTTCAACAACTTAATTTAGAATCAGGTAAAAGAAATTTCAGTATACAGCTATTTGCAGAAAATCAGGTATTTCAAAATGGCTTTCCTTTCTCAGCTTCCCTACTTTATCTTTTAGCAGACACACATTTTTTTTTATAAACAATTGAGGATTGTGTTTATACATTCTGTAAACTTTAAATTACTTTTTTTAAACAAAACTACCGTTTCTCTGGTGTGGTAGAGTGAAGCGGAATGGCTTTAGAAAAATTTCTAAATTTGATCTGTTTGTAAGAAATACTGTGAAAAAAATCACAGACTTAAGTATTTCAATTCCTGCAAAAGTTGCAAGAAAGAAAGTAAAAAAAAACTGTAGAAGAAATAAACCAGATTTAAAATAGTGAAATGTTTACAACCAGAGTAAAAAGAAAATTGGCCAACCATTACCAAGGTAAAATGATACAATTTTATTTAATTGCTTTAAGAAACAGCTTTAACATCACCTTGGTTTACTTAAAAACATTTTATGATGTTTAATTAAGGAAAGAAAAGGGATGGATATCTATTTGAGTTATATTAAAATGTGGCCACCCAGGTAGAAAAATATGAGATTATCTCTGTACATTTCCAGTTTTTCTATAAAACAGTAACTGAATACCACTAACAGTACAATCTATTCAGACTATTATATACTCAAGTATGCTGGTGAATTCATTTACGATAAAATATGCAACCCATTTGTACATTTTTTGTAGTTTAATAATTTCTGGCATACATCAAAATCTCAACGTATATAAAAGGACACAAAAATGAAACGTGTGCTTGCATAACTTAAGCTGAGTCCCACAGTAGCTGTTTGAGTTTTGAATCCCTCCTTATCTAAAGTATAATTTGTCAATATTCATCATGTCCTGAATAAAAAAAAACCTATAGTTGCCCTTCACCTTAGAAAGTTCATGAAAAATGGGAGAGGTATTCATTATCCATGGCTAATGACCGCACACCTTTTGTATGTCAGTCCCTCTGAAATGCAACATCTGACAAAAATATAACTATGCCCATATTGAGTCTGCTTCTTTTCTTCAGAAATCCCAGAAAAATTAGAGATTAAGGCCTGTCCATTTGGAAGAAGTCAGAGAAAAAAACAAAGAAAGAAAGAATACTCATTAATTCTCATTTCTCATTTTCATTTAGAATTTTCCTTTTGCATTAATCGAATGACGAAAAAAGAATTACACGTATTATTTTCAAAAATTGTATGAGTTATCTTATCTTTTTCTCTGAAAATGTGACATCAAAGAGACAAAGTAAAAAATCACTTAGTCTTGTCAAAATCAATTCATGTTAGTAGTTTCAACAAGAAATAGAACAGACTGACAAAGACCTCCCTCATAGATTTATTAGCAGACTATCAATTTTGTTAGCAACAGCCACTGGGCCAAGAAAATTAAATCAAAGCTAAACACACACATGAAGAGATATAACTTGTTTGAAGAGATTGAGATTAAAATCTCTTTAAGACACACAATTAAATCTCGATACAATTACAACTTCTTTCTTGGCAAATCAACATGAGTGTGCTACCATTAGGATATTCAATGTTGCGCATCACCATTCATTAGCAGACACAATTTGAGTATGATTGCTAAGATATGGTAATAATGTACTTGATAATGTTTCTTCTTGGGAGGCCTCGAAAATTAAAAATTACTGGTAATCAACTTGATATCTTTCCTCCCTTCAAACTCACAGCCACATTTTGAAATTGTAAGATATCAGAAAGTCTGCAAGTTTGGTGATGCACCAAGATACACATGTTGCCCGAATTTATATAATGAATAGATGATGATATTCTACATATCAAACGAGACACAATCTCCTAAACTTCAACATACATAAACTGAAAACTTCTCTTAAAGCGATTAAACATTTTTAAAACCTTAGAAATATCATTGCAAAGTTTGAAATCTATCAAAAGTCTCAGATAAACAAATTTTCAAATAACCTCTTAATGAAACTGAAAGATTACGAAAATAGAAATATCTTTTTACTGATTATTTGTAGAGAGTATGGGGGCTATCTTAACTGCCAATGAATATATCAAATAGAGTGTGGCACCAGTCTGCCAATTATTTTGAAAGCTGTATCACCAGTATGGCATTGGATACATTTCAATATATCATGAATATCTTTAACAAGAGCCAAGCAGGTGCTAAGTCTGCTATGTAGAGTGGTGAATAATCTTCATGGGTGGCCATCACATTGAAAGTATATACATATCACAATGACGTCTGTCCACAATATCTTTACAATGGCCTCTTATATGGCCACTCTGATATATAATATATTTCACAGCAAAATGGTGAAATTCAAACCAAATCCTAGGGTGAAGATATTTTTTACTAAGACTAATAATAGGTTTCCATTGTTGTTTAAGACTGGTCATTTGCCTTATCAAATTTCATCTTACTGTAGTAATAACATCTAATGGATTAGTCACTTCACTAAAAAACAATCTAGACCTTTATTAAAAATATCTTCATAGTTTTCACTTAACTATCTCAGTTTTCGTAAAGAATGATTAAAAATAGTAAATATGTATCTAGTCATTTCTAGTGTATGTTTATATGTTTAGGTAGCTTTATTCAGTCTAGTTTGTTTCTAAATTTGGAGTTGAAAAAATTAAAATTCAAAATGTCATAAAGGCAGAAAAATAGAGCCATAAGTCATTCAAATCACAATCAAACTAAAATTTAGACCCATTTTCATTTTCCTTGATTATGCATAACAGAAGAAAAGTGTCAATTCCTTCTCCTTTTAATTATCATCTTTGATTCTTTAATTTGTTCACTGAGATGTAAATTTCCAAAAGAAAATCATTTCAAATTTCAGTAGCAATAAAAATTTTCTTGAAAGCAAAATAAAAGATTTTCTCACAATTCTTCAAGTTCAAGCTCCAGTACAAGAATTTAATAGTTTTTTCATGTTGTAAAGTAAATATAAATAAATATATAAATAACTTCTAATGATATTGGGGTGGGCTTTAACTTTGTTTCACAACAATCTTACACTATAGTGCAATGGGTGCATTAGTTTTCTTTTGTATTGTTCCGTTTTATAATTGACTAATTCCCTACTTTTACATCTTGTTTTATGGTGTTTCTATTTACTTGAAGTCTTTTTTAACAGTAAGATTGATTTAAGATTGCATTGATCATGTTAAAGGATAATAGCTAAAAAAGAAACAGTCTTAATAATAATCTTGCTAAGCAGATGACAAGCTTAAACTGCTTCAAGAAATTTTGTTTATAGATCTCCAGTTTTCATCATTTCTAGAATTTTTGACAATAAAAATCTGCACTTTTTGAACAATCTTTTTAGTCTAATGGCAGGGAATGGTAAAAACCTTGATCATTTGTCCAATAATCATTTACAAAAACCTTTCTCAATTTCTGCCAACTAGAATACGAAACAGGATCTGAGTTTCTCATAATCTACTGACTATGTTATGAAACAAAACATGTCACAGTATTCACTGGTGTAGGTTTCGGTGCAAAAACTGTCAAATTACAAATCACATTAGAATATGTGGCATACACCCTGTAAGTTAAAGAACGTTTTAACAGAAAAATTTTCAAGTAAAAAAATTTACAATATTCAATAGATCTGATCCCTATTCTCTGCTTCCTTGTCAGATTCCAACATACATAAAACCTGAGAACATTTCTTAAAAATAAAAGTAGCTAGTGATTTAGGGTGTTACTTGAGAACCAAATCCAAATAACTTATGGGAGCTGTACAAAGCAGGGAATAACATACCCCTCAACTGTATTGTGGTACTGTGGGCTTTTGTCATTGTTTTGATAATGATATCTAGAGTAGGTTCAAGGTTTCAGGCTCCACTCTTGAGAGATTAGGCTTCTCATAGCTTAAAAATCAGGCCCTAAACTCAATTCCGATATCCCATCGGAGGAAGTGGGTAAGGCTAGATTGTTGGGCTAATCACTGAGATATACACTCCAAGTTTAGATATTTTTTAATTCCTCTAAAGTAAAAACTATGAATCATTGCGTATCTGGTGAAGCAGCTCATATCTATTGTTCTGGAACACCTGATTCAAATCTCATCAAATAACCAAGCCAATAACATTCAACAGTATATGGCAATATTCTCTTTAACAAGATGTAGAAATGCTATAATTTCAGAAGGGGCATTGAGGTAGTTGTGATTATGATATTTTCTAATAGGAATTTGGTATAATGCAAACATCAAACATGTAAAATAATAATGAAACTATGTTGGTTAATACAATACTACCATCATACACTGACTGTGAAATTTGATGTTTGTTCCTTTAAGATCATAATTACAGAAGATGTTCTTATTTCAATTGTAACAACTATTTCATAGTCATATAGACTATTAGAGAGAGTCAAGCATAGATTTTTTTATGAAACAAAATTTGTGATATTATAGAGCCTTTTATTTCAGACAAAGCTGTAAAAAATGAATGGATGCTGCAACTGTTATCATCATTATATTGAGTAAATAGTACTTTTAGTATGAATTTTTCCTAAATTGAGAAACTAAAGGGACTGATTACAGAGTCTTGTATATACGTAAATAGTCTTCAGAAGTATGAAAATTGCATAATTTCTTCAAAAATACCTCAAACTAGGAATTTCACTTTGTATTTCTATATATGTCTTTTTTATATATGGCAAAGTCTCAAGAATAATTCAAGACATACATAGATTTGAAGGCTCAACAGTATTACTTAGCTAAAAAAATTTGTGTTTCTGAGATGATTTGTCAAATGGATGGCCAACCTATACATCTTCACAATCCAAAGAATAAAGAGCAGTATATAGTAACAATGATTAGAAATAAACTTACGTGGTAGCAATAGGTCTTTCAGGACCCAGTAATTTAGATCCTTCCCAGAAACAATCTAATGGTGTCACAATAATACATGGTAAAATTTTTTCTAACATAATATCTAATATATCATACTCTAGCACTTGAAAATTAGCAGCATGACACAGATCACTAAACTTCCATGTACTGAAATACAAATTATATAAAATCATTAATAATATGAAATCTATCTAAAGAAAATTTTTCCTCAAGATCATACCAATTCTATATGATTCACAGGAGGGCTATTCAAAAAGTCTCAAGCTCAACTGCTCAACCACAAAATTGTTAATCAACTCACTACAAATCAATAAAGCCTATAAAAACTTGAATGAAAAACTTTAAGTAACTGCTGTCCCATCTTCATAGTGTCAAGCTAGTACAAACTTTATGAGGCGAATGTAATAGCTTGACATTTGTGAAGTTGCTGATGCCCATAAAAAAGTGAGAGTGCTGCCAGAAGCTGTTGAGGGAACAGCATGTGCTCAATTTGCTTAAGTTCCAGTAGCAATAGAAGATGCAGCCAAATCAGGCATTGAATTCATTCCCACCCTTTCTCCTCATAGGAATTAAATTCATCAGACATTAACTTGTTGCTGGAGCTCAAATCACCCTTATGTTTAACACCTATATTTTATAGAAACCTCTGTCAGATCTGAAAAGTTTGTTGTGTTCATTCAACAAATCCAACCAATTCTTTTGGGAGAATCACACCTTCCCTTCCCTGAAGTCAAATTGATATTTATTAACAATACTTACTGTCCGTCTACCTTGACACTGATTTCTGTTGCTTTCTTCACAGCCTCAAGATGTAATAAGAGTGATTCTTTAGTTAATATATTTGTTCCTTTCTTTGGTGTTTGTATAACTAATTCGTTTGAATTTCCACTTCCTTCTCCGATAGTTTTTCTGGTATACTCCAGTTCTTTTTCTAGTCTTCCGCCTTCTGTAAAACATAGAAATATTTGGGCATTAAGATAGAGTAAGATGTTTTCTAAAGTCAGTTTAAGTAGATTAGACCTAAATTAAATCTTGATCAGCTCTAGAAATTGGTTTTCTTCTCAGTTTTGAATTTCAGTCAGTCTGCACCAGACCACGTATTCTCGAAATTATCTTAGAGCTAGCCTGTCTTAGAATTAATGTTAGAAGATAAGAACCTAGGACATCCTAGCTCTGAGATCGTTTCGAGAATACGTGGCCTGGTTGAAAATTTAGTCTATCTTATATTTAGTTTTTGTTAAAAGCTTTTATAAAATTGGCCCCTGATATTCAAAATGTTATTTTTTGAAGTATTTAAGATGTGCTTAGCATTAAAATGTAATATTTCTAATATAATATTTAGTTTATAGGGTTGATTTTTTATATATGTAAATAGTCTTCAGAAGTACTAGTAATGTACCAAAATCCTATAATTTCTTCATAATTATCTCAACCTAGGAATTTCTTTCTGTTTGTATAGATGTCCTTTCTATAAATGGCAGTTTCTCATGAAAAGACAACTTGTCTTTTTAACTTTCAAACGCAGATAATTCTTGACACACATGGATATGAAAGCTAAAATTTTGACGGTGAGCTCTTAACACTATTACAGTATCTGAGACTAAAGTATGATTGGTAAAAAAAAATGGTGCAACTGTCCCTTTAAGAAACTGATAAGTGATTCTTCAGTTACACAAATCTAAAATATTTTTTAGGTATTTACATAAGTAAGTGTGTAGGATTAGAGACAAAAAAGATATCTCCAAAAGCAAAACATTGCATCAAAGATTGAATAGAGAATACACCCAATAATAAAACATTGACTATGGTGGTCTGTCAAAATGGTGATAGCAAACACAGGCTTGATGATATATTTCTCATCTAGTGGAACAATAAATATGTACCAAAAACATAAGTATTGTGAATATAAGCAAACATAGAGGGTATCATATAGTACTGGTATCTTCTCTTTCAAATCAAAATTTATAATAAGTGTCAGATTGTAATAATCTGTTTAATAGGTGACACATCAAACTCACATTCCTGTATTATTTGCAAATCTGTTGCAAATTGAACACTGAGTATATGTGTGAACCATGCTATTAACAAATTGTCTAAAACTATCTCAAAATGTGTCAACTTTCACACAAGTGGTTGGGCAAACACTCTGAATGTAAACAGATGAGACTGAATATTTTTTCAAGTCATTAAATACCCACCATGGCATTTCAGTAATTATTGTTGTCCAAATATTCTACAACCAATTAGTGATAGTTTACCTCTTGATAAGGTGGTCACACAACTCAAAAGCATTTTCAAGATATAGTTAGTTTGTTTGGCCAGGGCTAAATCACTACTACAAAAATGAATTTTGTTATCAATGATTTCAACTTGGACCTAAATATTTTGATTATCATATGCTTTGAAGAATATTACCAAAAGACACAAGAGATTGTCTTTTCTTACTAAAGTTTAATCAACATTTTAAGAAGATAAACAAAAAACATATCAAATTGAACTCCTTAACATTTTGTTCCTTTCGAAAACTTATGAGCTTGAGTGCTTGCTAGTTTATCTGGGCATCCAGGTTTCCAGCATTCAAGCATAAGTCAAATAGCTGGACAAGATAGTATCCATCTTTTCCCAGAAATGTTGAAAGTAGAAGCTTCCAGCTGTTTTTAGTTTTTTGAACAACCAAAGCCTGTGTGCTCTTTCTAAGGATTCATATATATCTATAAACTGCACCAATGTTGTGGCTAAATCCCCTTCTCAAAACTGAAAGAGCATGGGTACATACTTTATGATGGTCCTAGTAATGTCTATGCTACGTTATGAAGCCTACATTTGACTCTCTACCCCTGAACAATGCTTCAGGGTTATAATTCACTGAAAAATGCGGTCAACATTTGCAGAAGTACTTTCATGAGTATGAACTTGTAAAATTGAGACTACAAGATGTATAGTTCATCAAGAATATATTTTACAAATGTTTGTATATTACATATACTACTAAACACATTCTAGAACAAGGCTGTTGAAACAATTCTAGTAGGTTTAAATCTTGTCTGTATAGTATCTTATTTATGAGTTGACTCCAAAATCATATCTTAAATAACAAAGGCAGTCCAAAAAGTTATATATATATAGGGATCTTTTTTCCAATGAAGAAGGCTGTTTGGAAACTTATATATAATATATCAATATGGAAAAAAGAAGTTTAAAAAAAACAATTTGCAAATTTTCAGTGACAATATCATCTTTGCTGAATTCAATGAACCATTGTACGTTAGCACTTCTACAATTCCAACAAAATCTTATCTATACTATGGATTCTATACGTCTCTGTACCAATTTTGAAAAAGCCAACATCAATAACCCAAAACGCTTTACTCACACAAGGTCTCAATATCTGATTAAAAACTGTCAGTAGCCTATGTCTCATACAAAATATGCAAAAGCATATCAATGTAAAAAAAATATCTGAATAAATCTGAACCCTATTTGACATACAGGGGTGAAAAATATACTTTTATCAAAATTATTTTCCTACTGTATTTTGCCAATTAATCTTCAACTATATGAGATTTAATTTCTGAACAAGACAAGAAAACCTAGTAACTAGGAGCGATGTCAGTAACTTCGTCAAAAGGCAAATGTATTAGTAAATATATCATAACCTCATGGGATATTCACAGACAAAAGACCGCCTTTCTGTTTCCTGAGAGAGAGCCAGCCCACACACTGTGCATCTCTTCATTTGACCTCCATGTACACACATGAAGATAAATGTTTCTGTAACATGTCATCAACAGGAAATCAAGTTTACGAGATCATCTCCCAAGCCAACCTAATTTATCAAAACTAAGGGTGATTTGCGAGTTAAAATAATAATTTGTTTGAAATGTGCTGATCCTAAACTGATTTAGTAAAATTTGCCCATCAAAGAGTTCACCATCCTGAATCTAGCCAGTTCTTGTTTGTATTTAACAATCAAAACAAACAAATCAAAGCAAAAATTGTTATTATCAAAACTTTATAGCTCAGATGAATGTTATTTAAATCAAATAAAAGCCAGGGTTGTATTTAAAGCTTCTGTCCCAATCTTCTAAAAGTAACTGTTAAAACTTTCTCTTGTACCAGCTGTACCTATCACTTTCCCTTCAACAAATAATAAGTTCTGTCATTTCGAATTATCACATCCAAAATACTTTCTTGATAGAATTACACAACTATACAACATAGGTAAACATGATTTTCAGTTCACATAAAATTATTACATGGGTTTCATCCTTTAATTGAAAAAAAGGAAGAGGAACATCAATTGAACAAAGGAAGAGGAACATCAATTGAACAAAGGACATGATGGTGTAACATTAACATGAAAGTGTAACATTAACATGAAAGTGTAACATTAACATGAAAGTGTAACATTAACATGATAGTGTCAAACTTGATATACATATTATAGTTTTATTAAATGATTCTATTGTAGAAGTATTTAACACAGATACTAAGTGATGACAATAAATGGAATCCATATGAATAAGTTTAAAAGATCTGTCTGCCATTTCAGTTGGGTGGTCTGATATCCAAACAATCTATAGTTTATTTGCCTGCCTTTTTCTTTCTCCAAAAAACTGAACAAGAATTTGTTGTGTTGCTTTTGGCTACATAAATTCTCAGTCTCAATGGTTTTGCCAGAAATTCTCCACATTTATTGCAAGTCTGTGGTAGAGCACTGAAGAATCTAATTTTAAAATCATTGACAAAAGTAAACAATGAAATCGTGAAATCTTGCAGACTACTTATTTTTTCTGGCCTCTTTGTGGGATGTCTCTATAATCATCTTGCTATTAGCTATTCTTTTTTTCCAATTTTTGACAATTCTTCCTTATATTTTGTGGTAAAAATGAATTTTAACTATAAACCTACATCTAAAGATGTTGTTTCTGCAAAAGAAAATTATTGGATTCTGGCTGCAATACTGAACCAAATTATTAGATTTTTGCGGAAAAAATTTCAAAGATCTTTACAGTACCGGTAATGAATTTGACACTGACCAAACCCACTGATTCTATTTGTATACTTTAAATAGTTCTTGCCATTGATGTTTTTAAATAATATAATATTACTATTATTGTATAAATTATGCTACAACTTATACTGACATCATTCAAGAGCCAAAATTTAGAAACTTTTATAAGAACTGAATCATTGAAATTCAACAAGAAGATTTCTGTTAAATCAGACTTGGTTGAAAGTAGTTGGCATGATGCCTCAAATATCTGACATTTATATCAGAACCAAATTCCAACACAGTTGGGGATCACCACTCAAAATTCATCTTCTACAGAGATGTCATAAATTTGCTACAAATTTTACAACTCATATTCCTCCTTTAAAATTGTACAATTATTTTGGTTAATGCTGGCTGCCATTTGATTCTCTTAACTTCGTTAGGTCTACTTCTTGGTTCATCATCATTAAAACATTACTGTCAATTATCGGAGTGATAAGCCCAGACCACACACGTGTGTTATCTTCTAGTGTGGAGATGAGAAACCCAATAACAATTTCTCCTCTATGTTTCAAAGGAAATGGTATGAAGCACCTCTTAAAATACATGTAAAACCAGAAATAAATAGAATAGCACTTGTACTGGGAGGTTTTGGGTGTATAATGTGTGCTATGTACCAAGATGTTGTTTGTACAATATGTTATGGTAGTTTGGTGAGGTAAAAATAAAGGTGAATGGATGTGCCGGTCAATATGGTAATACATTATACCCACATTGTAAGGCAAGGATATTACCGAATTAGAACAATCTGTTATTTAGGTGAACTTTTACAGCACTAAAAACAATAAACAAGATTTTCAATGAAATTTTTATCACCATATAACTTATGGTAACTGTGATGTATAACTGCAATGGAATAAGTTGAATATATACAATGAATCTGCTTCA